CTCGCTTCGAGAAGAAAACGGTTCGTTCAAATGCCTACTACCCACGATGACATACGGGGTCATAAACGTGGTCCCAAACGAAAAATATGCAACCGAGGCTGAAAAAGTGCCCACAAGGTGAAGCGTGGAGGGACGCGTGCTTGTGATGCCATTCTGAGACAGAAAGAAGAACGCGTGGATGAGAGAAAACACGCGGGCTCGTGACATAATCATAACTGAAACTGTTAAAACGAAGTATATGGGCTTGGGTAGGACACCTCCTCAGACGAGATCGTGGGACGATGGTCAATAATAATAACGGAGTGCCAGCCAAGGGACAAAACGCGTCTGACAGTGCCACCGGCAAGGAGGTGTCGCGGTTAAATCAGCTCCCGTGCGGGTGCCGCGTGGATTACTAACACCGCAGTATCGTTAGATGTGGCGGACGGATTGGGAAGGAGGCCTTAATCCGGCAGTGGATTGACCACGGCTGCCTGTGATGGCATGCACACAACCCATCGCTCCTATTCAAATCGGAACGAGGCACGGTTTTGTGGGGCTACGGCAGCTTTCAAAAAAGGAGAAAGTACCCGGTGCAGGCCTTGCTCACTCCACTGCATGTTGGTGCCTCCACCAGAGGGATCTCCAGAGAGACCCCCCCCCCCCCCCCCCCGTCTAGAGAAGTGGCTCTGAACCTAGGGTGCACGCACCCCCTGGGGGTGCGAGACGTGGCTCGATTTTTCAAAAGGTAAATAATCGAAACAGAAATTAAGCACGGGCACATAAGTACAACTACTTTATATTTTTGGTTCTTTCGGTAAAGTCAAGTAGAAGGGAAATAATAAAATAATATAAATATTAAACAATAAAAATTCTCACAACGTTTCGCCTGCAACACAAGCAATCATCATCAGGTGTGAAATACAATATTTTTGCTGTGGATTTCACACCTGATGATGATTGTTTGTGTTGCAGTCGAAACGTCGTGAGAATTTTTATTGTTTAATATTTATATTATTTTATTATTTCCCTTCTACGTGACTTTACCGAAAGAACCAAAAATATGAATACCTGCAGTCACGAAAGCTTTAAATTACAATTACTTTTTTCATCAAACCCCAGCGTATTTATGAACATGATACTGTTTTAACCAAAGGGGTGCAAGGCTGCAGTAAAGGTTAAGATCTACTGCTCAATGTTGCATTTTTGACCTGCCTCTCCCACACTGGTTACACGTAGGAGTTCCCACACTTAACCCCACCACACCTATCGTGGTGTACCCTCCCCCCCCCCCCCATGTATACCCCTGAGCAGACTGGGGAGGGGGGGTATCAGAAGCTTGCCCATTGTTTCAACTGCCACGCCGAGAGATCGAACGGGCGACCTTTGCAGGCTTGCAAGTCCACTGCGATAACCATTACATCACCGGCCGGTAGCAGCAGCACCTCTACAGTCGCTTCCACGTAAACAAATATACGTATATATGTGTATATATATTTCTTAAAGCGCACTCAGGGGAGGGTGGGTGTGTGTGCTGGCGATGTTAAGCAATGAGCTATGAAGCCCTCGCCCGTCTTGTGTTTAACCCGAATTGTGATGTTGAGCCAAAACAGCTGTATCGTGTTTGCAAAAAGCCGGCCCTTTTCTGGGCACTTTCTCGCAGTTCCACCTCCCAGAGCTCACGCAGTGCACGAGGCCCATGTATGGTCACGCAGAAGAAGGAGTGGGGCAGGGCAAGAAAGGACTTTCTTTGGTGCGGGAGGGGGGTGCAAGAGGGCTTTGAGAAAGAGGAGCGAGCGAGCGAGAGCGCTTCCCGGCCGCTAGTGTAAACAATCGGACCATTACTGATTATGGGAATACTGTGCACGCACGCAGCGCCTCCCTTTATCGTTGCAAGCCAAGGATGACCTCGCCCACCACCGCCACCACCACCGCTCCCTGCCCCCCCCATAGTGAGTACTCATTGTTGCAGACCGTGTTGCTGACGGGGTGACGTGACTCAACTAAAATATGTTACATTTTGATTTAAAGCTTTCGTGACTGCAGGGATTCATATTCTTGGTTCTTTCGGTAAAGTCACGTAGAAGGGAAATAAAATTATAAAAAAAATAATAAAAATTTTCACGACGTTTCGACTGCAACACAAGCAACCATCATCAGGTGTGAAATCCACAGCTGATGATGATTGCTGGTGTTGCAGTCGAAACGTCGTGAGAATTTAATTGTTTTATATTTTTATTATTTTATTGTTTCCCTTCTACGTGACTTTACCGAAAGAACCAAGAATATAAAATATGTTAGTTTTTTATTTTACCAGGTAAGGCCCACTGAGCTACATGGCATTATTTTTAGAAGCGACGTGGCCATCACAAATGAGGAGCTCAACAAAGTGGCTTCTCATCATCACGTAGAAATGTCTCGCGGCCAAATACCCCAAACGCACACGTTGATTCTAAATGTGGAGGAGGGGGGGGGGAATCGGAAGAACCGAGAGAAAAATCCACGCGACCGCGGGAAGAACGTGCAAACTCCAAACATACAGCATGCGTCAGGGTTGGAATCGCATCCACGACCTTTTGTATACCAGGCGAGGTAGTTAACATCTCGCCACCACAGCAACCCTGAAAAACTGGAACCACGCATCTGACACTCACTACTCACCTGACCCTCACCACTCACCTAACACTCACCTGACACTCACCACTCACCTGACATTCACCACTCATCAACCGCGCTAACCACTCACCTGACACTCATCACTTATCCATAATAGAGGTTTTTGGGTTAGATCGCGTAAATGTATAAATGTGTCGTTAAACCCGCCACCACCCGACACAGCCAACTAGTAAGGGTTGTCACGTAAACAGAACGTGGCCAATTCGTCACTAGTACAACACTAACCGGTTGTGTTGGAGAGCCAAGCCACAACATTTACAAACTGAGTACGACGTTTCGAAACCACCCTCACAAGTCAGCAATCACGCAACGCACTCACGACTCAACTGGCACTGACCACTCACCAGACACTCAGCAGTCAGAAATCTCCGCAATCGTCGTCCAATCTCGGTCGCGTCCTCTTGCCATTTAAGGGAGGTTACTCAGGCTGTCGCATGGATACCGTGCAGGAGAATGTTATTTTTTTATGCGCTCGGTGAACTTAAGTGCGACGTTGCGTGTGGCGACAGCACACGACAAATACACAACATGAAACAATCGTGGGACAGGGGGGTTGGGACCAGTGGTCTTTATTGGGGGCCACCATACCATGTACCATTACTCAGACAAAACCCCCCTGAAATGCATAATCCTCGTATTATTTTACATACATATTGTAGGAAAATCAGAACAATGGAAAGATGCACTACTGTACAATGTTAAGTATGACAAGTAATTTGTGATAGTGAAACGGATGCACATTTGTGTCTGCTCATTTCCCCACGTGAATGAAATACAACATCTGATTTCCCATCACACAAAAGCCTCCATGCGACCCATGACCTAAGCACCCGGAATGCGGCCGATGTCGTCAGATCTCGTGAAGCTAAGCAGGTACGAGCCTGCATAGTGCGTGGATGGGTGACCAGGAAGCTTACAATGCGTTGGAAATAGTGTGTGCTACGGGGATACATTGTGGGCAGCAGAGTGCAGTGCAGGAACATATTATGTTGTACTGCACTTTATGCTCCCATGTCTACAGTGTCAGCCTTCAACCAAGAATGACAATTGCGGTGAAGTATGGACATGTAACCCCCACGACCCACAGTGTAGGGAGGCCCTCATCTAGCAGTGGATTGATAAAAGGGGCTATACATTTAATATTGTGTCATTGACAATGTTGAGCACTTTCATCTCCTCTTGAGACAGTATAAATACAAATAGCTAGGCCAGTCCTCACCACAGTAACGTGGAATTCCATGCCACTGGCTCAGGGCTGTCAATTGAGATGAGAATAATCCCATATTGCTCCTTTCGGTGAGCAGATACTTTGACTTGACCACACACACGAGTGGACCCGGAGTGGACTCGTGTATGTTGTGGTCTCTGGTCACACCTCATCTCCTCCACTCTCCCCTACCATGCAGCTCGCCCCATATATGTATGCAACGCACACGCACGCACTGAAGACACTTGCATTCCTTACTCGGGAGATTTTAAACACCGTGACACCGTGTCAGACATTACGGTGACGCAGCCACCATGTTATTATTTGTGGTCAGATTTGTTTTCAGGTTGTACTGCTTTGTTGCTCGGCATGATGTCCGACGTTTCGCTGCGCCTGCCGGGAGCTTTTGTAGGCACTGAATGGAGTAGCTCATGTTTTCCCTCGGTTATGTAAAGTTGCCAGTTGCTGCTGCTGCTAGCGATGTGAGTTTGTAATCTGATGTACAGCCGCGAAAACCGACGTAGTACGTCCTGTAGTTTCATAATGCATTTTAGGTTCCCACCCAAATCTATTCGAATTGTGCGATGAGGTCAGCACCGGGTTTAGGGGAATGAAAACATGACACTTGTGCAGGGCCCACGAAACATACGCGTTCTTATCCAGAAAAATAGGAGCGTTCCACTCATCCTTTTAACTATGAACAATATAATTGCCGTTGTATTAGGTTTTAGTTTCATCCTCCAATTTTCCCCATCTGACACCCAGCAATGAAGGGTTGGGGAACGTATGTATGCACTTATTTAAAACTCTCCTCTTCAAGTATATTGCATTGAATTTCGATTTAAAGCTTTCGTGACTGCAGGGATTCAACTTCTTGGTTCTTTCGGTAAAGTCACGTAGAAGGGAAATAACAAAGTAATACAAATAAAACATATTTTATTATGTAGAAGCGAAATAATAAAATAATAAAAATAAAACATGACCCCATACAAACCAATAGGGCTCTTGAAACCCAATAATCATCACCCCATACAAACCCAACGGGGCCCTTGAAACCCAAGAACCCTACCCACCATCAACCAATGGCGGCGCGCGCCTGCAACCGCGTTGCCATGGAGACGCGGCGGGGGGGGGAGGACGCCGGAGCAGAGGCGGCGATGGCGTCGCGGGGCTCAGCGGCAGCGGACGACGCCGTGGCGGTGGCGGTGGCCGTGGCCGGCGGCGGCGGCCCTCTGGTCGCGCGTACCCGGGGCCCCGCGGCTCCCCGGGCCCTGGAGCAGGAGCTCGGGGCGCTGCTGGGATCCCTGAGGCGGGAGCGAGGCGAGACGGGGCCGAGACGGTAACGCGACCGGCTCTGGTCGTAGCGCGCAAAGTTTACTGTCAAAACGTGACGCGAATGATGGATCCGTCGCGCACGAGTCCGCGCGAGTCGTTTGCGCGCCTCCTGTCGCACGTGCCGACCATTGTCGATCCACTGCTGGACGGTGGCCTCACCGGGCGTCCTCATGGTCGACTCAGCCTCAAATGTGTACTTGGTGCGGTGTGTAGTCAACCGTGGGGGGCGGTGTCTGCCCCCTCCACTCCCTCCTCCACTCTCTCCTCCACTCCCTCCTCCACCGCATCGATCAGCTCCCGCCGGGCCCCCCCCCGATCGGGTGATCGATCCTCCCGCGCGAGCCCCCCTCTCGACGTAGAGACACGGCTCAAGCGCTGGCTCACCGCCGCACGGGGTTACTCCTCGCACGCCCCCGGACACCACCACCACCACCACTCGTGCCAAGGCGGCTATGCGCACACACGCGCCCCTGCAGGCGCTTATATGTCAACATGCGCACGCACCGCGACGAGCGCTCCACGCTCGCTCTCCCGCCGAGCGCACCGTCACTCACGCCGATGCCCACGCCTGCACCGCTCTCCTCTCCCCCGCTACTCACACTAATGTAGCGCACCGCACTGAGCCTGACGATAAACGGCGGCGCGAAAGCGCGCGGACGTCTGCGGGTGGTTATCCGCGAATCTTGCTTCCACACAACGGCCGGCATCGAACGGCTGCGCGAATATCCGCGCCGGCGGGTGGCTATCCGCTACGCCGCAGCCGCGCTAAGACGCACTCTCAAGCGGCTGCACGGACACGCGCGTGTCGGTGTGCGGTTGATTCCCACACCGCGTCCACACAATGACTAATGCTACAGCAGCGGCGTGAACACGCGCGCACCTGCTGACATTTGTATTCTCACACGCGCACGCCCCACGGTTAGCACTACAGCAGCGGCAATGTAACCTGTCCTGCGGGGGTCGGCCAATCTCCTGGCATTGGGAAACCGTGGGACTTCCCTTCTAGGGGTCCTTGGGATGAAACCTGACGTGCCAGGCAATCCCCCGCCAGGACACTACGTGTGTGCGCTGCGTCTGAGTGTGTGTTTAGTGCGGGGGGCCGGGAGGGAGTCGCATTGCTTGCAGAGTTTCTCCACGGTCGTGGCACGACACAACATCGCCGCTGGCCATGGGCGCAGTTTGCGGCTGGGGGGGGGCAGCAACGCCCCCCCCAAATTGGACATTTCTATTAATTTAGTTTCAGTTGTTTATAATTAAGACTTCATATAAATTAATCATATGCATCCACAATTCTTAATGTGAGGGACAAAGCGAACGCCTGCTCTTCCCCCAAATATGGAAGTCAAACTTTGCCTAAGCCACTGGGGAGACAAAGGCGGCCGGGCGTGGTGTTGGCCACCTCGCGCGCCTTGCTGGTCTTCATAGGTGTTCGCAAACAGCACTTGCCCCTACGGGCTACAAGGGTGATCTTTGTGTTTGTGTGTTTTTTCTGCGTGACCATACTTCACCGCTCGTGTGTCAGTGCGGGTTGGTGGAACGTTGGGCCAACGTTGATCCAACGGTTTCAAACCCATGCCAACGTTCAACCAACGTTGGCATGTTCTGTGCAACAATGAATCATGAGAATCATAGGCTATACTTTTTGTTATTACTTTCGTTGTTTACGCACTAAATTTAAGCATTTTCATCATTTCAAACAGTCATTTACTGCCAATTTTCATATAAACCGAAAATGTTATTTATAAACTTGGAAAAACGCTTCAGATTAAACATTTTCACGGGTTTTCATTGTGTAAATTGATGGGTTCGTATCGAGGCCTAATTTTCAGGGGTTTTTTCGGAATGAATCTGACAATTGGGAATGCACATCTCTCACGCTACGGTTCTGTATGTTCAACTGCTCCCAAATGCAGAAAAATACAATTTCACAATGTATCCGAGTGGCAGCAATGTTACGTATCTGTATTAATGGCCTCTCTCTCTCTGTGACTTCATGGTTTTGTCAGCTCGAACATGCTGTTTGCCATATGGAATAAGTACGAACATAAAATCTCAACTGAATTATTCCGAAACAAGCTTCTCAGCACCGGGGATATACTGGTGGAATTAAAAGTAAGTACTGTAATGTAAAATGTACACTGTTAATATACTACAAATAGCACAGATTACATCAACATGTCTCCCTGATTCGCAATGGTTTGCGTGGGTGTCAATGATGCCTCGGCCATCAATTCTCTCCAATTTTGCCCGTCCTTTGTAGTATTTGTCAGGCGTTGTACCGGCTTATGACATCACATCCTATGGATGGGCTGATGTGATACCTGTCGGACCAGACAACTCACCAGCCACCAGTTGCTGGATACTCATCTCACATTTCTCAGACACTACATCCCTGACACCACTCACCAATCGCCACACACTCACTATTCAACTATTACCATGAGTAACATGGGCTCCCCTCTATTTGTACATATGTAGCTGCAAAGAAAGGTAGCTGTGTTTTGGAAACAGTTACTGTTTTTTGACCGAGGTAAAATATCAGAGGTTGTGCCAAAGCAAAATTGAATTCCATACATCACAGGATTCTTGCAGCTAGAATTAGTCCTCGCTTGATCCTGTACAACAAAATTGAATCAAGTAAAACGCTGCGACAGATTGGTAAATTAAGTTATCTATATATATCTCAGTGATGGCTGTGGCTCCAGTTTAATTTGTGGTCGAGTAATCTCTGCTTAGGATTTTCCAGTTTTATGCAAAATATTACGACAAGTTTCTTCATAATTTTCTCCACCGTATAAAAATCTGAAAACCATGCACCTTATGAGGAGGACGCATCGCATGACAGACCAGTGCTCGTCATGGCATTTGCTTTCGATGCATTCATTAACCACTTACACATGTTGCCTCATGCTGAAAAAAAAGATTAAATGGAGTTTGTGATGCCTATAAACTGGAGCCAAGAGTTGTGTTTTGACCTCTCCTAATACATATGGCACAATATATAACTAAATACAGTAATTTATCGCGTATCTTTATTGAAAACATTCCTCTTTAATGGCTTCAGTCAGTATATATGCTTATTATACTTTAGTTTGGAACTCCAATCTAAGATTGCTTATGAATTGCAATTTGTATTTTCTGTCTCACAGAACCATAAGATGGCGTTGAATCTGTGTTACGGACGATACCTCCAGTACATCTACCCATCTCCTCATGACATCGGCAACTTAAGCGAACTGATGGCTCGCTTCTTCCCACGAGAACTCGGTGACAGCGACTGTGTACCTACGGTACGTACATCATAAATATATCTCTATCACTTTTGCAACAATTAGTGAAGAGCATAGTTCTCCCAGTACGTTGAGCGAAACGTCGGATATCATGCGATACAACCTGAAAACACATCGGAGAACTTTGCAGCACAACCACAAAAATGTACGCAGTGATTGGAAAGAGCACATTGGAGCCCATAGGAGCGGTGGTACCATGGTGTGCGCCACCACACTACAAACCTTGCTACCTAAGTTTGATTTCCGGCCATGGCTCACATCGGTGACGCATGATATATGAACCGATTCTGGGTCTCCCCTTCACCACCGACCAGCGTGTTGAAGTACGTTCAAACGACCCCGATGACACCGACACGTGGGGAGGCCTTCATCCAGCAGTGGATTCACAAAGGGTTCTACTCTTATTCTTTGGTTCTTTCGGTGAAGTCACATAGATAGAAAAAATTAAAGTTATTAAAATAAAAACTACGACGTTTCGATCACAACACAAGCGGTCGTCATCAGGAGGATAAAGGTATATTACGTTTTTATCACTGCTACGACTAGGTTAATGTTGTAATAAAACCTTTCACTCAGAATTATTCTTTGACCAGAAAGCAGCATGGCCTGTCATACATTTTGTGCAGGGTTGGCTAATGTTGAGAACTAAAGCGTTCCATGAACACTGTGGGGCCTGTTTAACACAGCATAACAAAGCCATGTAAAGTGTACAGGCATGCTCTGTTAATGAACCTAAAACGTTTAAACTGGTCATCCAGAGTTTGCCTGCTTAAACAAATGCTTCTGGAAACCATTGGTCTCGAAAGCCCATAGGCTGATGAACCAACATTTATTTTTATTAAAACATTTTGGTGGTAGTGAACACACCCTTGTCAATGGTTTTTACTTTGATCTTTTTTTATTTGTTACTATCTGTACATTGACTTTTTCCACAATTCCATCCCGATTGTGCCACCGGTGTCAATTGTGCTGTCAGTGTCATGTCGTGCTTTTTGTGTTGAGTTTGTTGTTCTTGCCCGGCACCTCCGAATAGCACGGTTGGCTACATATGGTGCGAAAGAACTTCAACATACATACATACATGGGATGATGTATCAATTCGGATACTTCGCCTCAGAGCAGTGCAACCCTTCATGTTAGAAGATAGCCCATGGAAGCAAATATCACAGAGCTACCTCCGAGACCCCTTCAAGTGACCCCTTCAAGTGACCTCTGGTCCACACAGAATGGTGCCTCACTTACCCCACTTGCCCTGCTACAGATTAGATTGACAAAGGTCAATCTAATATTTTGTATATTTCAGAGCTGAAAATGTAACCAAATGAAATTAAGCGCTTGTATTTAACATCATGGAAATTTTCTGCAATTATTTTAGACTGGGATAACATCATCAACTCATTACATTTGAGAATCCGATTTAGTCAAGAGTAACTGCCTGGATTCGAACCCAAATTCTCTTGAGCTACCCAACCACCTCATTGGTACCCTATTATGATTACTAACCGTGTGTGTGTGTTCTTTGTTGTACTTGTCCTGTGGCACCCTGTAGGTACGTGCATTGCTGGGTTTCTGCACGTGCCAGTTTGCTTTACTGGTGGCAGGTGGTGGTGGCGGCGAGATGAAGCGCAGGTGCCTGCAGCTGCTGTTCCTGCTGCGCCTCCTCACACAGGCACTGCTGCAGGACGAGCAACTTTGCTGGCTCCTCTATAATGGTACCTTGACTGCCTGATTCTATAACCACTCTCCTCCGATCTCAGAAGCTAAGTAGGGTTGATTTTGTTTAGTACTTAATGTAAGACTGCCTGGCAAGTACAATGTGTTGTGTGCTTGGGTTACAGAGCAGCTAGGCAATGGCAGTAAAGCAATGGATTCTTGAATCTATCTGTGTGAAGCGTTTAGTGTTATCCTCCCATATGTGTGGGGTTGTTCCGGGTTCTCTGATGACTTCCCACATACCAATCACTTATTAATGGAATTGGGAAAAGGAAAGCATGCTCACCTGAAAAAATCTATATGTGTTAAAAAAAACTATATATGTGTTAAAAAAAACCTTACGTTAGCTGGGTCGAGTGGTGGTGCAGTGGTTAATGCACGGAACTATGAACCCAAGTTCGATTCTCAGCCATAGCTAACATCATTAGTGAGTGATATCTTAAATAATCCTAGCCCCCTCCCCATTCATCAACCTGCACTGACCAGCGTGGTGAAGTATGGTCAAATATCCCCCACATTAAAATGAATGCTGTGCATTTATATCGGTTGTCTAACTTTAGTCACGGAATATCCAATGTTTTATGCTGTTAAACAATACAAATTGTTGACTTCCTTGCACAATATCTTAAAGTTCTGCCAGATGGTATTTAGTTTACTAACCCTAGAGGAATGGCGATGAGGTCAAGACAACCCTGATGATAATATTCAGCAATATTTCATTCTTTATTCCTTACATGGCCTTATAATGTGCGCTGACTGTTGAATCTGCCAACACTTTTTCTTTACAGGCACCGTTCATATATACACCATTAGCAGACACCTCATGGAGCATGGCCATTCTGCAAAGGTAGAGTACTTTGAAATGCTATACTATTTCGATGGATTTATACCTCGTTTATTCATAACAGTCCTACCGGAGCACTGAGCTGGCAGCACGACTTAGATCCTTGATTCGAATCCAAGCAGCCGGCCGTAATTAAATTGGAATCCCGAGAATATTGAGTTGACGATTTCAGCCTAGTCACCAATGGCTTTACAATATATCCTTATAGAGAACTCGATTTTTATTTCTGCATTTCTGAGCTATGAGTACAAATCATTCTGTGACTTCAGGTTTCCTCCCACACACACATTTCTTAAATAATTGGCCAAGTACTCCAATGTAGAATGTTGCAGGAAAAATATGGACTCTCTTTGTGGCGTTTCTGGATAAACAAGGGCAATATTTTTTTTATTTAGAACATCAATTTAACCAGGAAAGCCTCACTTAGTCTCGACACCCATTTTTCGAAGGTTCCTGCTAAGTTTCACAGTAGGCGTTGATGATTGCTGTGTTTTCCAAGTTGAGTAATTTGAAGGTCATTTTACAAATTTGGACCCTGACGTCGGCACACATGGCCAACTCTTTTTCAAAGGATATGTAACGTCCATTGTAAGGCAGACAAATGGTTAATGCACCCACAGTACTAACCAGGGCGGCGGTCGTGGGGCTTGAATCGCGAACCTCTGCAACAAGCGACATGCGCTGTGACGTTGGCCTCGCCACCGCTCCATAGATTGTAATTGTGGGTTTGTGATTTATTCCAAATAAATTCCAGGTTGACAGTAAATTTAGGATGTGCCTGGGTACGATAAGTAATATTAAAGGAGTTGATAATTATAAACAATAATTGTTATTTACCATGTAAAAAGTAAACATTGACTGATTGAGAATGGAATAATTGGGAGATCACCACGTGGCCCAGAGATCAGAGGGTTGTTTTGTTACCGCTGATACTTTGGGTCCAAATCCAGGCAGCTCCCTGTGGTTAAACCGTGTTCTCAAGTGTAGTGAGTCTCATCCCATTCACCAATGATATCGTACAAAAGTAATTTCGTAAAAAAAAAATCTGGATTTAATTTCGTACATTTCAGCCCTGAGAATTAAAAATATGTATTTGTAGTGAGTCTCATCCCATTCACCAATGATATCGTACAAAACTAATTTCGTAATAAAAATTTCTGGATTTAATTTGGTACATTTCATCCCTGAGAATTTAAAATATCGATTTGTCTGTTACGCTTCAAATATGAGACTGTCTGCACCCCGGGGTTGGGTGAGAAAGTGCTGCCCCCTACTGTGTGGACCAGAGAATCTCAGTGGTTGTTTTGTGATAGCCCCTTGTGTGGGCTATTCTCAAACACGAAGTGCTGCAAGACATGCGAACTGACGCTTGGTTTCTTTGACGACATGACACCGATAGCACAGATGGTATATGTGTGTGGAAAAAATGTATAAAATGTGTCTGTCCGGCGTGCTGTGCGGGTTAGGTGTGTGAGTACTTGCTGTGGGCGAGCGTGTGCATGGAGAGCTCGGTGCCTCTACTGGACGTGCGCTACCTGAGCTGGCGAGCAACGCTGTACACAGCCGTTTGCCAAGCGTACTACGACTGCAAACTACCTGCACAGGCGGAGGTACAGCCAAACCATTGCTGTCTGAGCAAACGAGTGATCGGTTGACGATATTCACCAACACACATAAGCCCCTTACGATTTCAGTGCCTTGTACGAATGAATGTGTGAACTAATCACTTCCCTATTAGACGATTGCAACTCTCTCCTATATGGCCTCGTCAAATCCCTCATTTCTTAACTGCAGATGATCTAAAATGCTGCTGCCAGACATCTCACATGCACTTGTAGATGAGACCAAATCTTCCCTACCCTCCAACCTCCCCACTGTTGCCCAATCTTATCCCAGATTAATTTCAACATCGCACTCAACCTCATGGACTTATCCCTGTCTACCTCTTCTCTCTCATATCACTTTACGCCCCTCCACACGTTTCTCTGCTCCAGAAAGAAGGCCATCACTACCTTCTTGAGTGGTGTTCGCTGGTCTTAATAGCTACTTTCAAACAGCACCTGTCCCTGTCTAAATGGAATTATGTTTTGTTGCATGTGTGTGTGTCTTTGCAGGAATTTGCGAGGCGTGGTCTGGCGAAGATAGCCGAATTGAGTGAACTTGAAAGCCAGAGTTCATCTCCCCACTCCAATCAAGCTGAGAGTGCTTTCCGTGATGCCACCATCAAGGTGCAGGATATTTGTCATGGGTTATTTGCTGGGGTATTCACTTTTACATGTATAACCCGGTAGCACCCACAGTAATTACTGTTAGCGGTGGTGCAGTGGTTAGCACACTGTGCTATGAACCTGGCGACCTGAGTTTGAGTCCCGTTCACAGCACGTCAGTGGCAAGTGTTATCTGCACTGACCTAGCATCCTTCTAAAGCTCTTCACCAACCAGTACTGACCAGCGTGGTGAACTGTGGTCAAACAGATCCCATGACTGACAGCGGCACGGGGAGGCCTTCGAGAGCTCCAGTGTCAGATGTGGGTTACTGTAATGCATGCTATATGTAGCTTGGTGTAGATAAAGTTGTTAAAGCTCAGTTAATATTTCATGGGTAAATGACAACAGAATAATTAAAGATATGGATAGGCAAGATTAAGCCGTGGTGATGCCCACCTGTGACCCAGCACTTTGAAGGCAATGGTTGGAGGATCGCCTAGAGGTTGTAAAGCTCACAAACCCATTGAGTTGCACGGTGGCAAAGGGATAATACAGAAAATGTTTCATGAACCCCACTTGTGTGGACCTTTGATAATTTTTTATGGGTTATCTCCAGTTACTGCAGTTCTCTACCCAATGCAATATGCAAGTTTGGGAACTTGGAAGCCATTCCAATACAGGACACTCCTGAGAATGAGTCTCAATGCGTATTGAGGTTTTCTTGGATACATATATTATAGATTGATTTAAGCCTCTTCCACAACCCTTTAGTCATTATTATTATGATATGTTTATGGTGGTTGGATGGCTCAAATGTCAGGGTACGGAGCTGGCACCACCAAATTCCTGGGTTTGATTCCTGGCAGCCATTCTCGATTGAATCGGCATCACACATATAGCAAATTGATGGTCTCAACCTGGTCAGCAATGACAGTACAAAAATTAACTAGTTACATTTCATATTCTTGGTTTTTTCGGTAAAGTCACGTAGAAGGGAAAGAACCAAGAATATGAATCCCTGCAGTCACGAAAGCTTTCAATCAAAATTTAGTTACATTTCGTTTTACACCTACTTTGACATGAATTCCAGCTCTTGAGAGTTACAAATATCATGTGTGTTGAAAAGTACTGCCGCCTAGAAGTAGTTTTGTGATCTCCGTGATCTACGCTTCTGTAGGGCCTTTCTCGAAAAATAAAGGGTTGGACTTCTCTGCGAGAGATTATTTATCTTTTGAAATGATGCCGAGAGCACGTTTGGGATAAAATCGGGGACGCAAGACAAACAAATACGAAGAAAAAAGGATTGGTGGTGTATTTATTTATTTTAAGTGTTCGTACAGAGTGTGCCAATAGCATTGTAAACTACTTTCACTCGGGTTTCTTGTTTCCTGTGTGCTCTCAGATGGCCATTATGATTTTCAAGCACACAGTCTTTGAATCCAGAAAGAAGCCAAAAGGGTTTTTGAGGACGAGAATGAAGACGAACTTGCGCGACCCCAAAATTGTAAGTTATGCATCCACAATTTTGAATAAATGTTTTTATAATACTAACGTTGCTAGACACAGTGGCTGTGTAAACCAGAAAATCCAGAAACTTTCAGACAGTTGGTAGATCACATATGTGCAAGACTCCTGTCTGCAAGGTTATTGGGTGGTACCTGTCATTGGCAGTATGGAAAGTAGGTTTCTGGCCAATCTGTGGATGTTGAATGTTCTCATTATTTTTCTCTGGGCATTTCGGCTTCTGTCCACTGACAATAAGGAGTTATCTAAACACACCTTGTACTGCTATCCTGAATTTTTTTTTTACATGCAGTAAGGCTTTCACCACGAGCATGCTAAATAACCACTCTTGTTATGTGACTTTGTAAATTATATTGATCTTATGGTAGGTAACCCTGTATGTCCAAGACTTTTAGAAGTTGCACTGGGGAGGTAGCCATGTGGCTCAGAGGTCAGAGTGCTGAACTGGAAATGATGAGCTCTTGGGTTGAAATGTAGGGAACCAACCACCATGATAAACCGGGTTCCCTAGTATCGTGAGTTGATGGCATCAGCCAAGTAAAAAATTACTACAAATAAAAACATTGTGAAAAACACAAAATACTTTGCACTTAATTTGCCTGAGAATGATGTAATAAATAACTTGCACCGCTGTCTTATATAACCCATATTTAAAAGAGATGTAAGCAAATAGAAATGAGCTTTGTTATAAAAACATCACATACTATGACATGTATTACACTGGCATGCGTACAGCACATACCACAACATACATAGCATTGCCACACTGCTGCGGTGGAGATGTAGTGAGTGATAGACACGACTGACTAGAGATGAAGGTATAGCGACATGAGAAAAAAAACAGAGAAATTGTAAATATGAGATCTAAATGAGAGAGAGAGATGTGAGTTGAGAAATATGCAATATAGAGACACCGTGACAGAAAAAGTGTGATTATATGCATTTGTGTATTTTAATGATTGGAAATGTAGTTAATATGAGAGATATACATTCAGTAGAAATTAGAAGATAGGTTGGAGGTGCATCATAACAAAATTTAAAATATGCAGAGATATAAAGAGAGTGATAGGAGATGTATTTAGAAGAGAGAAGATATGAGAGAGATGTTACCACCCACTCACATGGCTTAACCTCCCTGACATTACCAACCCGGTTGCTGTAACCGGTGCAGGCGCAGGCGGCATGGCCCCGCACAGGCACCGAGCGGTTGCTGTCGGAGCTTCTGGAGGGAGGTGCGGCACAAATGGTGGCCGTCTTGGACGCCCTGTCGCACCGGGCCGCTGAGGAGTGCGCACCCCACGCGTTGGCAGGGTCTCCAGCCGCCGCCTTCGACCACGACTCTGCGGAAGTCTCTGCAGAGCTCTTCTTTGCCGGAGCGGAGATCATTGCAGGTGCATGGTGGGGCGAGGCATGTGGGAAGGGTCTATGGCTTCGTTATTTTATGCAATTGTTTTTTGCACCAGTATATATAGCATGGGGTGTAAGTTACTTGCTCTGCATGGCTCCGGTGTTTTATGATGGGGCAAGTGATTTGTAACGTGTGACGTCATGAGATGACATTGTGAGATGATGAGATGCCCCACCGTTACCCGCAATGCACCTGATATTATCTCTTTTGTGGAAGCTAAGCAGAGTTATTCCTGGATAGTGTTTGGATGAGCAGCCACCGTGCATGACAGGTGTTATCGGCTGCGGGGCTACGTAGTGGGCAGTGTCTTTAAACGAATAATTGTACTGCACTTCTATTCACCCACATCTATCCTCTCTGCCTTTATCAACCTGTTCTGGCCAGCGTGGTGAAGTATGGTCAAGTAAACCCATGAACGACTGTACACCTTTGTATTTATTTAAATACTTAACCTGGGAAATCCTCTGAGACGGGATGTCTCATTTGCAAGAGTGTCCATATATGCATTTTCATAGCTAATTCCAGTACAATCCAGGCTGACACCTACTTGGCTTCCTAGATATGATGAGATTGGGTGTATTGCTTGTGACTTGGTCATAGAATATTGAATAATACATCTTGCTCATTTTAACCGACAATATGGATACTTTTAAGTCGCGTCTAAAAACAAATGTTATTAATTAAATGTATTCTATGTAGCTCTCCTTCTCTCTTGGCCTTTCCTTAACTTTAATCTGACAAGGCGCCTTGAGACATTAGTTGAGGGCACCTTACAAATAAATGTTAATGATTATTATTCAACAATAACTGTTCAATAGCAAGTAAAAATATCTTTGTGGGATTGCACTTGAAAATAAATGGGTTTGAAACATGTCTTGACCACTTCTTGCATGCAAACCGATTTCATGATTATAGAGGAATAAAACCACTATAGTTTAACATTAGAATCCCACCACTCACCAACAAACAAACCAAACACTTTACAAAAACACTCTTTTCTGCCACGTGTGTTTTCAAAATATGCCAATTTGTTACGAGGTCAGCACATCGGTGTGTTGGAGGGTACTGTGACGTTTCGCCAGTAACGTGAGCCTCCCTTGCCTTACACCAGGAGGTGGAGGAAATTCTGAACGCAGAGGGGCCATCCTGAGCTCCAACGTCCTGGCTGGCATCAGAGATGGACAGAGTCTCATGGAATTGGCAGTCGCCGGTGAGTTGCTCAGCACGAGCAAACGGACTTTGTACACCGTTCAGCTAAGGTCGTTTTAAGGCACATAAAAGCCTCATCCACAACCCCACCATTGCTCCCCACGGCTTTGATCTGACAAGAAAACTACGGTGCTCCATCAACCGCTTCAGAACGGCAACTGGTCGCTGTGCCACACCTCCTCCTCCACACAAGTGGAGAATTAAAGACAACCCACAGTGTGACTGCGGCCACCCGAACCAGACAATGCAACCCACATCATGAATAACCACATCCTACGCCCGCTCTCCAGCAGACTGAGCAGCATTAGTCACGCTACTCCCAAAGCTATCACATAACTCACAGACTTAAATGTGGATGTGTGAATTGCACATACTTGCCATACGCTAGAGAGAGAGAGAGAGAGCTAAGGTTGAAAGCGTTACTGCATGCGCTCTGTCTCTTTGTGTGTTGGTCTGTCCGTCTCTGTGTCTGTCCACAACGAAAGGGTAGGGAGCATTCTTGATTTGAAGCTTTCATGACTGCAGGAATCCATGCTCTTTGGTTCTTTCGGTAAAGTCACGTAGGTAGATAAATAAAATATAATATATCACGATGTTTTGATCGCAACACAAGCAGTCAAATACACTCTAATGCTCACCATATACGCATCATATCATGCTTATAAGAAGTCATTCTTTTCTATTCGTGTATCTTGTCTGCGATTGGTTCACTGCCCTCTGCAACCATGAGAGACTCCATATGCTTCGCAATGGCAAAAATAATTGATTATTTAATAAAATCACGACCCCAGCCTGGGACAATTCATTGACTCATGTTGGGGGTGGGGGGAGTGGTTCATAATTATCACAATGCACCTATGGAGTCAAATCAACGCGATCTCTTTCTATCACGCAGAGTGTACCTCTCCATTATCCGTGGTAAATGATCTCACTCATAAACAATAAAAACAGACAATGCATTCTGCGTCTTCACCTCCGTTTTTTTTCCCCGCACGTCAACGACAAATACTTTGCGATTGACGTAATCTACGCGTGTGTGGGCACGGCAGGCGAGGACGGTGTGACTGAGGAGGCAACGGTCCGTTTCCTCAAGCTGGCCTTCTTGTGCGAACGGTGGGACATATTTGAGGGCCTCATCTCCCCCACACTCGGCTACTTACAGGTGAGGCTGCCACCCCCACGATTGCTTGTAATCTCATCAGAGATACTCTTAGGTTTTTTCGGTAAAGTCACGTAGGTAAAACATTTTTTTTATTATTATTTTTTACCTACGTGACTTTACCGAAAAAAAGAAAAAAAACCTAACAGTATGAATCCTTGCAGTCACGAAAGCTTCAAATCTAGGACTCATCAGAGATCTCAGAAGCCAAGCAGATGTGGGGCCTGGTTAGGGCTCGGTGACCACAATGCACGGCAGGTTGTCACAGGCAGCTGCGCGAGGGTTTGCTACGTGATGGTTAGAAGAGGGCAGTGCAGAATTACCCATTGCACTTTGAGACTGCTGACACGTCTATAACTGCCACGCAGCAGTGGATTTATAGATGGGTTGTAAATGTAATACTTTCTCATTATTAATGTGGATAACCTTGTCTCCTCCTGGTTGGCTGTGGTTGGAGTGGTGGCACACCTGTTAGTGCAAAGCACTGTATGATGCTTTGTATGAACCTATCAGTTTGAGTCCATTCATGGCTGCAAGCGAACATCAGTGGTTAGCGATATTTTAACTCATTCTAGGCCTCTCCCTTTACCAACCCCTACTGACAAATATGGTGGAGTATGGTCAAACAACACCCATGACAGACATGGTGTGGGGAGGCCTTCATCCAGCAGCGAATTAAAAAATCGGCTGTAAAATTAATATTGGTGCACTGCGGTGGCGAGATGTTATATAATAGGAGGTCGTGGGTTCGATCTCAACCCTGACGCACATTTTTGATGTGTTTGTATGGATTTTTCTCCGGGGCCTCCGGTTTTTTCCTCGACATTTCGAATCAAAGTGCATTTAGAGTATTTGGCTGCTATACATTTCCACAGTGATAAGTAACTTCATTGGGCTATCATCTTTGGCCAGGTCACTTCTGCGAATGAGCTATATAGGTCAGTAGGCCTCACCTGGTTAAATAAAAAAAGTTGAATTTCGTTTTAGATTGTGTTTCTGATAATATTGGATAACTTTACATCCCTCCTAAGACAATTTACATTTATTTGATGATAATGAAGACTGTGTGATGAGGATGATGATAATGTTATTGATGACAACCAATGAGGATGAAAATGTTTGTTGACCCTGGCACGTGTGTGGCAGACCAAGGGCACTACAGGACGAGGAGAGCTCCACCAGACCCTGGAGCTCTTGCAAACCTTGGAGCCACTCTTGTCTGGACGGAGAACAAAGCACGCGGGACTCACGTCTGCCATGGACTCCTCCATGGACGAACAAACGTTCGCCAATGGTACGATGCAAAACCCGATAATCCGACGCCACGCACACAAAAGTCGCGTGGCATTGATCGGCGTGATGTAGTCTGACTTTTTGCTCCGTGTGGCTGGGAGCTTCCTCTGATCCTGAATCGGAAGTTTCCAGCAGGTGAAGCGAAACGTTGGACGTTCAATAAATCCTAATTAAACACTTGTTTTGGATCAAGTCAAACACGAATCTCTGATGCCACTGTGAATATACTAACACGACCACACAATGTTCTAAGATACACAGTGCTCTGAGTTTGGTATACATTTTACAGTGACCTAGGCAGACCCCTCTGGAGACCCTTTTGATGATAATTTTACCTTGTGATGAAGACAATAATGGGACATTTTGTTTAGGACTTATAAATGATAACCACTCTTAACTCTGAACATTTTACAGAGGCATTGAAGCAATCCACTGCACATAGATTGAGCCACTTCTTGGTGAGATAACCTGAACATGATTTATACATTGTTATTCTTCCAAGTCCATACCTGTCAACCCATACGGTTTACCCGTATTCTTGTACAGGGAAATTGAGTTTCCAGGTCCATACAGCGTACAGTCGTCTCAATACGGGCAAAAAAATAAGAAATAAATGTCTTTGTTTGTGTTTCTTCCTTGTGACGGGACTTATTAAGATAACCATTGAGATGTATAAGCACATGGGGTGACCATTAAGGTCTGAAATGGTCTGTAATAAGGCATGCAAGTCATGCAAGAAAGAGACTTTGAAGAAAGTTTATTACTGTCAATCCACACTCTGTTGGTTATGGGCGGGGTTTGACTATACTTCACCATGCTGGTCAATGTCATTTGGTGAGGAGGAGGGGGTACTGATGTCGGATGTAGCCAGAAATCAAACTCAGGTGTCTGGGTTCGGAGCGCAGCATGCTAAGCTTCACACTTCAACTCCCCCAAGCAGGGAATCCGTTATCCTACAAATTAGTTATTCATGTAAATCCCACAACCTAGTTAGTTATCGTTTGATGGTCAAAGGTGAACATAGCAAATGCTAATGTAATATGATCGGTGTAGGGGCAAGACCGAAGACAGCTTGGAGTTTGGATGAACTGCTCACAGCAGTGGAGAAACTGAATGCTGCTACAGAAAGCCTGCACGCTACAGCTGACTTGACATCAAAGGTACGACTCTGCGGGCGTACTGAGATGATCGTTATCTGCTCGTGGATATAAATAACATGTCAGCGACTGCTTTGGCAGTGTGGTGTCAAAACACAGCCTGCGCTGGGAGAAGGAGGTCATGGCAGCACAGAACGGGAGGACTGGGGGTGGTGGTAAGGGAGAGAGAAGGTGGTACTGTCCATTAGGATACAGCTATACGCTGTTTAGCACGGCTCAGGTTCGAACATAGTTCTATAACGGCCGTGGTCCACTTGTAAGTCATAACAGGTCATTGTGGTGGTGATTTCTGTATTTCTGTTTGTCTCCTTCGATATCTCTCTGTGTTTATCTGTCTCGTCTTCTCTCTGTGTCTCTGTTTCTCGGTGTCTCTGTCTTCTCTCTCTACAAATCTTTTGGTGTTCCTCATGCGATTTTGACACCCCCTTACAGCTTTGCGCCCTAGTGGGCGGTCCCGATTGCCCACCCGTAAGGCCGAGCCTGGCTCTTTATTTGTGTTTGCTCAGGCAGTGCAGGAGGAGCGTTCTTTACTGACGGACGCTTCTGCACAGCTTTGGCACGGATGCAAAGCTGCGCTGTCGCGGGTGCAAATGAGAGGAGCGAACGACTCCGCTCGACATCGGGTCAAGACCGACAGCCTCACTAAGGTGCGGCCTACACTGCCTCCTTTTGTTTAAAAAGGAAAGCCTCCTCACAAAATATTTGTTTTCTGTCATGGCCTGCTTGGCATAGTTGGCAAGTTTCTTTCTGAGTGTGTTTTCTCATCCGGTGGCACTGGAAAGTCTATAGTAAGCCTTCAAAATACAAAAAAATACCTGAAGCCACCTAATTTCTAGGAGGCTCAACTGCGACACACAGTGAGCTGGCAGCCCCTCCCTACATTAGCCCCACCCACTTTTACATAGCGACACCCACTCAGTTTCTAGCCCAGCCCAGTGAGTGGCTTCCTCATATGTTCTACTGTTTAGAGGCCCCACCTTCTGCACATTGACCCCGCCCTCTCTTCTGTCAGCTCTGCTCACCACTTAGGTAGCCCTACCCAATGCCTGTATCATGAGGCTTGATTAAACAACCCCCACGACTGACACGGGGATTGGGATGCCTTCACCCAGGGGCGGATTTAAAACGGACAAAAAAAGTAATGTATTGTTATCTATAAGACTGCACAGTTTTGCAAAGTATGGAGTTGTGCATTCTGGGAATTACACTGCAGGACAGAAAGAAGAATGCAAAAATAAGAACACGTGAAGGTTAGAGACATCATATCGACGATTAAGAAAAGTAATTGGGCCAATTAGTAAGGTAGTTGACCCTCCCAACCAAGTGGCAGTCAAATGAGAAAATACCACCAACAGGACGTTTACGAGATAAACAAATTAAATTAACTCCTGTGCAGGTGCCAGACTGGATTGTTACATTGCAGCACCATGAGATGGCGGTGTCTTGCATAGGCCTTGATCTGGCAGCAGATTGATTATGGCTGTGGATAACGATTGACCGTGACTTTACCGAAAGAACCAAGAATATGAATCCCTGCAGTTACGAAAGCTTTTAATCGAAAGATTGACCGTTTATAAAAGTAAGTGGGCTTGGGCAGGACACATCGATAGTAGGGATGTACGGTCACTGGTCAAGCCACGATGGAGAGGCAGCTAATTGAGAAAGATGGAACAATGTGAACGATGTGATCAATTGATGTGCTGGTGTAGGTGGATTTTTACATCGTAAAACTGTGAGAGATGGCGATGGCTTGGGTAGACTTTAATCTGGCAATGGATTGATCACGGCTAATGATGATGATGATAAGACTTAACGACAGAGCTTATCTCTTGTATTTGTTCTGTAGCTGTGCCGAGCACTGTGTTCGCTGCACGGGACCATGTGTGTGCTGGGCGTGGCACAGAAAGATCTCCTGGCCTTGGTCGAAGCTTCTCTCCGTCTTTCCGCACTCCTACAGAGCAGCGCTGAACAGACTTTGCGACATGGTAGGTTCGAATCGATGTTCGCTTACATCACTGTTCCCGGCAGTATTCCTGTGCTAAAACTTGGTTGCTTGTGTTTGATGCCGTGTAGCGTCAGCCCAGGCAAGCAGTGAGGCTGACAGGTCGGCTAGCAGCCAACGCAGCCTTCAAACAGATATGGTCACGGTAAGATCACATGCTCATCTCGGGTGTCTTCATTACCACCTTCACTTGATAACAGCTGCAATTCAATCCCCAGCACTTGATCTAGTAGTTCACAAGTAATGTGTATCATCAAGTCAAGTCAAAAGACCATATTGTTTCGTTTCTGAATAAAAAGCATCTTTGCAATGCCGGATTTTTATACGAAATGTTCCGAAACGTGTTTGGACTTCATGCGGAAAGGGTTGTTGTAACCATTGCAGTGGCCATTGTACCACATTGTGTCAAAGAATGGTCGCAAAAGGTAATGTTACTTCTTCTTAAGTTACTTATTTCAGAATATGTATCCATCTGCACCTCCGATTACCATGGCTGGCTACGTACGGTGCGAAATAAGTTCAACATACATCCACCGTAGGGGCACACCTTTTATAAGCCCTGCAGGGAGTGTGTTTCACACGTGAAGAGTTCTGAATTTTCAGTTATCAGAGGTGCATTAAGCCAAATACAGGAGAAAGTTATTTGACGGTCTCACCAATAAATGTGCTAAGGCCATCAACTCCAGACAGGCTTAAATGTGGAATCATATTGTTGCACCTATAAGCGCAGTGGGTGTGCTTGTGCTGTGCGTGTGTGTATCTGTGCATCTGTTCGTCCACTCAAGAGCTACCGCGAGCAACTGTGGCTGGCATTTGTTGCTCTGAGCCGGGCCCTGGATGAAGTTGGTGTCGCGCGAGGACTCACTCGACCCCGCGGTGGCTCAGCCATCACCTCCATGGACCCGAGCAGGGTGAGGCAGCCCCATTCACTTCTTGAATGAGAAAACTGTGCAGCCCCGCAATTTCTCACTGACGCCACTGCTTGCGGAAAGAAGTTCCTGGAGAAAACCTGCTCTTCTTAGGGGATAGCAGAACCATTCTGTGCCGATAGCCTGTCATAGACATACTTTCTGTACTGCCTCTTACAGGCATCACCTGCATTATCCTGCACATGGGTCTACACGTATGATGGCATGATCTACATTTGTACTGCACACGGGAAAAAAATATCTCTCATGGGCGAAGCGGTGATGCGTTCGCCGCTTGTTGCAGAGGTTCGAGCCCAGCGGCTGCCCTGGTTAATACTGCGGGAGTTTTAATTGTAAATTTACTTCACAGTGGACGTTAAAGATCACGTGACCAATGCCTGTGTCAGAGGACACTGAGCCGGCACCAGATGCTGAATTGCATCTTCCTCTAAACCCTCGCCGTGTGTGTTGCCCCATCAGGGTGATGCTGAGGGGTGTGAACCGGGTATGGAGTCGAGCACTCGCACAGCACTGGAGGAAGATCTGCACCTGGAGATGCTGTGGGAGAGGACATAGGGTGGCTCTCAAACTGTTGCACTATGCAGCAGCCAACCTCCAGTGAGTGCCCATGCAGAATTGTGTCTTCACTACCGTATCTGTGTGTGTATGTTTGTATCAACGGCAGAGATATTTGGTATTGCATTGGCCGATTGATGTCTAAACCGGTTACTCAAACGTTTGGTTGGAGAAATTCGCCACCCCCTGTAAGCGGATGCACATGCCGGTTTTCCCAATTTGATAACCCATAACATTAATTTTGCACTGCTACCACCTGCAAGCAAGCCTTTACATCTCCAAGCCTTAGAATGCACCTAGCCTGGCACGAGTGCCCTCATGATATCACCAACAATTTGTTATAGGGGAGTGAAAGGTGCTCACCCTCGCTGTTGTTCGATTTGTGCAGAAGCAGATGGCGGTCAACTCAAAAAGCCGGGGAGAAGTTGCAGAGAGTGCATTCCCAAGCAGCCTGGCACTGATAGCAGCCTCACAGGTACAGAAGCCTACCCTGACACCAAGCACTAAACCATAACGTGGCATGACCATAATCGCTGTGGGAAAGAGTAAGTTAACCCAGGAATATGTAATTTATATACAACATTGTGGGATGCAATTCGCATGAATGGCACTGTAAAATAAAATTAATATTACTTTTTTTTAATTCTCTGACTGTGGACGAAAGGGGAGGTTTGGTGAAGTACCCTGAATCTCTGCAAAGTATGGAAGCGCGAGTCACGTATGAATCAGAGACGACTCCCATGACTTAAACAGCTTCACGAAGCAAATGCATTGTGTATTTAAAGAATTCGGGGAGAGCTCTCCCATTGCGATGTGCGCGGTTGCCTCGTTTTTTTGCTACAGAGCTATGTTGCTAAACGCTCCGCATATGTCTGTGATGGTAAACCACAGAGGAAGATGTTCTAGCAACAGTCGGACGCAATCCCTTATCCAAGGCAGCGTTCATCATGCAGAAAGCCCTACTCGAGGCTTCTGCTCCTGCCAAGGCACCCAGTGAAGTCGCTAAGATGTTGGAGGTGAGAGTACAAAGGGCATGACTGTCGAGCGTGCGGAAAGTGTGACTGCATTGGGGCCCCGCAGGTTGGAGGGACCCTCCGAACACGTGGAATATTGGGCAGGGGGCCCTCTTTTCAATTCCTTGCACCAGGCCCCATGACAGTAACCATGCTGTGCACCGCTGCCCAGTTGCCAGCGCGTGATGTGTACCGTGCATTCAAAATCCCCAGTAACCTTTTTTGCGTAAAAATAAATCAGACTATTGCACCGATTGAACGAAACCATTCATTTTGAACAAGGTTTAACTGATTTTATTATTAACACGTTACAAATTGAACAGTAATATGACTTGGGGTAAGTTTGTGTTTTTTTTTCATTTTGGTAACAAAAATGTTCCACTAAAATTGCGTCTTTTTTTTCATACTTCACCGCACTGATCAGTGTGGGCTAGTGAAGGCGGGGGTGCAGGGCTAGTTCAGATATCCTTCCCCACTGATGTTAATTATTGTCAAGAATTGCACCTAGGCCGTAGAGTTTGTAACACAGTGCATTAGCCACTGCACCAATGCTCCACTCCTAAGTAGTGGGTGGGGAGTGGTGGCCAAGTGGTTAGTGCCATGAACCCAGAGTCCATGTTCAATTCTCAGCCACTACCCAACATCAGCGGTAAATGATATCTGAACTGACACAGCTTGGTCAGATACGGTCAAACAACTCCCACGACTGACACGCCTTGGCAAGGCCTTCATCCAGCCGGGGATTAACAAAGGGCTGAATACAAACGGTACCTGCGTTGGTCTTACGTGCGCTGTAGGGTGCGGCTGGCCTCATCCGCAAGGCAGAGATGGAGAAGAGCGGTTTTCATCTGCCGGGACGTGGCACGCCCAGGGGTCAGGGGGCCGTGCCACCCCCGCCCCTCCTGTTGCGGTGTGGAGAACGCGGCGCGGTGTTCACCCCTGTGCCCTTCAGCGGCTCACCGCAGGTGCCACTGCTCACACGATCACACGGCGCACGAGCTGCGTGTGATCGTACAAGCACGTGAATGCACGAGCACGCATGAGCGCACCTGCACACGTATGTATGCATGATGTATGTTGAACTTCTTTCGCACCGCACGTAGCCAATCGTGCTAATCGGAGGTGCGGGGGAAGGACAACAAACTAAATGCAAAAAGCAGTTCTAAAGTTCTACATATGCCTGGATGACAGCTGCATCTGTGAATAAGTGACAAATATATATTAATATGCAAATGATTTGACTGCATGAATGCTTAAATGGATTTGTTGATATCGCATTCGTCATCACCATCACTACCACCACCACGATAATTGTGACCTATAATCATAATAAAAAAAATGTTTTTATCATTCTTGATATTTTACATTCTTTATTTGTTTACACCCCAGGTCTCTTTTTAAAGAATAAACCCTTTGGTTATAACGTGTTCATATATGTATTATGCGTGTGTTTTTACAAAACTCACCTTCATATTGTCATCACTATCATCATCATACCTTACTAAACCAACAGTAGTCTTCCAGTCTGACTCAGGAATTGCTAGTGCAGGAATAGCTTGCAGGTCCAAATCAGGACTCTGTTTTGTTGATCGCTCTCTCGGTGACGGCAGCCTTGTCCCACCTCCCCACAGGTGGTGTGGTACCGACTGCTCGGGCGCACGGCCGCGGGACACAACGTGAAAGTGCGGCTCAGTGACTACCACCTGCAGGCCACTGGAGAGGAGGTACAGAGCACAGTGGAGCCCTAACCAGCCAGCGCCAGGCCTCTCAGTTCATGCACGGGCGGACATGGGTTGGCCCAGCTACAACTAGACGTGTAAAGTTACGTAGGACAATCTATTGAAATGTATTCTTGCGCTTAAGATAAATACATTTAAATTTGCATGTTAGAATATTTGTTTTATGATTCATGTAATTAGATACAAATGGTATGCGAATGTTACATTTAGATGAATTGAGTGAACAGAACTATACAAAATAGACAAGGGAAAAATGCAAATTCTGACGATATTAAAAAAAAATTCAATCGAATCATGATCCCAAATCATGACAATTCGTCGAGGAAACATTCCATCATCATTATCATCATGTGTGGCTGCCCGGGGTTTGGTATTTGATCTCAGCTGTGTGAGCTCAGAATTTGTGACGCGGCCAATAAGAGCCACCTGAGACGCCTGACCCACCCTCGAAACGTCTCACCGTGAACGCTTACAGGTGCTCGCGGGCGAAGGGTGCCTCCTCCGTGCCGAGGGGCTGCAGCCTAACGAGAAGTACGTGTTCGCGGTGGCGGCATACGCTCGCGACGGCAGCCTGGTGGGGGGCACCATTGGGGAGACCACTCGCCCTATCCTGGCATCGTGCCCCCTGCCCACACTTTTGGCATGGGCCTATCTGGCGCAGGTTTGTCGCACAGCAGCCACCCAGCGATGCACTCGACACACTCACACATCAACCAGCCTGCTAGACCACCAACCACTCACATTCATCAACCAGTCTACGAGACCACCAACACACCCACCCATGAGCCAGCCCACCAATAAACTATCCACCAGCCTACTAACCCACTGACACACCTATCCGTCAACAAGTCTGCTCATCCACTGACACTAAACTAACTATTCCCACCAACTCACATAACTCATTAACCAGCTCACTAACCCTCCAACACACTTACCCTGCTCAATAAACCCACCAGCAACAACGAACACACCAACACACCTACCAAGTAAATACCCAACCCAATCACAAAGCATCCAGCAGACCAACCCTCCTATCTACTAATACCACCCATGCAACTACCTGCCCATAAACACACTTATTCACCTACCAACCAACAAGACCACCAACCGATCCGAATGCACCGATCAATCAACCCGTTAACCCACATCGCCGCTTCCCTCGGCTAATCCTACTGTGGCGTAGCAGTCAAGTCTGTAAGGTTTACGTGTAAAGCAGAGAAACGCATAGTGATGTTCAAAAATGTTGCCCGACTTTTTCAAGGCCTTCAAGAGTGCTATTGTGGCCGGGGTGGTGTTCTGTTGTTGCAGGTGGCTTTCCAGACGCGATGTTTCACCATCGCGAGGTCAGCATGCACACTGCTCTGGGATCATTTTGTGTCCTCGCCAGAGTCTGAATCTGACTCTGAAGACTCTGTGAAGCGGTGGAGGTAGGCTAAAGCTACCACATTTCTGGGAATCTCAATCAGGACACTTGGTGAACTGGCAGCCCTACCAACTTTTATATAGCGACGTGCACTCAATCACTATCCTGCCCTCACAGTGAGTGTTCTTGCTGTTTGTGACATTGGCCCTGCCTACTGCCCGTCGGCCGCCCCACCCCAGTCCGCTGCCAACCCGACCTACGACTCAGGTAGCCCTGCCCTTTGCCAACCTCGTGAATTGAACATGAGGCCTGAAAATATTAACTGGGGGAAAATGTCCAATTTTCTCAAATGCTTTGGAACACAGGAACAGCCTTTCTGAACCCAGGACGTTTAGTAGCTTTAAGGTAGTCAGAATAATACTTCAATGCCATGTATTAACCCAGGTAAGCCTAAACGAGTCGTGACGCTCATTTTCAGTAGGGTGGTCATGCACTGAAATGTTTGTGCAGTTTCATTAATGAGTGTTTGGCCTTGGATTTGGACAGAAGCCCATACGAGAATACTCAAAGGTTAAATCATTCTGTTGGTAGCTACCTTCAGTAGCTAGGAATATTACAATACATTGATGCCTGCAATTGCAATCAATTGTTACGTTAACAATGTACAAGTTATGCGTGTATCAATGCATTCTTTATTAAACAGAATAGATAAGCAAGCAATATGTCTCCTTCATATATCTGGCACTTTGGGTGGCAGATTTGTGCTAGAAAGGCGCCATGTATTAACCAAAGAGAAATGTACTTGACTTGACTCATTAATTAGAGTAATTTCTTACCAGAGGACAGCCCATCCTGTGGACACAGTACATCTTTCCCATGAGTCCATCCCTCTCTCCCATTCACACTTAACGCACAGCACGCTCACTAACAAAACCATACATTCGTGTGGTGTTTGCATGTATGTCTCCATAGGCTGCGGGAGGAGGCAGTGAGTGGGGCGTCGCCCATCCTTCTCAGGCTGTTCGTGTCCAGCGTCTTCATCTCGTGTGACGTGACCATGGGGGGTGCATCTGTCTCCTCGGAGAAGCGCGTTCCCCTGCAATGGCAGGTACGGGAAGAGAGTGGTGGTGGTCGTGGTGTTGTTGGGTGGCCGTAGAGCAAGTGTGGCATCCCCGCTCTAGCTCTTTGGGTTTAAGGCCACGTTACACGAGGGCATGATTCTTCAACTGGCAGACTGCAGTCCAGATGTGGCCCACGATGGCTCTTGGAGCGTTCCACTGAGAGATATGTGGCTCTCCATTATGAGTAAGATGTAAGATATATAAACGAGAGATAGAGATTATAGAGCTGTAGACAACGTGTATGTTATTGAGAACGTTTATTGGGTATTTTGACTTATTTTCTAAGCTGTACGGACATTCTTGGAAGAGGTGGGAGGGCTCACACTTTACCACACCACACACGGCCTATAAATCGAGCAACTGTGGTACACCAATTTATACTACTCCGTGAACAGAGGCGGGAGAATGGAAGCAAGTTGCACCATTGTTTCAACTGCTGTACCAGGAAATTGAAACGGCAATCTCTGGATTGCAAGTCCAGTGTGCTCATCATTACACCGTGGCAGCATAGCGCCATCCTTGATGGGCCCTGCTCACTGCCACTGACCTCTGGGCGAGTCCGCCCCTGTGTGATGCCCTCAGAGCGCCCGTCTGGAGGAGTGCGCACGTGTGCTGGTGGCGCTGGAGCTGTGTCATCATCATCTGGACGAGCCGGCGCTGACCTTGCAGGCCGGGGCCACGTGTCACGGGCTTCTGGCGCCTTTCATGTACCACGGCGTGACTTCAAGAGCCGCGGCAAAGGCATGCGTGCACCACACACACATGCACAAATATACACAAAGATAAAGATCCTCCATATAGCCTTGACAGACTGTTGGTGCAAGTGCTGTTAGCGAGCACCTGTTGAAAGCCAGCATGGTACACAAGGGAGTGGGTGGCCAGCACCACACCCGGCCACCTTTGTTTCCCCAGTGCGATGTTGGCCGTGAGCGGGTATCGAACTTGGGTCGCTGGGTTCGTAGCGCAATGCGTTAACCGCTACACTACTGCTTCCCTATATATACACACACACACAGGGGCACACAATCTACACACATTGGCATAGAGACCCATCTACATGCCTTCCTACTCATTTACCCATGCACTTATCAACGAAACAAAGTTTAATCTTGGTTCGGTGTGTGTACTGTGATGTTTCTTCAGGTCCTCTGGTTATGCCTGGATATGATAAAGGCAGTCCCGGCATCTGTCCGTGTGCGCAAGCAAGCGGGCTTCAGTGAGAGTCTCCAGCACATGGTTGCGAAAATGTCAAACTACCTGGCCAAGGTGATTGCCACCACCCTTTTGTGGTTATAGGAAAATGATTCCCGCAAGGCATGAGGTTGCCACACGTTCTGATTTTCCCAGGACGTCCTCTTTATGAGGTCGCCACCTTGGGGAAATTTGGAAGGCTTCTTGGGTCAAATGAGGTATCCTGATGCAATTCTCTGACTCTGCCACCTCATTGTAAAATTATAGGTGTTGCTGTACATCAAGATCAGCCGTACAAGGAAGCATTAAAAGTCGCGGTGTTTTGTCAGTTGAATAATGATAATGCACCATGGTATTGTGAGATATTCATCTCATATTATAACATGGTCTTCTGTAACTCAGAGAATGCAATTATACATTGTAGAAAGTTTATGTATCGATCTGTCTGGTTGTTTATCCATATGTCTGTCTTTCCATCCATCTTTATGTCCATGCATCCATATCTCCATCTGTCTACCTCCATATTTATTTGTATAAAAAGATGTCTTTGTCTGTCTGTCCATCTTTCAGTGACAGCATTAACACGGGTACATTTCAGTGTCTGGAGTTCAGTGAGCGATTATAATGATGATGATCACCCAGGGACACATGCCAACCACGCTACACCACTTGTGGGATCCGTGTCGACAATTAAAATTTCATCGAGGTCAATGATTGCTTCCTGTGTGAGGACGACCCCTCCGAGGTTGGGCTGAGGTGGTCGATTGCTGATGTTTAACCGCACTTTGCACAGGCGCACTGTGAATGGAATGAGCCGGACATCGCTGGTGATGCCCTGGAATTGGGAAAGCGTCTCCTTCGAGAAGACCTTGATGGCTTGGCCCTGCCCTCGTCTCTCGAGATGCCCAGGGCGACCGACAGGCAGGATGTTGGCAGTAGCACACTGCTGGAGGTCAGGAAAACACTGCAGTCGTGTCTTCATTCATCGGTGTAGATTGTCAAAGAATGATGCGTATCAATTAATCGATTGCTCTTGTCTTGCAGACACACACCTAGATAGTATGTTGTGGGCTGTCCAATATACGTGTAAAGCTTCTATAATGAGAAAACAACATTAAAACCATAGCCAGTCTTATATAACCCATGAGGCCACTGTACTAGAGGCAAGAAGATAAATTAATCTCGAGTTGAATCACCACTGCTAATCATGAAAAATCATCGAATTGCGAGGCAGTGGATTGTTACACGTCTCGTTTGATAGCTGGCGGATGAAGGCTTCCCCATGCCGTGTCAGTCATGGGGGTCCTTTTACTGCCACTGGCTAGAGTGGGTCAGTTACGGGAGGGTCCAATATCACTTGAAATGTCACTTGCCACTGATGTTAGCTGTAGTGTAAAATTGAGCTCAGGTTATCGAGTTCAGAACGCAGTGTGCCAACCATTGCACCGTGGCCCCCCCTGGTTAGTATGTGTACTGTTATTTATACAAGTACAGTACATACTTTAAAGTGTGATTGGTGTCCTTACAGTCAAGTATCGGAAAAAGACTCACGATTAAAAAGCAGCTGGCACCCAAAGAGGAACGCAACTTTACTGCTGAATTAAACGCATTGGAGGCTTTTGCGCTAAAGATCTCGAAACAAGGTAAGTTGGACTTTAATATTGTGTTCAAAATGTCTCACTCACTAGGTGGTGATGTTGTTGTTGTTGCGTGTGACTCACAAGTGGAATAGTTTGCAGGTTCATATCCTGGTCAGGGCATGAGTCGGTGTTTCTAATTCTCTGGGACTGTTAAGGAATGCAATGAGTTGTCTTGAGTTGTCGTCCTATGGAATGGCACGAGTGCGCCCTGTCATAGGAATATGGAATTTATGCAAGTAGCTCCATGCTCATTCGAACAAGGGGACGCTTTGATTCACTTTTAATCCTCTCCTGCAGTGAGATCTGTCATGTTATTTTCATACGCCCCTTGGTCATTCAACTACTGGACGAAGGCCTCCCCTGCCATGTCGTCTGTGGAGATTGTTTAACCATAGTTCACCACGTCTGCTCAATGTGTGTTGGGGAGGTGATGAGGAGGAGACCCAGGGCCGGTTCAGATACCACTCACCACTGAATGTTGTCTCCCCTAATCTCCCATGCCATAACCAGATGTCAAAGCAGATCTCACAGGGACTTGAAGATCCAATGGTGCTGCATTCATGTATTGCGAAACTACCTCTTAAGATGGCGCACAAGGAAGGTATTTTCCGACAGGGTTATTCATATTCTTGCTTCTTTCGGTAAAGTCACGTAGAAGGGAAATGATAAAAGAATAAAAATAAAACATAAGAAAATAAAATTAAAATGAAATAAAATAAGGGTTATTCACTCATAAGAATTCCACGTCAGATGTGGATAATCGAGGGAACAAAATACACAATCAAATGTACACAATTGGTGGTTACCTTTGCACTCTGAGTTAGAGTCCTGTGCGGATCTAACTTTTTCACCCGCAACCCGACCCCTAACCTGTGACTACCTGACGCAACCAAACCTAAAAGCCAAATCCACACTGCTATTTTTCCCGCAACCATACTGGACCTGACCCCTCAAAAACGATGCAATAATGTTATTCCTGCAGTGTTAAAGCACTTACTGCCATTCAATCTAAAACGCCTCTGCTTCTAAATACAAATTCTGGGAAATATTGAACCACATGTGGGACACAGTACTTACTCTGCTAATAGTGCACACTAGCTTTTATGTGTATCTATGTATCTCTATGTGTGTATCAATGTGGTAGTGTTGTGGTGAGCGCACTGCACTATGAACTTTGCGACCTGAGCCGTGAACTGGTCCTAGGCCTCCCCAAGGTCGACTCAGCTGGGGATGGTGTTGATCATTCCACCCTCTTGTTTACCGTGCCAGCCTTCACAAGTGCTCGCTCGTAGCACTTGCTCAAATATCCTGAAAAGGCAACACGGGTATTCTTTGTCTTCGTTTATGAGATAGGGAGATGGTTTCCGTGCCCTGGAAATGGTGATGTTGATGTTTGTCGGGTGAGTCTTTACGTCTTTGTTGGGCACAGTGATGAAGTTCCACCGACACCCTCGTTTCCTGGAGTTCTTCGTGCATTTGCTCAACCGAGCTCTTTCTGAGGACGCGGTGGAGTTGGCGGTGGAGTGGGGTGAAGACATTCAAGTTTGGCTCATCAGGTCCTGACATCAGCAGCAGCAACCTCATCACCAATGTTACAACAGTAGTCAGGAGCAGCAGCTGTAGTGGCAGCAAGAGGAACATAATTGTCAGGAGCAGCATCAGTAGCAGCAAGGCCATCACTATAAACAGCAGCAGCACATAACCTTTTTTCCAACAGCACACTTATTAACATAATCACAAAGCATTTGATAATAATACGAATGTCGGTTGAGATTAGATTTTTAAGTGGCTGTTATTGCGCTAACTGCCCAACAGGATGTTGCTGTGATGAGAGCGCTTGGCTCACAGCCAGAAGGGCATGAGTTTAATTCCAAATCAGGGGTTGACTGCCCATCATCCCCTCTGTGGGGCCAATTTACTGTGTATAGTACCACATTGAGATCTACATTGGCTATGTAGTGGGCAGCAGAGAGCAGCACAGAGAAATCCACTGTTCTGTGCATTTATGCTCCCCGCCTTCACCAACCTGCACTGACCAGCATGGCGAAAGTGTGGTCAAAATACATTCCTGCGGAGGGAGCTGGTAGGAACGTTGGGTTGCTCGGTCAATGGCCAGGGTCAACGGCGGCGTGGTGTATTCCGCAAATATGCCCGATTGTGAGGGCGGGCACAAGCCGGCGTGAGTAGGTTAAACGTTGAGTTTTATAAGGGCACCACGGGGTGACCAGCCCCTCCCCACCCAGCCCCAGCCCCACCCCCACCCCTCCCACCCCCCACCCAGCCCCACCCTCCCCACCCAGCCCCTCCCCACCCAGCCCCACCCTCCCCACCCAGCCCCTCCCCACCCAGCCCCTCCCCACCCAGCCCCTCCCTGCACGACGGACGGACGGACACAATAATCCCCTGTGGGCTGGTGTAACCAGGAGGTTCCTACCAGTACCAGGAGGTTCCTACCAGTACCAGGAGGTTCCTACCAGTATAACTCCCCTCAACCCACGTGGCGTGGGGGAGGTGCCTCACCGTGAGAATGTGCACACACAGGGGGCACGGTGCCGTTGCTCGTCTGAGCAGCGACACTCCTTGGCGTTCTTGACTTTGCTCCTCTGCTGTGTTTTTTTAATTGCAGACGGAATGAATTGATTCTCGGCCTCAAACCAGAGCTGGAGAAGATGACAGGGCTTATCAGAGTGGGCACGGATGATCCAAGGAAACAGGCCAGTATCATTGCCGACTACCACAAGGTGTCTCCCCACTCATCGTTTGTTCATTCTTACTGTCATCCCAGGCCAAATTGGCCTTTTGTTGGTGTGGAAATGTAAAGTTTATGCAAGCGCTTCTAAGTACAGTAAAACCTTGGATTGCGAGTAACTTGGTCTGCGAGTGTTTTGCTAGACGAGCAAAATTTTAAAATAAATATTAATTTTATAAACGAGCGAGGTCTTGCAATACGAGTAGTACGTGTATACGCTTTGTCTGCCGAGCGTCACGTGATCACAACTGATATACGAGTGCTTTGATATACGAGTGCTTTGGATTACAAACACGGTTCCGGAAGGAATTATGCTCGCAATTCAAGGTTTTACTGTACAGGCTCAGCGTAGCCTGTTGCTGTACTCTGTAGTGTATTATGTATCAATTAGAGTCAACCCAAATTTTTATTTACACTCATAAAAGATACCGTGTGTATTAAACTCTATACGAAAGGTAAATAGTTTTACTATAATTTCATATAGTTTTAATGATTTTGCTCACATATAATTCCTTTAATGGCATTTGTCATTCATGATGTCATCCAGCAGTAGATTGATCATGACTGATGATGATGTAATATTGGAATATATATTAGTCTATCAGAGTAGCTACTTTAAAGAAGAGCCATTGCACGTCACATTCAGTCATTGTATATTGTTTCTAATATAAGACATGGACAATGACAAACATGAAAAAAAAATTGTTTTTCCTCTCTTCTTACTAAACATCCCGGCCATCTGAGTCAACTTCCTTTCAGCTTGTCTGAGATGTGTACCACTCACGGATTCTTCCTCAACTTTCCATGTCTAATCTGATCAAGTCTTGTGATCCCTTAGCTTCACATCACCATCCTCATGTCTGCGGGGCACAACATCTGCTCCTCCCTTATCATCGTCTTATACGATTGCCGGTCTCGCAGAACATGTGATGAACGAAATAATGCTCAGTGCTGTCTCCTGTCTGCCGGTAGAGCCTGGAGCCTCAGCTCACAAGCAGATCCACCGTGGCCCCAAAGAGATCCGTCCCAGGGAAATTGTCGAGGCAGAGGTGAGGGTCGCGGATCGCGGTTCACGGTTCACGTTCAATATCAGGTGAAACGTAAAACACCAGATTCGTTGCATCCTGACGAAGCGGCTGAACTCCGTCACCTTTGGCGATGTGTCCCTATTCACGTTTCTTGATTTGACCTTTGATTGAGTAAGAGAACTCAGCAGCAACCCTCCAATGTTGCTTATGACTGCCATTAAATAATGATCAACCTCTTCGACGGATAATTATTAAGGTGCGCCAATTAAACCACAGACAATGTAGTGGCCACGCACAATTGCGATGGTGCGCACACCATGAGCGGTTGACGCGCACGGTCGATGGCGCGCAAAAGCGTACCGTTGTTGCGTTGACAAAAGCGGCAACGTCATCTCTCCTCTTCTGACCCATATCGCTCGCCTCATCGCAAGGGAGAGCAAAAAGCAGCACGAGAAGAAGGCTCTGGAGCAGCTGACAGGAGCGCTCACGAGCTTCGTTCGACCGCTCATCCATCGCCAGCGACTCCGCCAGGTCAGTACGACCCTCCGAACTCAAAACAAGCATTCGGCCTGAAAGACATGAGACGCTTCCACTCGTTCGTTCTTTCATTCATTTGAATGCAACTTGAATAATAAACAACAAAACAATGTGATGGGTAGAAGGCCTCCCCACGCAGTGTCGGTCGTGGGGGTTGTTTGACCATACTTCACCACGCTGGTCGGTGCACGGTGGTCAAGAGATGATCTAGAGCCAGTTCCTATACCGCTCGCAGAGCATCAATCACAGCAGCACTGCTCCACCACAAGGCGACATTTAGGTGTCAGTAAAATACATTTTCAATTAATAACCTTTTGTGCAGAAGCTCACATTGACCAAGCAATGAGTTAAAAAAAAAACACGTGAAGGGATAGGTTTGAGATGCAGTTGCTTTTAGATGCTCTCTCAATCCAAATGTTATTGTATTTTTATTATTATGACTGTGTATGGGACACTGATCCAGCACCGCTGAATACCTGGGCTGGAACACAGTCAGCCACCACCTAAACAAGTAGCTAGTGTAGTGCGTAAACTTTTTATGATGACACCACCTCCTCACGTACTGTGCTGGTGGTGATTGGGACTCGCTAACAGTACTTGTTCCAGCGGCCTCTGCGGCTACGTGGAGGATCTTTGTCTAAAGCTACCAAATGTTCTGGTTTGGTCCCAGCTTCAGAAGAGTTGCCCTGGTGTCCTGAACCATTGGCGATCATTTGAATTTTGACCCATTTTTGACATTTCTGGGCTCTGTCTTGACTTGTGATATTGGCAATTCGTGGAGCCACCTGAATATTGGGAGTGGTTGGCCCAGGAGTAAGCAGTAGAAGAGTGAGGAGGCCACTCACTGTTGGCAGGGTGAGCGATTGAGCGGGCATGGCTATGTGATAATGGGAGGGGCTGCATGCGTCCCTGTTGAGCCCATGTGTCCCAGTTGTCTTTCCGTGTTTGTGTGACGTGCCTCGTATTGCAGGTGTGCACAAAGGAGTGTCTCTGGCGGAGTCGCTTTAACCAGCTGCTGGGCTGGTGTCACCTCACTCTCTTCCTGCGCAAGTGCGAATGGGTGCAGAGACACAACAAACCGGGGCTCTGGAGGTGAGCGATCGTTATTCCCTTGCACTTTTCTGCGCTTGTTTACGTCGCTATCAAAACCAATTGGTCGCGTTTTTTCTCAACAGGGGAACTCATGGGCCCTGTTCAAACTTCACTAAGTCAACTTGTTTTCTGTACCCTGCCACCTAACTACACACCTACCCGCATGCTTAGCTGCCTACCAATAACGTAACCTGCATATTTACCTACCTGCTGAACCTACCTACATACTATCCTATATACCTATTCGTCTATATACCTATTCGTCTATCCCACCTTCCTGTCAACATGCATACCTAATTGCCTACTTTCCTCTCAACGAATCCAGTTCTGCAGCCATGCAGGCAGGATTTTCACGCACACAGTAACTAACATCCACACGATCCGCCAACCTTGCCTGAAAAAACGCCGGACAACGGTGTTGGACCACAGCAAAGACAACGGCGCTCTGTGCTTACAGCGACGCAGCCGTGGACTCCAACATCTTCTCGCTGGAGGCGTCAGGGGTCGTGGTGGCGATGCCGGAAGTCCCAGCCACGGCTCGAGATGGCGCCAAGGAGACAGAAGTCACCAGGGCGGTGACGGCGCAAAAGTCCGCGTCCTCCCAACGCCGCGTTCTGGGTGACGTAACCACTGTTTCCTGCCCTTGTCATCTTTCCCCAAAATTGTGTGATCGGAATCGCTCGCGTCATGAGACAATGCATCAGCAGAATAGTGTAATGCTTCGTGATTAAAATCGGCCCACGGAAGGAGATATATCACACAATCTACCTCTGAGATCCCTTCAAGTGAACACGGTAGAGGGCAGCATTTTCCCACCTGTTCCGCATATGGGAGTAATGTTCATCGCATGACAATTGAATTAATTTTTTGTTCTCAGAGCTGGAATTTTGAATTAGAAAGTCAAATTTAATGTTAGGGTGCTTTTGTGCAGTCATTGGTGATCGGGCTGAAACCATGAACTCAATACACTTGAGAACCCAGTTTCATCACAGGCAACCGCTGGGATTTGAAAACAGGACCTCAGCAGTGCCTGCTCAGCACTCTGACCTCTGAGCCAACCCTTTACTTTGTGGGGGTCATTGGACCGTACTTCGCCGGGTTGGTTAGTGCCAGTCAGTGATGGCAGCGAGCTGTTGGAGCATAGAAGTACGACACAGAAATAGATGTTTCTTTACTGCGCTCTGCTGCTCAACACGTAACCAGGCAATCTATAGTAATCCATAGTGTATAGTGGTCACTCATACAAACTATGTCCAGAATCAACCCTGCTTAGCTACTGGTTTCTGACAAGATGAGGAGAATTCCAGGTGATTTAGTCACAGGCAGTGGTATTGTCCATCTACAGTGAGAGCATACATAACGAGAAAAATCCCCCAGAAAGCCATAACAGACTGTTGAGGCAAGTGATGTGAGCGAGTACCTATAAAGGCCGGCACGGCACACGAGGCCAGCACTATGCCCGGCTGCCTTTGTCTCCCGCATGGCGATGTTTACACATTGCACCAGGTACTCATTTGTGGCTGAGTCCACCTCGGGGAGCCCCAGGGCCAGTTCATAAGATTGTCACTGGTGTTGGCCGTGAGCGAGAATCGGACGCGGGTCACCGGGTTTGCAGCGCAGCGCGCTAACCACACACACTTGGCCATATTCCCACCTTGATGAGCGTTCTACGCCTGGCGCCATGTGTGTTGAGAGCAGCCATGATGAAGGTCGCTGGCAGTAACGGAGGGAGCGATGACGAACACGATGATGACGACGACGACGATGACGACGACTGTGATGGTGGCGGCGACGGGAGCGGGAGGTCAGGATCCAGCTCCGCGGACTCGTCGCACGGAGAGGCGAGGTCCAAGAGAACTCGGAGGAGCGCCGGAAAGGATGACGATCCCGGGGCTTCGCTCGTCGAGCTGACGGAGCGCCTCACGGCGGCCTGCACGCACCTCCGCAGGGCCGTCGTGAGTGTCTCCATGCCCCCTGTCCTCTCTGTACGAACCGTTACATGTTGACCCTGTGCGATCAGATCTGAAAGAAAATCAAGAAGCTAACTTGTTCAAAAACAACCACGTTACAGAGCGTCCTGTGGGGATGTCATTTAAAGGTGGTTAGGTTCATTGCAACAGGATATAGGAGCAACGTCAACAACACTACCATTTGCATTCTTATCGCATCTTATTAAGATGCTGTTGTGCAAGACACTGCATTGTGGGATTATTTATGTTATAGTGAGAGATGTAAGTAGAGGAAAGAAAGGTGGTGGTGGACTTTTGATGACAGTAAAACAAGGGGCATTGATAAGGAGGGGTTGGGATAGGCCTGGTCATAGCTGGGGGGGTGAAAAGTAATGAGGCATCATTGCATCGATAAGACAAAGGGGGTCTGCAAGGCACATGAGCCAGGAGGGGGAAGGGGGCCACCATTGACCCTGGCAGCTGCATGCGCGCGTGTCCCAGGTGCTCGCTCACCGGGGCGGTCACCGCTCCCTGCTATGGGACGTGAGCCGCTCACTCCTGGACTGCGTGCGCTCCTCCCACGAGTCCCAGCGGCTAGAGGAAGATGACGGCGGTGGCGGCGGTGGCGCTTGTCACGTGCCGGCGAGGACCCAGCGAGAGGTCGTCTGGTTTCCCCTCTTCCTCGCCGCCGACTCGATGCTGGATCGAGTCACGCGGACGCAAGGACGACCCAAAGTACGGTTGTTGCAGAGCCGGGGTCAACCACGGCCCGTCTGTGGTGGGGTTGGGTTGGGTCTTTTTGGCATTGGCTGGGTGCTTTCAGTGTTACTTGAGATATACCGAATAATTGTTCCTGATGCCAAAGTCAAAGCAAAAAGAAAAAGTTATAATGCATCACAGGATGCATGGTAGATGAAGACTATACATGATGGTGAATAAAGCCTCGTATTATGTATGTAGAACACTTCTGAATGAGCACCTCCTCATGCCATGTGTGCTGTAGTTGGTGTTGGTTGGGAGCATCCTGTGCAGTATATGTGGACGCATTGCACAGTGCAACAGTGGATTTGGTTGCACTGTCCTATGATGCACACTGTGTACCCAAACAACACACAGGCTCACATCTGCTTAGCTTTTGAGATTTGACGAAATAGAGTGCATTCTGAGTGATGTGATCATCATCTCTTGCATCTGTAAATCTCAATAAAATTATGAATCAGAGCTGCTTCATTACGGAAAACGCAACCCAACAATTCCAACAGCTGCCCTCTGGACAGCAAGAGGGCAGTATCGCAAATCTAGACTTGTACAGCACTGTACTTTTGTTTTCCCATGTCCAGGGGTCGGCAACTAAACAACAAGAAGAGACATTTTTTTTAGTATTTGGTAACAAACTCAAGATTTCAAGAACCGCAATGCATGTGAATATGAGACGGTCCTCGATAAACAACGTCCTGAAACAGTCCTGATAGAGCTGCATGCAGCCGACCCCTGCCCATGCCTATGCTCCCCACATTCGCCAATCTGTACTGACCATTTTGGTAAAGTATGGCCAAATAACTCCTTGGTATTGGGAAGCCATCATCCCGCAGGGGATTGACAAAAACATGTATACGTGTACAACTGCAGATATCTCAGATTTATTTAACTTCACTTTTATTTTCCCGCCTCTTTAAGGACAACACTGTGGACGAGGAACAAGACTACGATGACGATGATGGCGACGGTTTAGAGGGAGGCGATGCCGAAAGGACAGCCATGATGGACCTCCGATCGCTGGTTCTGCGGGCTCTGGAAACTCTTCATCGGCAGTGCAAGTGGGAGCACCTGGCTCATCTTGCGCTGCGTTTCAACGATCTCACACGGTGTGCATGCAGGCCAGATTTCACCAAAGTTTGCGTCCTCGCAACTCCGAGAATAGTGTTTTTTTGGTTCATTTACATTTTTTGTAAAGAAAAGATCCCCAGTTATATCCCGATTTTATCGTCGGTGTCATGTAATGGGACGGAGAATCCATTGTTATCTCTTGCAGAACAGTGCCATTCTTCGTGTTATCGAGAACGGCCCACTAAAGCTGATATCCCAGAGCTACAGAGGAGATCCCTTCGAGTGACCTCTGGTGCGCTAGTCAAGGACATACATTTCCCAGCTGTATGAGTACAGATAGTAGCGTTCCTATCTCTGCCACCTGGTCAACGTTCGCAGGCCGTGTCCTAATACGAGAGTGTTTGAATGCCCAATTCGAATTTTTGTCTATAAACTATGTCAGTAAAATTGTTTTTAATTAATCGTGTAGTGAATGGGGCATGGTAATCACGTGCGATATTTTTAGAGGGTGACTTTGGGGAGTAATTGTCATGCTGATGCTAACACGCGTACTCTGAAAAATGACTTTAGTCTAAACACCCTCATGTAATGTGTTCACAAGTTATTTCCCAAATGAGTTTTTGAGGTCGTGATGCCATTGTGTGAAGGAATATCCTCTGGAACAGCACCGTTTGGCAGACCATTTGGCGCCGTGGTGGCGAGATGTTAGCTTCGTCCCCTGGTATACAGGAGGTCGTGGGTTCAATCCCGACTCTGACGCCTGTATATTTGGAGTTTGCGTGTTCTCCCCGTGGTTCCGTAGCAGCATTTGTCCCTCCACATTTGAAATCAACATCACGCGTTTAAAGTATTTGGCTGCTATAAATTTCCACATGATAAGCCACTTCGTTGAGCTATCATTTGTGACCAGGTCGCTTCTGAAAAAGAAGCTACTGTAAAAGCTCAGTGAGCCTTACCTCGTAAAATAAAATAGTAAAATAATTGTTTAGGCGACATTTAGGAAATCCGCCACTTACCACGCGTGCAGGAATCGTCACGCGGAGCAGGTGACACCGCTGCTCGTTCACGCACAGTGGCGCTTGCTGGAGCGCGTCAGAGACAGTGGCGGCCCCGAACCACCACAGCCCCACCTCCTCCTCCTCGCCGAGCAGCAGGGCGGACAGAAGGTGGTCACCCCTCGGCTGCATCTTCACAGGGCCATGTTACCTTAGCCGTGTGGTGGTGGCTACGGACGTGGCTGTCTGTGATCCAGTGCTGTAGAGGCAGCAGCGAGGGTTGCTGGATCACCACACAAATGTTGTCAAACTCCCTTGCCTTCTTTCGCACCATAGGCAGCCAACTGCTAAACTGAGTTTGCGGACTAATCGGACTATTCTCCATCTGTTCCATTTGTACGGGGATAGAGTGTTGTCCCCTCGCACACGTGGTTTTTCTGCGGGATCTTCGGTTTCCTCCCATGCGTATAAACACCAGTCATGAATTCCTATTCCCGTCCGGGTTCAACAAGTTAGTTCCAATCGTAGTTCACTTCTTAATAAATGCAGCATTTAAATCATTATTTCTACGCGTATGTGACAACGTTTGGATAGTGTCTTGAGATGCAATTTTTATTGTAAATAGTGTGTTGTTCACTATTCAATCCCATTCACAAGCCATTGAGTGAAGATGTAAATTATTAAAAGCCAAGGATCGTTTTGTTGTCACCAAAGCAGCCAGGATGAGCAGTGGGGCAGCGTTAAGCACACTGTACTATGAACCTGGCTGCCTGAGTTTGATTCCCAGGCAAGGCCAACAGGTGTGTCTCTCTGGTTGGGTTGCAGAGCACGAGCCACAACTTCGTTGGAGAGCAGCCGATTGTGGCAACCATGTCCAGAGACTCCATTGAGCCAGGGATGCTCATTGACCCAGCGGGACGCAACTTATATGCAGGTAACACAAGATGTGGTCACACCTCAAACGCTGAGATTCCCCACATTTAGATGTAGATGTTATTTAATAGATGTCCTGTGATGGTACAGATGTATGTATAGCCTTTAACAGCCTGTTGGGGCAAGTAGCTGTTCGCAAGCACCTCTGCAGGTCACACTTCACACAAACACACCCACAAAGACAAATATTTGCCATTTAGCCACATAGACTTAAGAAGCAAGTACATATATTGACCACTTTGCCAATGCAGGCAAACTGTGCACTAGTTTTCATATATCTCATCAACAGAGCCAGGCCTGTTAAACAAATGCTATGTGGAACCAGCTGGGCTTGGAAAGAATACTCCATCTAAACAATGCAGCCTTGTTCAACGCAATTGGTCGAAAAGCCAGTAGGCCAATGGACTATAAAGACCTATTTTATTTATGTAGAGACACAGAATGGAGTTCTGCAAATATATCTACTTTTACCCATAATGCTCCACGACAACCAACGCATAATGAGTTTGTATATAAAGAGGAAGACATAGATGGTGGGGTAATGTCAGAGCAGAAATTAATGGTTGCGTGTGCCAACCATGCTGCAGCTGCTAGATCTGACCGAGAGTAGAAAGCGTCACTGCGGTGGCTTCAACATCTTTGGGTACGATGACATCGCGTTCTTTTCATCTCAATAAAGATCGACCGATTGATTGATTGACTGGTCGTCGTCTGCTCTGTGTTCAGCGTGCAGGAGGGTTGCGTGCGCGCCAGCTCGCATGCGTCCCTCTCCACGTCGACGATACCCTGCGTCGCTTCCGCGAGTCTCTCTCCCGCCGCCCGTATGCCCACCGAGCCCTCGCTCACTGCCGCCGCCTGCTCGCACTCTTCCTGGCGTCGGCGCTCGGTGGTAAACACCTCAGATGGGGCAGAGCAAAGGATGACGAATGACATCGCAGGGATGTTGTTAGTGAGGTTCAAGATAAGATTTCTCTTAACTCTTGAGTAAATTGTAGAGTTACGCCGTAGGGCGTTTGTAAAGCTACGACAAATAGTACGGGTGCTCCAGACCACTCGTAAGTTGATGATAATTTATACAAATTCATAACATTAAATAGTGACACCATTAATAAGTTATTTATTTAATCAGCCACAGACCGGCTGAACTACACGTCATGCCAGCCATGTTTGGTGCTCGTTGATGTCTTCCTGGCTGATGTGTGGGAGCGATGACGTTTTCCTAGCATCCATTCTTACAAGAGTGAGAGTTACGATCTCACTACGACTCCCTCTTCAGCTTGATCTATCCATTTTTTGTATTATTGAATGGTAGAAGATGCCTACTGATTTTATATATGGCCCTTTGCCATTCCACTGTTTCACTACGATGATAAGTGCGGGTTCGATAAGGTGGGGAGGAGCATAGAAGTACAGTACAATGGAGTTTTATGTATTTATCCCTGTTGCCCACCACCTAGCCCCACAGCTATTCATGGTGATCGATCATCCAAGGGCTATGCAGGCTCATCCCAGCTGAGCTGCCAAAATTTTACGCGATATAACAATATCGGGCGCATTCCGGGTGACTTGTTGTGTCTCAGAATGCCGGTGTGACACACACATACACACACGTCACACTGCCCTCTCGGGTGCAGGAGGAGCGGTGGCAGACCGGCGAGGTGAGGGTAGGACATCCGTGCGAGCGTCGGGCCTCACGGTGGCATTCCGGCTTCCAGCTACGCATAGCCACGACCCCAGCCCGCCCGACTTGGCGAGTCGAGACTTCTCCTCGGCCGAAGACGTGGAGTGGCCTCCCCTTCCGCGGGCGCAAATCAACATCGTGATTTCCGCCTACACCAAAACCGTGGGTGAGCCCTCACTGCCCGTACCAAGGGAGCTGCGTTTATCCAGCAGCCACATCAAGATAAATTCTGGTAGTGGGTTGTAATGAGCTCATAGTTTTAGGGGGTGCCGCCGTGGTGAGATGTTGACTCCCTCGCCTTGTATGCAGGAGGTCGTGGGTTCGATGCCGACCCTGACACCTGTACATTCGGAGTTTGCATATTCTCCCAGTGATCGTATGGATTTTCCTCCGCATCCTCCGGTTTTTCCCTCGACATTTACAAACAAGCATTTTGAGTATTTCACTGCTGCTATAAATTTCCACGCGATAAGCCACTTCGTTGAGCTTTCATTTGTGATAGCCATGTCGCTTTTGAAAAAGAGCTACATAGCTCAGTGGGCCTCACCTGGTAAAATGTTAATCGTAAAAATAGTGAAATAGCCCAATTACGAATGGTTGCACAAACCCCACCCCAACCCCCCATCCCTCCTGCATAATATTGAATTTGGCTCAGCACATAGTTCGTCAAAATTCCAAGCTCTCAGAATTCTAAATGTGCCTGTTGTGCGACGAACATTACCCTCATAGAGCAGAGCAGGCGCGAAAGTGCTGCCTTCTGTCGTGTGGACCAAGTCACTTGAAAGCATCTTCAGAGGTAGCTCTGATATTCGCTTCTGTGGGCCACTCTCTGACGTGAAGGGTCGCACTGCTCTGCGAGAGATCAGATTGCCATACTTGGTGTCTTTCACGATGGTGATAGCACAATCGGAATTGTGGGAAAATAAATGTTTTTCAGGACGCATGCCATGGCCATTGCCACGGAATCATGCACCTCACACATGCAGCTTCATGTTCCCATGGATGTTTCTGGTCAAACATTTATACGCAAAGTCAAATCCCATTACCAATCAGAGGCTCCCTCGATAGACTGGCTTGGCAGCTGTCCGCAGTGTTTTTGGCGTTGTGCACTGTGTTGTTTGGCATGATGTCCGACGTTTTGCTCTACGTGCTGGGAGTTTCTTCACGAACTGTCAGACTTCATGTCCAAAAACACACGGCAGACATCTTAGAGCTGCGCAGACTTTGGCAGCGTGTTTATTTTAACCTGTGCCACATTTGCAGAGCTACTTGAGTCGGACAAGCAGCAGAGGTTGAGAGCGCATGCGCTGCATGAGCTGGGGAATCTGCACTACCACTCTGGCAACACCAGGTACCACATGGCTCCCACAGCTCCCCTCCACACGTGACAAGCTCCCAGAGTTACTAGCACACTGCATATCATCGGTCAAACATTCGTACCCCTAAGTCAGTCACAGGTATATTGCTGTACATGTACAGCTCCTTATGAATCTACTGCAGGACGAGGGCTTCCCCACACTGTGTGGTTTGTGGGGCTTATTTGACCATACTTCTCCACGGTGGTCAGTGGAGGTTTGTGAAAGTGGGGAGCAAAGATGGTACAGTACAACAGTGGATTTTGCCGCAATGCCCTTTGATGCCCACCATGTAGCTGCCTATGACAGCCTGGTGTGCATTGTGATTACTCATTTTACCGTTATCCGGCCTGACGTATGCCCGGTGATTTGGTCATAGCGTCTCTCAATAGGCTCCTTAATTACAAATATCGTGTCCAAATACCAGCTAATGGCCGAGTCGCCTTTGAAGAAGAGCGGCTTAGTTCAATGGAATTTACACGGGAAATAAACTTCTGAAATTTCTGATAATTATATGCGAGAAAAATATTGTTTTATTCACAATGTAACTTTAGCAGGTAAATAATAGTTTTTAAAAATGTAATTATAGCAGCCTAGTAATCTAAACGCATACAGTTGTGACCCGCAGGAAACATAATAGTTATTGATCATGGCGATGATAGTGATGATGATTTTGGTGATGGTTGTAGTATCGATGATTGTTTAGGTATATATTTTAAAAGTTTTCTCGTACGGCTATGATGATCATGATGAACATACTGCTGTGGATGACGATGCGGGTTCCAGTGGTGGTAACGGCTACTGCTCCCAGTGCCGCACCTCTGACAGAGATGATTATGATATTAATGTTGTAGCTGACGATGATGTTGCTGCTGCTGTCTCTAATGATCATGATGATATTCACAATAATGATGATCCTACTATAGCTGCTGCTGGTGATGACGATCATAATGATAATAATGATAATAATGATGATGATTATGTTGCTGAAGTTGGTGTTGTAGATGATTGTGATACAACTGCTGATGATGACAACATTGATGATGAAGATACTAACGCCACTAATGATAATGTTTATTATTATAATAATAATGATGCTGTTGTTGATTCTGTACTAGGGCTGCATTCACTTGCTGGTCTCAGGCTCTCGATGCGTCGCTGGGTATCAGCGATTGTCTCGGGAGCTGGAGCGACGCCGTGGCACGGGCGGCCGGGAAGGAGGCTTCGGGCGACGCCAGCTCTGCGCTTCTCCGTCTGGGCGGCGTACGCGGGTGTCTGCTAGCGGCAGTGCTCGCCTCAAAGATCGCGCAGTGAGAGACCGTCACGACTCGGATGTCACCTCTCAGCGCCCTGCTCCCCCTGACCTCCACCCCTCCCCCACCCCCTCGACTTTGTTTACTCAAAGTTTCTCGTGCCACTTTAACTCTGAAGGTTTGAAGCATTATTAATGCGTCAGTGTCTCACTGCCTGCCTGTAACAAGCGAGGCACAGTAACTCCCGTAAAGATGATCCAATATGGACAATATGTAAAGTTATTCAGCAATTAGTGTAGAGAAAACTGTTCAAATCGATAAAAAAAAGTTACCCACAACTTAGGTGACGCAAAACCAGCATTAATAAAATTATTTGCCAGTAAGCAAATAGATTTTTCCCTGAACTAAATACTTCTGAAGCTAAACACGTGTTGGCACATATTACATAATGCACTCACAAGCATGATTGTTCTTCCTTGTTATGTTTGTGACTACCTTTGGTGCCATCTATCCAATGCGTCATGTGTACGAAGCACCTCATTATTGTAGTACTTTTGGTTCTCGAGTTAAAAGCGTAATTGTAGTAACATTTTAATATATCAATAACAGTACGTTGATGATAATGATGAATAAAACGAAATATTTTAGCAATTCGATGAAACTAAAATCCTCTAATCCATGCCTGTATATACTGTGGCCAGGATCTATCCTGTCCACGCAGACCTTTTGACAGTTATTCCTCCGTATGTATCCGCACCTCCGATTAGCACGGTTGGTTACGTACGGTGCAAATTAAGTTCAGCCCACATACATATTTACACCGTGTTTGTCTGGATATTCCAGTCACCTTCCACTTGAGTAGCCCTCGTTGTTTAACACAGGACTCGGCCAAACATCCAAATGCAGCACTGACCCGCATTGGGATGTTTCGCTTTTGTGGAATAATTAGTTATCGTGCTTATTATTTCCTCTCCTACAGGTTCATCCTAACGGCAGACTTTGCCGTGAGGATACGGTGCAGTGTACTTGCATCGATGCTGTTTAAGGTACAAGACCGTGACAACTGATTACGAACGAAATGATGATTATTTCTCCTGAAGTGAACTCTCACTGCTTCTGTACACTGTCTTGAAGTGTTGTTGCATTCCATCGCTGTGTAAATCCACAGTGAGTTCTATTGTATAGTTGGCACACCCGGCATGGCCTGAAATATTAATTTCAGGCCATGCCGGGTGTGCCTGTTCCTAACCGGGTGTGCCTGTTGCTGGAGCATTCACTTACTCGTGTGACGAGAATCAGAATCTTATCTTTAGTTATCCTGGAGAAATCTGATGAGCTATAAAGCTCTTTTCAACAGATTTCCAGTAGGAGTCGCTCAGAAAGTTACAACAACAAACAATACAAAAAACGATAGGAGTGCAATGTATAAGAAACGTAAGCAAATCACAAAAATAAAATAAGTACAAATTGCGAAAGTATATAAATTCCTGCCGACCGGACGTGAGAGGTCAGGTGTCAACTGTGTAGCCTGGTCAAGGCTCTAAAGTCCGCTTGTAAGAGTGCTCCTTCGTCAACAGTATCGGCTGTGCAACAAGGGGAAGATCCTGAAGCCAGATGGTGGTGGTAGACCAACTGTGGGACTGAACATTAAGCAAAATACACTGACCAAAAAGTGAATAAAATATATATTTCTAACAGACATTTTGGGGCTATGGTCCTCATTCGTAGAGTTTGGGGTATTGCCTGCACAACCGCTGCAAGGTATAGCAGAAGGAAAAAGGTGATGGTGAGGTGTGCTGGTACGAATAACGTTCTCCGCAATGTGACCCCTTGACCTTGCTGTGGAACCTGCCCCCAGGCCATCTTTCGCGCATCTCTCCCGCACCCGAAGGCGGACGTGGACTACGCTCGCTACGAGGTTGATGGCGGTCAAGGTTCGCCGGTACCCGGGGTCGAGCCGCTGACGCCGTCGCCCACGCCGGGCGGCGGAAGCCTCGACGTGGGGACCATCGTGAGCTGCCTGAGCTTCCTGGCGCGGCACCTGCACCGTGCCGGCCTCCTGCTGCCGGTGAGCTCCGTACAACAACACCGACCCCGACCGGCGGCTCCGTTGGAGAGACGGACAACGCTCCGGTCCAGAGAGACGTCATTTATTCGACGCCGCTTGGCGAACGTTTGACTGATTAAGCGCATCGGAGAGACGGAAAGAGGAAAACGTGGGGTTAGAGAATTGCGTAAGTTGGAGGTGGCATCATACTGACTGGAGATGATGTGTGCGCTTGACATTTCTCTTGAGAGACAGGAAGAGAGAAAAATACGCGGATCAGAGAGCAAATGCAAGTTAGAGACAGGACATTGACTGTTAGGAAGCAGGGTACTTCATTAGAAGATGGTGGTACCTTAGGACTGCACATGTCCTCCCTCTGGCTCAGAACTAACCAATGGAGATGAGCACTTAGCCATCACGCATAACGTGAAAGGAAGCAGCCTTATTTGTAACCACTAAGACTTGTGTGCAAGAATTTACTGTGAGGGCAATGATCATCAACAAGCCTTGCCTGTGTGTGTGCGTGTGTGATTTTTTAAACCAGGTCCTTCCACTGCTGGCCCTTTATCAACACCTCGTGTGCTCCATCTGCCGGGACGTGCAGCGGAGTGTGGAGGGCAGGCTCCTCAAGGTAAGGCCAAGGTTATAGAATTGATTCTCAACCTGTGATTTTAACTCGCAGCCTTTCTGACGGTCGTGGGCTCTATCACCACTGTTGCCACCCACTGAAATAAAATAAAATGATAAATCACAGCCCCTTTCAATTCGCTGCTGGATTAATGCCTCCCCACACCATGTCGATTGTCAGGATTTATTGACCACGCTTCAACATGCTGGTCAATGTGGGTTGGTGAAGAGGGTTATAGCCATCGATGGAAATCTAACCGCTTGTAACCAGGCTCATCATACAGAACACTAACCACCGTGCTCCAGCCGAGGTTATTATTACGAATTATTAATGAGCATTGAATATAACATAAAGCGGTGCAATGTATCGGAGTTGGACCTGATTGTGGATGCGTGGCGTCGCCATGGAGAGCAGTCAAATGAGTACCTGGTGTGGTGTGTAAAATATCATCACTAGGGAGACAAAGGCGGCCGGGCGTGAGGTTGGCCACCCACCTCCTCATTAGTCGTGCCAGCCTTCATAGGTGCTCGCTAACAGCACTTGCCCTAGCAATCTGTTCAGGCTATATGGGGGATCTTTGTCTTTGGCATTGCCGTGATAGGTGAACGTGCTGACGGACTTGGCGCTGTTTGGAGACGCGTCCCGCGAGATGTGCACCGTCCTCCTGGGGGAGAAGTTGCCCCTGCCCGTTTTCCCCGGCTTCAAGGCGATCGACAGCAAGCCGGTGGCTGCGGCGGCAGTGGTGGTGGTGGTGAGCCCAACCAGCTGCCTGAGCTCCCTTCACAGTTCGCCCTGAGCTTAGCTGTAGGAACTCAGTTCTTGTTTCGTATCAGTTGGATTAAATGTGTAAAGCATTCCGCTTTGTTCGTAAGCACTGAGCATAACTAATACATATTGCACCTTGTTTACAAGCCTGGTCTAATACCGTTTTGAGATTAAGAAAGCTGTCTCTAGTGTGGACCAATCAGTTTCCAAGACAATTCATATGTTATCAGAGTACGTGTTTTGTTGCATTCTGACCACAAGTACTGTGGTTAATGGAGACATGATTCCTTGGAAAAGGTTTCAGTTGGGTGCTTTAACATCTTAACACCTGTTTTGTTGCCAGAAAAAGGGGAAAACCTATTCTCATATTTTGGTACTGGCAAAGGAGGTCCGATGATATATTTAAAAAGATTTTCCCCATTTTTATCACGTGTGCTATCGGCATCTTTTCCCATAAAGAACTGTAGCCCAGAGTTAGAGATCAGCCCACCGTTTTTATGTTCACAATCAGGGCCGCAACTTCCTACATATGCAGCCATACAAAAACAATTCTATTTGGCAGTCGAACCGATATTTTAATACTCCGCACTGGAATTTACTCAACTGGATTCAAATACAACAGTGCCATTAATTCCTGAGCCACCTGGACACATTAAGTCTCAGTATATTGGGGTAGTGTCAGCGTTGGTAATAAAGTATAGTGTTGTGATCATGTACGTTTCTGTGTTTAGGCAAGCATGCAGCTGGATACCTCGAAGGCAATCTTAACAGATGGAAATCTTCAGGTATGTCTGCCACTCAGAAATGTGTATTAGTAATGGCCTTGAAAACATTTCAATTGTGAAATCAAGATCACATACATGGACTGGGAGAGTAATTTATGGTGTTGTTTGGACCGTCTAATAAATCATAAAGGATATAACACCATCTAACTTTGAATGGGGAGGGGGTATAATAGTGATGCACTTTGTTTATCCAGGAATGCCTCAATTGGTGTCTAGGGTATGTTTTATGAGTCCTGTGTTGGAATGTTGGCTAATTCTGCGACTAAGTATTTGGCTTGTGGGAGGAAGCTGAAGTACACAGGAAAAAAAATCCGTACAGACAAGGTGGCAACACTTAAAGCTCCACACAGATGTATTCAGGAGCACTGTTGATTATACACGTAAATTAACTTAAATGCCGTTATGTAGGCCTATGACGTACACATTGATATGTCTTATAGTGTATAACGCGGAACATTAAATGGACTAGAACAGCGGATCCGAATGTGTGAGAGGCTACGCCCCTGGGGGTACATGTGACACCGCTAGGGGTTTCGTAAAACAGTTCACTCATTGGCGGTGTGACGTTAGGTATGGACACGCGTGGTTACTAAGCAGTGCTGCTTTGCGTGTATGTGTGTGTACTCGCAATTCTAAAGCCATGCGCTTATCTGTCGTACGAAATTCGACAAACCCCGTCCGTTTGGACGATTCAGCCTTCCATTGATTTAGTTAATTATGTGTAAATGTAAAAATGCATGCACATTATTGTATTACTTTAAGTAGTGTAGAAGCGGGTAGGGGTACGAGGATAATAGCTAGGGCTGGTACAGGAGTAGACGACAAGTCAAAGGTTGGGAACCACTGAACTCGAATATTGTTTAGTATATTTACTCTGTGCGTACCGAGACCTTTTCCAAATCACTTTGAAACACTGCCCATGAACGCACCGCGCGTGAACGCAGGCGGTGGAGCTGCTGCTGACTCAGCCCTTGTCTCCGGCGCTCGAGAGCGCCCTTGGGCCCCGCCTGTGCTACCGCGTGTCCCTGACGAGGGCCCGCCTGCTCGTCCGTCTTGCGGCGGCCCTTGGAGGGCTGCCCCCACCCCGCGCCGCCCTCTACGGCCTCTTCACTCCGCCCCGAGAGACAGGTAGAATGTGTGTGTGTCTACCAAAGGAGCTGCCGTGGCATGTCAAGTGGGATAAGCAGCCTGCGTACAACACAGGGAAGACGTCAGTAATCAGGAAGGTTTTTGTAAGAAGCAGCATTCTGTATGTATATTGAACTTCTTTCACACCGTAAATAGACAACCGTGCTAATCGGAGGTGCGGGGGAAGGACAACAAACTAAACACTCACTAAAAGCAGTTCTCAAGAAATAAGATTTCAATCAAGATTTAGAAGTGCATAGCTCCGGCGGCTTCCTAATATTGGAAAGAAGAGCATTCCAGACGGCCGCAGAAGCGCATCTGAAAGCGCGCAATGTGGTGACCGTCTTTGTTCGAATGCACGTTGCAGGAGCAGGCAGGATCGCCGGCGGCGCGTTGAGGAAGCCGTGGCCAAAGCCTCTGTAGACGCGTTGAAGATCGCTGCCAACGTGCGCAGCCTCATCAATAAAGCCACCCCTTGTGTTTGGGCTCTCACGCACGTGCACTAAAAGTGCGTGTCCTGTTACAGCCACTTGTGATTCCACTGCCGGATGAAGGATTCCCTACGCCGTGTCAGTCATGGCCGTTGTTTGACCATACTTTACCACACTGTTAAGTGCGAGTTGTTGAAGGGATGGCCCAAGACCGGTTCAATTATCACTCGCCACTCATGTTAACTGTTGCTGGGAATCGAACTCGGGTCACTGGATTCATAGCACAGTGTGTGCTAACCACTGCACCACAGCAGCCTCTCGTGTTCATTTTGTGAATGAAATGAGTGATGGAAATATTGGTGAACAGTGTTCTTTTTAATTTTAGTCAATGATGACTAGGAGTCGATGAAAATCATAAAGTTTGACGATGACTACCAACGAAAGGCCAAAGCGTGACTATGTCGAGACAATATTAACAGACTAACATAATTTTTACTCAGGTTATTAGAGATTGTAGTTCATTGAGTGAGACCAAAGAATGGTAATTGGCTATATATATGTGTATATATAAAGAGATTTATCAAGTTCTTTGATGGCTGACCTGATAATAGTAGTGGAGGGGGTGGGCATGGTGTGGGCAGCTGGCAGTGGGGAAATGTACGCCTCTCAATCCGACATTTAAAAGTGGACTAAATGTTTGACTGCTTGAGTGAAATAGACGAAGAGAAATCCACCGGCTGTTCTTCCTGTGGTCGCATGGAATTTTCTCTGGGTTCCTCCGGTTTTCCCTCCACATTTATAAACACGCGGTTAGAGTATTCGACTGCTATAAATTTCAATCTAATAAGCCACTAAGTTGAGCTACCATTTGTGGCCAGGTCGCTTCTGAAAAAGAGCTACACAGCTCAGTGGGCCTTACCTGGTAAGATAAAATAGTTTGGTTTTAAATAACAAGAGCCATTGTTTTCGAATTTGGTAAAAAAAAAACCCTCAATATTTCAAGAGCCGCAATTCACGTGAATCGAGTCATGAAGCAGCCCTTAAAGAGCCGCAAGTGTCTCCGAAGCCACAGGTTGCCGTCCCCTGGCCAGTGATCCTAATTATGGACTGAAACCCCCCTCCCTTTGCGCAGGCAGCGAGAGTGACCTCTCCAGTGACTCCTCGTCCCAGCTGAGCGCTCGCACGCGGCCGTCGTCCAGAGGCTCCGCCGCGAGGGATGAGGAGCTCGTGTGGCAGCTGGTGGCCCACAAGGATCAGCTGACCCCAGAGGTCGTCAAGGTTAGGGGTGTCCTTTTCACTCTGTGTGGATCGCAGATATGCACGGTGCACACACACTCACGTACCATGGTGATCCTCATTTTCTCTCGATACGACGTGGCCTTGTGGGAGCCTCGTCACCGATAAAGTTATTTTACTTTCGTTTTTCTTCCGATTTCTTTCCCGTATGACGTAGACGTACGTCGTCGGAAACGGGAAAGGGTTAAACTTCAGAGGGGAAAAAACACCCAGAGGATGAAGCAGAAGCATTTCTGGAATGAAGCGTACGATCACACGCAATGGCCTCCACCCACCGGTGTGCAGGGCATCTTGCTGCTGGAGGCCGAGGCGGTGCTGGGGTCCGTGGACCGGGCCCTCGTCGCTGCGCGGCACGGGATCGGCGATCGGCGCTCACTGCGGCCCTCTCAGCTGGAGGAGGCGGTGCTTGTTCACCTGGAGGCAGCACGCGTAGCCCTGGAGAGACACTGGGCACCCGTCAGGTCTGATCGATGGAAGTTTAACATTTCAGCTTTTCCATAGTTATTGTGTTGATGCTGAGATGCCGCCGTGGCTTTAATGGTTTAGGACCACTGGACTTGCAATCCGGAGGTCACCGGTTAGATTCACACTCCTGTGTTCCCAACATCAAACCTCACCATCCCCATTCCTGGGGTGCATAACATCTCATCCTCCCTGCTGATTTAGAGTCTCGCTGGTGCATCGTTACGTGCCCAATAACCACAATCACTCCAATGCCTTTGTTTTATGTTTGCAGTGCAGCCAGGGCCATCTCTGCCATGAAGCTGTTGCAGGAGGCGCGGGCGCTGGGAGCGGAGACAGCGATTGAGGTCGGAGGCTGGAGGCTCAGGGACCAGGAGCGGGACGTGGAGGCGCGTGGACGCCTGGATCTGCGGCTCTGGCTTGAGTGTCGACTGATGGTGGCAACAGCGCTCACACAGTGGCAGCCAGACCCTGCTGCAGGTGATTGTATCACGCTCTCATCGTCTTCATCATCCCAGCAATTATCATCATTGTTGTTGTGGATTTCTATTATCGTCAGTATGTACGTATGTTGAACTTCTTTCGCACTCTACGTAGCCCACCGTGCTTATTGGATCATGAGCAGCAGGATATTCATCAGCAGCATAGTCATCCTCATCGTCAGCAGTGGTAAACATCTGCAGAATTTCATCAGCAGCAACAGCATATTAATCGTCAAAATTATTGTCGTAATGGGGGGGGTACATGCTTGGAATTACACACTCCGAGAGAGAAAGAGGAACACGTGGATTCAAGATACGTGGGCTTGAGCAGGACACGTTGCTAGAAAGGACGATGGGCAGCGGTCGACACTAACAACGGAGTGGCAGCCAAAGGGGTAAAAATACAGACAAGATGACGTGCAACGTGGACGTCATCGCACGTGCGGGTGCTCAATGAGTTGTTGCATCACAGCACCGTAAGGGAGGGCAGTCCCTTGGGGGAGGGTTTCACACAGCAGTGTCAAGATAATAGCCGATGACGGTGAGAGCTCCTTCAGATTAAATTGCCTTTAAAATTTTTTGCAAGTGAGAGCTGGGTTAAAAAGCATATCCTATATATAAAAAAATACTTCAAACCAGTTCAGAATATGAAACAAAGCATAAACATGTTGACATTAGAGTTTGAAAAATTACTCCATCAAGTTGATTGATCGACTAAGAGTTGTAATCGATTACTTTTTTTGTGGTAAACTGCTCAGGTGTCTTTTAAAAACGAATTTCTGGTTCCACTTCCTGCCTCCCAAGGGCAGGACAGCCCATGCAGCCCTAGCACAGCGAAATGTATCCAATGATGCCTATCACCTCCTGCCCTGCGCCACTGTGGGAACAGAGATAAGGCCTTTTCATAAACTATCTGTTTTTCAATTGCTATTTTTATTTATTGTATTTTATCAGGTATAGCCCACTGAGCTATTAGCTTATCATGTGGAAATTTATCGCAGACAAGTAATCTCAACGCATGTTTCTAAATATAGTGGGAAAACCGGAGGACCCAGAGAAAAATCTATGCGACCTGTGAGGAGAATATGCAAACTCCAAATATACAGCAGGCATCATGGTCGGGATGTGAACCCATGACCTCCTGCATACCAGGCGAGGGAGATAACATCTCGCCACCACAGCGCCACAATTAATTAAGCAATCAAACCAAAAATTATCGATGGAGTTATAGATTACTTAAATAGTTGGATTATCCCAATTCTGGTTGACATTAGGAGTTCTGTTAGTGCTTTCATTCCTTCTTGTGAAGCCCATGTGAGCATGGATAGTCGCTTATCAGAAGCAGAATCTGAATATTTATTTATACTGGAGGAATCCGATGAGCTATCAAGCTCTTTTCACAGATGTCCAGTAGGGGGCAGATTAGCACGTTACAACAATAAACATTACAAAAACATTATAGGAGTGCAAAGTAGAAAACCATCCCCATCCTACCAGTCAAAACCCACTGAAGTATTAACTTATTTTTCAGAAACCACCTGGCCACAAATGATAGCTCAACAGGCTCATCATTTGGACATTATAGCCAGCAAAATAATCTAAACAATCTTATTGCATGTTTCTAAATGTGGAGGGGAAAAAACCGTTACGATGCCCACGACGATGCTTCGTGTTTCCCGCGCAGGGCTTGGTGATGCCGACGCCCGGAGGTTTTGCAAGGAGGGCCTCGCTGAGAGTGAGGCGTGCGGAGATGTCGAGACACAGGCAGAGTTCATGTCCCTCTCTGCCCTGCTCGACTTCCATGAATGCCGTCCCATCGCAGGCATCAGAAGTACACTGCAGGTGATCATACGTTATAACTGGTGGATCGGAACATTGGTCTCAAGTGTTGAACTTGATCATTAAAAGCGGCATAGACCATTGCGCCTGAAGAGGAACGTTTTCAATCAGTGCACATTGCTAGATAGAACCTGAACCTGCACGTGTACATGACTGCTCTTAGGCGACTGCTGCTCTCGCAAGTATGCTGATTACACCGATGACGCTGATAGTTACCAAATCTGCTGATTAATTAAGCCAGGTTGCCAACTTTGTATTTATTTTGCTGAATGCGTGTAGGCCATCCTGGAGCTGCTGGATCGACCTGCTGAAATGCTCTCCCAGAGGGCCCACTTGCTTCTGGCCGAGGTTACCGCACGCTTAGCGGACCTTGCATGTGCGGTTGACGAGGGCCCCGAGACGGAACTCCGGCAGCAAGACCACGCAGTGGAAAAGGATGACAACGACCTCCCAAAGCTCAGCGCTCCTGACGGGGGATCATTGCCTTTCATGGCAGAGAGCCTGAGCCTCTGCCTAAAGGCTGAGCAGATTGTCTTAAGTCAGGTAAGTGAGTGGAGGTACCGCTAATAATACTAATATAAGTAGAATCATTTATACATTTTTGAAGATTCACTGCTGGATGAAGGCCATATTGGTCGCGGGGGCTGTCACATTTCACTGTCTTGATCGGTGACGCTTGGGGAGGAGGGTAGGGAGGGTGCCAGGACCATTTACAGTGCCTCTCTCTGCCAAATCAAACTTGGGTTGCCAGGTTCACAGCGCAGTGTGTTAGGCACTGCACCACCTAAAGCTAAACTGTTTTTATATTATTCGGTAAGGCCCACTGAGCCGTATAGCTCTTCTTCAGAGGCGACCTGGCCACAAATGAAAGCTCATCACATGTACATTTATTGCAGCCGAATACTGTAAACGCATGTTGCTTATAATTGTGGAGGGAAAAACCGGAGGACCCGGAGAAAAATCCACATGACCACGGGGAGAACACGCAAACTTCAGATATACAGGCGCTAGGGTCGGGATCGAACCCACAACCTCCTGTAAACCAGGCGATGTAGTTAACATCCAGCCACCGTGGTGCCCGGCAAGTCACATAAATATACAGTTAAAAATGTTGTCCAATTACGTATATACTTGATGGGGGTTGGCAGATAAGCGCAATATTGAATCAGAATCTTAATTTAGATTGGAGAAATCCGATTATCTACAAGGCTCTTTTTTACATATGTCCAGTAGGGGCGGTTAATGCACTGTGGTCATAGCTACCTGGACATGATTCCTGGCCACGATGTACTGAATCAGTGTCCATTGGTTTCTGAATGTAGCTTAAGCCTCCCCTCCGTAGACTCGGTAAGTGGGCTTGGTCCCCAACATGCATGGGTAGGCCAAGGAAACTGGGGATGTGTGTGCAGACAAAACCACCCGTTTACAACGTATGTATGTACTGTATGTTGAACTTCTTTCACACTGTACGTAGCCAACCGTGCTCATCAGAGGTGTGGTGGAAGGACAACAAACTAAACACAAAAAGCAGTTCTAAAGAAATTAGTTTTCAATCTAGATTTAAAAGTGCATAGCTCCAGTAGCTTCCTGATATCAGAAGGAAAAGTGTTCCAGAAAAACCTTATGAGGGCCTCACTAAGGCTGAAGAGGGAGATCTCTGTCTCTTATCACTGTGCGTGTGTTTGTGTGTCTGCATTGCAGGTAAGAGAACTCGGCTTTGTTGGGGACATCAGTAACTCCTATCTACCACACGTCAATATGCTGGCCAAGATTAAGCTAAGGATAGGTAAGTTTTTCCAGAGTTATTTAGAGGTTTTGCACATTCATCCATACATATGTCTGATAATTTGCCAAAAGAGATATTGTATGTCGATCATCATCCTGAGCCACGGTCTATCCACTGTTGAATGAAGGCCTCCCCTATAACATCACCATCTCTCAGGTCCTAACATGTTGCAGTCATCTTACTCCTGCATATCGTGGTAATATTAGCAAGCCACTGGAGCTATGCATTTTTAAATCTCGATTGAAAACTCATTATTATACAACTGCTTGCGTGTTTAGTTGGTGTCCTTCCCGCGCACCTCCGATTAATATGGTTGGCTACGTACGGTGCGAAAGAAGTTCAACATACATGCATACTTTCTCTCGGGCATATTGTTTCCTGTGGCTGTCATTCCTGCACCAATCTCACCCATCGGCCATCATCTCTTCTAGTTTTACATGTCCTGACCAAGGACATTTACTTTTTCCTTAACGGTGAATACGATGCCTCTAGTTGCCATTTTTTCCCTGACGAATGCGTACCTGTTCATGCCTCTCGGTGTGATTTACAAGCGTGCGTCTGAATAACTGCGTGGTTTTAAAGTGAAAGTTTGAAACGTTTACCCAGGCAAGCAACACCTTTCGAGAGATTCAGCGGTGGTTTTGGCGTCATGCTGGCAACCACCCCATAGAACGCCGTGCAGGGCGTTTATAAGCACTTGTTCCAACAGTCTATACGTGACGTTGGGGTGGGGATGTTTGTCTTTGTGCTCAGGCTGCTTCCAGGCCGTGGAATCGAGCCAGGCGCTCGCTCCGCAGGGAGGGGATGGCTCCGAGTGGCTCCGCGCGCTCCACACGCTCGACTCTGCGCTGCGTCTCTGCCACTCGGCCTCCACGCAGGATCGCGACCTCGCCGCCGAGATCCTGCTCCAGAGAGGTGGCCTGGCGAACCTAGCCAGTCGTAGCGCTTCGTAACCATCGAATTCGGTGTCCTCGCCGTTCTTATATTGTGCAAGGCTATCATAGACGGGTATGGCCTGCCAGAATTGGGCAATGTTGTCCATCCCCCAAACTTCCGATTAGCAAGGTTAGCTACGTACTGGTGCAAAAGAAGTTCAACGTACATACAATGTTGTAATGTGTTTTTTTTTTACCCTATGAAATAATTTTGGAGAAATTTTTTTATTTTTAGATGATGACGTTGGCACACATGGCCTACTATTTTTTGTAAGAATGACACAGGCTCTCTAAGGTCCGCTGAGAAGCAGACAGCACACATTTTGGTTGCTACACCTGCTTAATTAGACGGGGTTCGAATCGTGAACTTCTGCAAGAAGTGGCCAACACGCTGCCTCTCAAACCACGTCGCTAACTTTAAGTGAAGCGAGAGTGAGAAGGGACACCTGAGAAGTGCTCGAGGTTGGGCTGGGTCTAGGGTTCGAGAACAAGACTAAGATGGACGTATATACATTTTACATTTCACCGGCAGGACAACAAAAACAAAGCCATAGGAAAGCCCAACGTAGATTGAAGCAAGTGCTCAGGTCTGGTTGGCTAGCTTGGTACAGGGCGAAGACTACGTTTTTGTGGGCTAGTATGGTGAAGGTTGCGGGTCGGGCTAGGTGGGATAGGCTAGTTTGTTGGGGTTATGAAATGACCCAGTGAGTTGGCTAGTAACGTCAGTACTTGGGGTACATCTAGGATTGGTTGGCTAGTGTTGTATGAGGATTAATTGAAGTATAGTGCGAGGGTCTGGTTGCTTAGTATTGTTCGTATTAGATGAAGCTTTGCGTTAGAGTATAGTTGACCAGTCTTGTTAGTATAATGGTTCATCTTAGGGCTCGTGTCTCATTGGCGAGTGTTATTCGTGGTAGAGCAAGTGAAGAGTTAGCGAGTGTGGGTTGCTATTGCCCTGCCTCTTCCAATTCAGCACAAAGCTACGATTTTGTTTTGCCCTCTCTCGCATTGCCAAATAAGGCATCGTCCCTTTGGCGTTTCACTTCAGTGTTTACAGCACATGGAGGAGTTGTAACCTAAGCATACAGACGTACACAAACACTTACGTATCAGCATATGTTGACATATGTACACATCCTGTGGATAGGAATGTAGATTTTCCTTTGGCTCAGCCTATTAACAGAGGTGAGCGCAGCTCCGTCGCTCGTCAGACTTGCACACGCAGTGCCGTGTTCCCATGGCTACGTTTCACTCACCCGCACTGGCAGAATGCTCAAGGCATTGCTCGGGCTGCGCAGATATGGTGGCGGTTGTTAGCCTGGGCGCGCGCGTGCAGGCAACGTGGAGTGCAGGGTCACACAGGGAGGTCACTGCGCAGATCTGGTGGCGGTGTGAGCCTGTGCGTGCGCGTGCTGCCGCCTGTCAGGCAACGTGGAGTGCAGGATCGCGCTGGGAGGTCACTGCGACCCACGGACCGCCGTGCGCACGCTGCTCAAGTCCGTGGACGTCAGCCAAGGCGCCTCGCACCAGCTGTGGTGGGGCACCCTCGCCGCCGTATTTGTCGCTCACGGAGCTCTCTCATTGTTTCTGCTAATCACGATTAGAACGCCAATGCGGATTACGTTACTTATGATCATCGTCATGACGTTGCTGCTGATACTGATACTGCTTTTGGACAATCTTCGGTGAAGTCAATAACGCATGGGATCATTTGTCGCTTAGGGCAGGGGTCGGCAACCTACGGCTCCGGAGCCGCATGCGGCTTTTTGAGGACAGCTTCGTGACATCATTCACATTGCATTACGGCTCTTGAAATTTGTAGGTTTTTTTACCGAATTCAAAAAAATGGCTCCTCTTAATAATTTGGTTGGTGACTGCTGGCTTAGGATCATGAAACAAGCCTACTTGGAGGCGGCCCTGCTCTTCTGCCGTCTGAGCGAAAAGACTCGGGCGAGCGAGGCTCACACAGAACAGGATGCGGTGGCCGAGAAAGGGAAGACGGATCCTGCAAAGCAGCCAAACAAGTCCAAGGCAGGTCTCGCTCCGTGTAAATCTGTACCCAATATGCGTTTTGTTATCAGAAGTGTTTAATTGGCGGTTACGGAAGCTGACTGGGTAGCCTTTTGGCCAAAATGCGCTTGTGAATTTAAACGAAGTTTGCTCGGGCTTGTGTTTGCAAGTTTTGAGCAACCATTTGTTCAACTTGGTCAAATTTGAGTGGGCCCCGAACAAGGATTTGAGCGGGCAACCTTGTTCAGACATTTGTACGAGACTAAAAGCATGCACACAGACACAGCTATTAAGAAAAGTGCACATTTCAGAAAGCTATCCCCAGATAAGCCACTTCGTTAAGCTGTCATGGCTTGACGACATAAGAGATTGATGCCAGAATGATGTGGCACCACTTGAGCATTTTGGCACAAGACAGAGTAAAGTGGAAACAAATTGTTTAATGAGCAGAGGACACCTACGCGCTATCTGCCCATGGATTGTGATGATGATTCCCTATATATGAATACAAATTCTCCAGGTGGGATGTTAACTACCTCGATTGGCATACCCAGGTTTGATCACGACCCTGACGCCTGTATATTTGGAGTTTGTATGTTCTCCCCGTGGTTGCGTAGATTTTTATCCGGGTCCTCTGGTTTTCCCATCAATATTTATAAACATGCGTTTAGAGTATTTTTCTGCTATAAATTTAGACGTGATAACCTACAAACTATCATTTGTGGCTAGGTCGCTTCTGAAAAAGAGCTACATAACTCAGTGGGCCATACCTTGTAAAATAAAAAAAATGGTTTCGTTTATATGCTTGCGTGTAACATGTACGGCCCATTGTCAGTCCACTGCTGGATGAGGGCCTGTCCATCCATTGTGGGATGTGTGGAGTTACTTGACCACATTTTGCCACGCTGGTCCATGAAATCCGGTGAACGCTGGGGAGTGTAGGCATGTTAGCAAAGAAGTACAGAACAGCAATGTTTTTTTTTTGCAATGGCTTCTGCTTCTGACAAGGTAGCCCCACAGCCTACAACACGCTTGCATTGAATTTACAAAAGGAGCTGTACCTGTACATGAATTAGTATATATTTGTTTTTTTGTGTGTGTGCCTGTACCACTGCCATGATCTCTTAGGTTGTTGTGCGAGGCCGGAGTCAAGCGCTGGCGGAACGGGGGCTGTCGGTGTCGGAGCGCTACAGCTTGTTGGCATGGATCGCCACTCGGGCAGCCACCCAGGTCAGAGGTCACACCTGGCAAGGCAGCACTCAAAAATGACATCCTTCCTTTGCGGACCAGAGACTACATGAAGGGATCTCGGAGGTTAGCTCTGCGATATCCGCTTCTGTGGGCCGTCATCTAATGCAAATGGTTACACTGCTCTGCTAGATAGAGCAATTGAGATGAAATATATACTCCAAAAAAATACTCGATATTCCAACGATGTATCTCATCAGTGTCTGTTTAGCTAGCGACACTGCTCTGTGTTAGTTTGTTGTCCTTCCCCACACCTCCGATGAGCACGGTTGGCTACGTACAGTGCGAAAGAAGTTCAACATAAAGGATACACATCTACTTTGTACTTTGAGTTGCATCCTTATCTATTAGCCTCCTGTGAAAGAAAAGATAAACTTATCCGCAGGGCCTAAACGGAGAATATCAGCAGGGGTATCTCGGTGTAGCTCCAACACACCCATTATAATCCATCCCTCTGGACAAGGGGGAAAATAGAGTGAACAGATCAGTTGGTTGGGACAACATGAGCAAAGAGGAACAGAAACTGTTATGGAAATTAACTCTAATTTATGAGGATTACACGAGATCAGCAAGGTTGGCTACGTACGGTGCGAAAGAAGTTCCCCGTACACACATACATACGTAGATGCAATATAAACAGCCACCTCTGCTATAGAGTTCAAGTATTTGTTTTTAGATGCACAGAGCTAACCTTGGCGGGCATTACCTGCGTGTACTGCACGGCGTTTACCCGGTCCGCAGGTGGGCGAGTGCTGCCTGGCGTGGGGGAGGCTCCTCTCCGACCAATCGGGGGATGTCCTGGGGAGAGAGGTCGCCCTCCATCTCCCAGAATTCATGCTTCTGGACCTGGTTGCTTCGCACAGCCTTGCTGCGCCTGGTGAGAGAACTTGTGTTCGTGCGCGAGCGCCACGGTGGCGAGATGCCAACTACCTTGCCTGGTATACAGGAGGTCGTGGGTTTCTATCCCGACCCTGACGCCTGCTGTATATTTGGTGTTTACGTGTCTCTCATCATCATCACGGTGGTGAGATGTTAACTACCTCGCCTGGTATACAGGAGGTCGTGGGTGTCTATCCCAACCCTGACGCCTGCTGTATATTTGGTGTTTATGTGTCTCTCATCATCATCACAGTGGCTAGATGTTAACTACCTCGCCTGGTGTACAGGAGGTCGTGGGTGTCTATCCCGACCCTGACGCCTGCTGTATATTTGGTGTTTGCGTGTCTCTCATCATCATCATGGTGGTGAGATGTTAACTACCTCGCCTGGTGTACAGGAGGTCGTGGGTGTCTATCCCGACACTGACGACGCCTGCTGGCTCAAAGGCCATAAGTCATCCACAGCTCCTCATCAAGAGCAAACTTCCGCAGTTTATTCCGGTCACAGTGAGCCCTCACGCGACTGTACGGAAAGAACAACTCGGGCGGTCGCACGGAGCAGGGCCGTATTATTAGCCTACGAAGAAGAATTGACCATTTTTGTCTTTGTATTATAAAACATGTATCCGAGATAGCTTCTTGAATAAACACATTTGTATAGCAAGGATAGGCACAGTTTATATACAAAGATGCAGAGCCATGTCAATGACAATCGTATGTTTCATAAGGTGAGAGAAATTAACACTGGAGATTAACTTTTAGGGGGTTTTTTTCTTTGCAAAATTATCAATAACATCTTCAGATGGTGTTTTTCGCACAATTTCAGTCTCATTAGAGAGTAGCTTAAGGGTAGGTGAGGCGTTGTTGTCCTGTGGTTGATTGGAGACAGTTTATTGTCATCAGCGTTAGCTGAAAAAAAACAAGTGCCTTGGGCCTACAAGAACCTTAATCCGGCCCCGACACAGCGCGCCTAAAACTGTCGATGCCCCCATTTTTTCTCCAACCCTCGGCGTCCGTGACGCGGGATGGGCAGACGCAGCGGAGCCAACGCTGGGATTCAGGGACGAGACCGTGTCCAGGTGTCGCTCCCGAGCCGCCACCCTCACCTGGGCTCAAGTGTTGCGCTACCGAGGAGCGATCGTTCGTCGTACGGACCTCGCCTCGCAGCTCGGTGAGCTCCGCCAAGGACGATGTCACCGAACACTTTGGCGTTTCTTTATGTTCACGATCATCGTTAACTGGAAGGTGATGCAGCTGCGGTACAGTAGAGCCCCCAGATTTTGCTTTAAATTCTCAGCCAGGGTGCACCATCATCATCATCAACAGCAGCAGCAGCGTTATGATCAAGATAGTCCACATTAGTGCCGTCATCAGACGCAGCAACACTCAGGCTTTTCTTTTGCACTATCCAGGTTCAACTGTGCATAGGTTGGTGTAACACGTCATAGGCTTTCGCGACCAATATTATCCATAATAAAGGTTTTTGGGTTAGATCACGTAAGTATATCTGTGAAAAAGAGCTTCATAGCTCATCAGATTTCTCCAGGATAAATAAAGATTTTGATAACTGTTATACTAGTGCGGAATCATCATTATCGTCGTCGTACATTGTGTATCGTGGCGAATCCGCACAAGTGAAAGTGAGTCACGTGCGGATGTGTTGCACGTCCGCCGCAGACTACTTCCCCGGGCGCCGGCGGGCCGCCATCGGCGGCTGTCTCGTCCGATCGCCGCTCAACCTCGGGAGCTGCCGCTTGTTTCTGCGAGCGGGAGCCGTTCACCGCTTCCTGGCGGAGCGGCTCGCGGCGTACGCGGCTGGGCCGTGCCGCGCACCCCCCGCGCCGCAGCAGCTGCTGCACACTCCGCCGCACGCCCCCAGCGCGGCTAGCCAGGTGACGCTCACGCGAGCCTTGGTGGCGAGCTCCCGTGTGTCTGTCGCCCGTGTCCTTCTGGCCCACCGTCTTTGTTTGTTGGCTCTGAATGGGAATGGCAGTTGGGAAAAAACCGTCATGGTTTTTTTTTTACACCCGTGGCTCATCATATCGTTGTGGAATTTCCACTGCAAGCTTGGGACTGCCAAGGGAGTTCAGCATCATCCCACACTCACTGAATATGGACCCACTGTTGGCAACTTTTTTTGTCCAGTTTTGGATGAAGATTTTTTTACAATTATTTTTCTATCTACGTGGCTTTACCGAAAGACCCAAAGAATATGTTTCTCCAACAAATGCTTTGTAAACGTTTTAACAACACACAAATCTGGCCCACAAACCCTGACCTGGACTTAAGTTTTCCGTATTGTTTGATTCCAGGAATTGGCAGACGCGCTGGCTAAGGCTGACTCGCTGACGGGTTTGGTGATGATGCAGCCACTCACGCCACCGACTGTCCAAGGAGGAGAGGGGGCTTCCGAGACAGACCCCGCATTTGGAGCCAAGAGCAATGAGCTGTGCCTGCAGTGGCACCAGCCTCTGCTGGAGCCCTTGAGACCGACCAAGGAGGTGAACCAAACCCCTTGCCCTGTGCCGTCGACGTGCCTGGCGCTGTGGCGCATTTGCCGCTACCGGCAGCGGTTTTGTGGTTCTGAGCCCAGCCGCCGCCCCGGTCGATACCGGCTGGTGCGTTCACCAAACCACGCACCGTCTGCTTCGCGGTGAACGTTAAAGATCTCGCGACGTTCATTTTAAAAAGATCTCGCGACGTTTTTGCCAGCTTCACGGTTCAAGTTTACCGAGCCCCATTCGCGCTTCGCTGCAGGTGATGCTGTTCACCGCCAGCAACACGAGGCCCTTTCGCGTCATCGACGTCAGAACGTGCGGTGCGGCCGACGCCAGCTGTACCTGCCGCCCCGTTCTGCTCTCCAGGTGAATCCTCCACCCCGGGAGCGTTCGCGGAGTCGTCGTTCTCAACGCCAAACTGTCATTTTACGATTTTCATGAGAGAAATAAATTTCTATTTGTAGCATCATCCAATGCGAGAGAACAATCTCCTGAAGTTTACATCACAGAACTACTGAGTTCCCTTTAAATGTCTCCGCACTTCTATAGAGACATTTGTCGCATGGTAGTGAAACAGAAAATAACATACGTCCACAGAGCTGGAATGTAGTTTAAAAAAGCATTGACAAACCAAACATCTAATTTTTATTTCAAGGTTCGTTTCTTACCACACTTGAAATACAGTTTAATCAAGGGTAGCAGAAACCCAGAGTCAAACTTAGCGTCATGGTGGCATTCGTCCCCGAAAACTAACCGGCCGCCACTGTGTTTATTCTCCGATGTGTTTTTGGATAGTAAAAGATCATAGTTGTACTGCATTTTATTTGGCATAATGTCCGGCATTTCGCTCCAACTCCTAGGAGCTTCTTCTTCTTTACTTCTTCTCAAGTTCGCGAAGCCGTACAGCACGACCGTGCACAATTTTTATTCGCCTGCCTCTCGTCGCCCTTCGTCACCTCCCCCACGTGACGCAGGCTGCACGCGCTGAGCCCTCGCCTGGCGTCGCTGAGGTCGCAGGGGTCCTTGCTCGCGGCAGACGAACCCTCCTCCTCGCCACACCCTCCCGCCCTACCGTTGCCCGTGCCTCCTGGCCACGGATCGACCGTCGGGGAGAGGCAGAAGCCGGCGGCGGCGCGGCTAAAAGCGGCAGCTGGCGCCGACGGAGCGAACCTTGGCACGGTGAAGCTGCAGGTACTGGGCGAGCGGTGGGTGTGGGGGGTCCGTGGGTTGAGTCTCGCTTGGAGGGATGTGGCGGCTGCTCACTTTGAGTCTCGGTTAATGCCTCGCCATTCAAGGTGGGATTTACTTGCCTGTGCAATGAGGCTTAAAGACAAAATATCCCCCTTGTAGCCTTAACAGACTTACGGCAAGCGCTGTTAGCGAGCACCTATAAAGGCCGGCATGGCACACGAGGGGGCTCACACACACACACACACACGTGGGATTGAGCTTATTAAAGCTTTTTTAAAACATGCATGGGAATGTGTACACTTGAGCTGATAGCCCTGATTAGTAGCTGGATTCCGTTGTTGAGGCTCTCGGTTTTTTATTGATTGTCAACGCCATAGCTGCGTGGAGGTGAGGAGTGTGACTAATTCAGAGGACAGGTGGAGCTGGTTCGAGGAGGAGCGGGGTGTTGAGTATAAAGGCGTTGCAGGATCAGAGCTCTGGGCTGAGTGTTGTAGTAACAGCTGTGGTGTGAGGTCTGTGTTTACCTGCTGCTGTTATTTTAATAGACATTGTGAACATGGACCTTGCCCCCTTATCTCATCAGCCACCGCAGTCGACAGACTCTTGCCAGGCTTATCTAAGGGGGATTATGTTAGGTCACGGGGATATTTGTTGTTGTGGTTCATTAATACGACGCCTTTCGCATCAATTGTGCTCACCAGCTCGGTCCGTGATTTACTGCACAACACGCGCATTGGGTCGACGCGGTGTTACTGGGTTGTTCTCGTGTGTTCCGGCCCGATGTCCCAACGTTTCGATCCACATGCCGGCAGCTTCTTAAGGAGCTGAATTGTTTGAAGTTTACATCCTCAAGAAGCTCCGAGCGTGCGGCGCAAAACGTCGGGCATGGTGCCGAACAAACGCGCGGTATGACCTGAACTCGTCCCGAGAGCCACGCGGAACAACGGTGCAAACATAACGCCGTTAACTTTAACATGTTAGAAACATGCCTACGTAACGTAAACGCACGGTTCCGAAGTGTGAAACCTATTTCCATTTCAGTTCTATTCTTGCGTATGGCACCAATATTTTCGGGAGCTTAATGCCAATGTCTGAGGCCTACTAGTCACGAGAGGGCTTCAGGAGACGGGTGTTTGTAGTTGTGCTTTTCCTCTGTTCAAGGAGCGCAGACTCCCGTAGTTTGCACTGTATGGTCCAACTACGTTGTAGTTGCAAATGTTTAGTTTTTATTCGTGCTTTTCAAGGTTTTTCCGCATTAAACCACAGGCACATTGACGTCAGATACAATGCGCAAGTTTTTCAAGTTGATGTTGTCGTTCTGTCTCTCCCTGCATGACGTATTGCTGCAGGACCTGGCTAGGGAGTGCGCTGCGGAGATTCAACGCTTGCTGGGTTCCCACGCGGATTCCGAGCCACTTTCAGAGGTGACCGCAATAAGCAACGAACTGTTGATCAAACCTAATCTTCCAACATTCACTTCCCTTGGCCCTGCTGGAGACATGGTGCACCGATTCTCGTGTTTATGCAAGTGGAAAGGTGAGCATTAGTTATGCTTGGCGTTTGCAAGGATGGCTACTGTTTTCTCCAGGTTATAAGATAATAAGATTAACCTTTTCTCCTTTGTTTTTAAAGGAAGACGTTGCAAAGGGGGGGGGGTCTGATAATGAATCGGGAAGGTGTGCGTGCGACTAGAATTGTGCGAAATTTATTATTGACACCAGGCACAAGTTTGGAGAGAGTCTTGCTTTCTGGAGCTTCTTATTCATCCAAAGCGTACGGTAACTACAAAACAATGAATAATTAGCGCTCACAAAGGGCTCTAAATGATCCGTTAAACATGTGTATTATTACCAAACTGCGTGTCAGCCGTTTCCTCTCTGATCAGCGACCTCTAGGTGTTGCTGCTGGAAGGACGTGCTGTCTAACCTTGCGCCTTGTTTTTGCAAAAAATGTTCACCTTTAACCTTAAGTAATAAATTCTAATCTTAGTTTTTTCGGTAAAGTCACGTAGAAGGGAAAAAACAATAAAATAATAAAAATAAAACAATAAAATTCTCACGACGTTTCGAGTGCAACACAAGCAATCATCATCGGGTGTGAAAACGTCGTGAGAATTTTTTTATTTTTTTTCCCGTCTACGTGACTTTATCGAAAGAACCAAGAATGTGAATCCCTGCAGTCACGAAAGCTTTAAATCGAAATTTAATCAATTATAATTAATTGAAATCGGAATATATATTTATCCTTGGAGGAATCCGAGGAGCTATAAAGCTGGTTCTCACAGATGTCCAGTCGGGGTGGGTCGGCAACTCCGTAATGCCCCCATTGTCAGTACGCTGCCATTCACCTCGGTATGTAGGGGAGACGTGGCGCGGTTGGTCCTTGCTTTGAGCTACGAACCTGGCGACTTGTGTTTCATTACCGTCCACAGCGCACATTCGTGTGGCCTGTACTGAGCTCTCCCCCCCATCCCCCCCCCCATCAGTGGATTTGGCCTTAAATGGGTGTCTGGTGCAGTGGGTGCTCTCAGTTAAAAACTTAAAACGCTCATGGATTTTTTAATGGTAGTTTAATTTCAATAAAAATGTACCTTGTAAATGGAGATCATGACAATGTACGTACCCCAGTTTTCGTTTGCTATGTTACTGAAATATTCTCAACTTTTTTCTCTACCCCCCCTCCCCCGCCAGATGCCCTTTGACCTTTCCCATAATGCCTTGCGGAGTTTGGAGGCAACGTTCAGCACAGCCAGCGGGTTCCGCGTGACGGAGGGGCGACTTCACGACTGGCTCGGCAAACTCCTGAGCCAGATGCCGAACGGCCTACGACAATAATTAAGATGAAAAATCGGCCCTTGCAAAAAAAATAAACCCCAAATTATTTATTCTGCAGCAATCGTAAGAAAAATCCATACAGCTCTACGAGATGTTAAAATCATTATAATGCAGAATTGTTCGTGGAATATTGAAAAAACGCTGTATTTTACTTTCTAAATAATCTAATTGTTTTGTCTTTTAAAATCCGTTTTGTTAAAAAATGTTCTGACTCATTTATTAAACAAATTATAGATGTGAATAAACATATATACCTAACTTACACTTCCTCTACAGTTGCTTACATTAGATGTATCATTGGTAATATGGTGATAAATAAATGTTACGTCTACCCAAGCAATACCATTGCGCTGGTAATATCAGTTAAAAAAAAATTTCTTCCCAAAGAGGATGAGCTGACCCAATGTACTCGCAGGGAAAGTGAAATTGGCAGCAAGGGCCCGAGTTGGCTTTTACCCATCAACAGGCAAACTCTAAAATATTACATTTTCCCACGTGTGTTGAACCTCTTAGCACCGTACGAACGACGACAAACTAAACCCAAAAGGCAGTTCACGCTCTCACACGAACAAGAGCACAGGAGGAGCCAAGCGGTGAAATAACTTTTTGCCGGAGCCTGAATCTCTAACGTTGGTGGTGGGAGAGAAGATTGGCTGTGGATATGACCACTGTGCCAATAGAGGAATTCGTTACATCGGATCATGTCATTCGGCTTGGAGCACGACGTCATCACCAAGGCACTGTTTCACAGACAGGAGAGTAGTCTGCCAGTATGGGGCGATGTTGCTTTGTGGTTTTCGCCAATGAAGTAAATTGCAGGTGATTTTCAAATTTGGACTGTGACATTGCCGCAGAAGGCATACTCTTTTTTCAAATGAAGTAGGGAAATCGTTCACATCCACTGTGGAGCAGACGGCCATTAACACGTATTCGCGACCAATATCCATAAAAGTTTTTTAAAGATATGATTGTAATTGTAATGGGTTTACTTTTCAACACAACAGCATGCTGAACTAGTAAATAATTGGCTCGTTTTGTTTGTGACAAACCTAATTGGCTGTCGGGTGGTGGCGGGTTTAATGACACATTTATATTTACGCTATCTAACCAAAAAAAAACCTCAAACGATACATTGTTGGATAATTATCTACCGGCAGGGTTAATCGGGGTTGCCGCTAGGCTCGAACCGCGAACCTCTGCCACGAGCGGGGCTCTCGCTGCCACTCGGCCATTTCACGTTTAAAAGAAGACTCCACGACGGTGGATCGGTGCGTTGATCAGATCACATAAAACTAAAATTTGCAGAATCAGAGTTTTTTTAAAGCCTACATGTTAAACTAAACATTTGCAGCACTGCTGGATGCCAGGCTCTCAACTTGTCCCATGCCATCTGCTTCTCGTCGCTGATTCAGTGACTCCAGCAGCATGGAGGCGGTGGCGTATATTGTTGGGTTTAGACTTCTGGGTGAGAGCTTCACTCGTTGGAGTCTGGCGCAGGGTAATTGCGGTCTCCTGAATCCTCGTGCGACTGTTCTTGGCAGCCACATTGGTAAGGGCCTGTGAAGCAGCTTTTGTGTTTGATGCGCAAGGTGATAATTCATAGTTTACCTGCTAAAACGTTGCTCTTATAGCCCCTATACATCGTGGCTGTTGAAGTCTCTGATGTGTAGTGCAGAGAGCAAGGCCATGAAAAAAATCCAAACTCCTAAACCAGTACTTTTTGGTTAGGTGGACTTCCAAACAATGGTCTTCACACCTTCCCCACTCCCTTCCCCTCCCCAGGACTTAAGTCTCTATTTGTGTACACAAGTTAGTTGCTTGTATCTACAGTATCGATCACACTGCGGTTAACATTGTCTCAGGTATATCCTAGCTCAAACTTATCCTCGCTTGAAATAAAATACCAAACCATTCATGGAAAGCAGCCGTTAACTCTTCGGAGGCACGTTTTTTACAGGTATTGACGGAGGCGTCCGTCCCAGATTCTAACTAAACACTGTGGTAGATGCTGCGTGCATTGTGCTCGCCTGTGAATGATGCCACCTGCAGTAGCAGCCACTGGCTGCCTGCACTGCAGCGTGGCCAAGGGGGGAGTGTGCCGTGGCTGCAGAGGTGTGGAGCCTGAGCAAATCTGTAGTTCTAGTAAGTTCATTTTTAAAAGGCAAGTAGTTGTTTTATCCCCCGTACTTTTTGCTTTCAAATGCAACAATATAAACGACGATTTAATAACCATAACGTTTGCAGCTGACACCAAGTCCTGGTTTAAACGATGGCATAGCTGGCTGTGAAGTGGCTGACCCAGGGTTTGAATCCCACAATTGCATATTTTTACCCATTTACGTATATATTACGTATGATGTTCCTTTAACTTTGTAACTTCCTGTGCCAGTGCATGGCACACTTTAACGTGTATAGCCGTTTCTAATACTTAAATATATACTCGGCCTATACCTACACCGCTCGTACACTGGGTCTAACTCGACTAGGTACCCTGCGTGTTACTGCGCTGTCGCTGTACACAGAGCACACTAAATGCATGTTTCTAAATGTATGTGGAGGGAAAACCGGAGGAGCCGGAGAAAAATGCAAACTCCAAATATACAGCAGGCGTCAGGGTCTGGATCGAACCCACGACCTCCTGCGTACCAGGCAAAGTAGTTAACATCTCACCACCGTGGCGCCCAAAACAATGCAGTAGGAAAAATACAATGTGGAAAAAGTAAGTTCGTGTACATATTTTTATTCCATTATTGACATGATAAATACAGCCACGAGCAATTACTGTATTAAAGTCAAATACTACTTTGCAAATCAGAATATCGTAAGATACTTCAAAGGCCAAGAGGCACATGATCAAGATCAACACAGTCTGAGATTGGTATCCAAAGTCAATCGTGATTATAAAAAAATTATTGGTGTCCCACATTGTACTTTTCCGATGTGAATCATAACAAACGGACGACACAATAGCATTGGTTTAAAAGGTCACAAGCCTGCTGATGAAACTCAAGTAGAAACTGGTCCACACGGTTATGTTGTTCCAACAAAATGAATGCTGGATTATTTAGGAAGGTTATCGTCGTTGCCAACTCATTCCACTGAATCGCACACACACACCTGTTGACGTGTGTACACGTATGACAAAACAGATCAGAGTATGATTCATTGGCTCTGTCCATTGGCGGAGACTGTTCAATGACATCGTAACAATGTAGTGGAAATTCTTTGCCATGTCCTTAACTCGCGCTGTCAATTTCACATGACAGAATTGGCACTTCAGGCAGCTCATGAACAGAAACAACAAAATATATGGCAGAAAGTTTGCTGATGGTAGAAATCCCCCTATGGATATGTTTACCCTGTACATGAATTGCGCCTCTGGTTTTCATGAGCTGCGAGATGTTCGAGACATTTTTAAAAGAGTAGAAATGGGATCAAGGACTGAGTGGAGACATTTAAAATCAAGATTAGAGACATCTAAAATCTTACCGTTCTCGTCCAGATACATTACATCTCTGACATACATACATTTATATTTGAATCAAGATTAAGTGCACCAAAAATTGAATGTACCACCGGGAGGCGAGCACAGAAGACAGGAATGCGAGCCAGGATAATTGAGGTCTTTGGTTACAAGGCCGCGCTCTATAGTTCCTGCTGGAACAGAATAAAGGCAACAGACAGCAGGACCCACAAGGCTGGAGATATGGTCACTCCGCTAGATGGACTTGGAACATCGCCCTTGCATTTGATGCAGTCTGGGCCGCACAGAGCGCAAAGGTCCATCTCAGAGAGTCGTTTGGATTTGTACACTTCCTCCACTCTTGTCGCTGTGTTTTTTGGGAAAGGAAAGAGAAGAGTCACACTCGGCCACGCTGTCAACCACAAAAAAAGTACCCCGTAACAATAACACCAAAACTAACTCGCATTGAAACACGTAATACTGTACGTAACACTAAACGAAGGCACAGCCAAAGTAACAAGTGGGCATTACCATTCGTGCTTTTGTGTTGTTTATGCCGAGTAGGTTGATGCATATTTAACGCATCACGAATGATAAAAATGCACTGCGTAAAATTCCAATGTTTAAGCAAGCATGCTCCCATTTTGACTTTGGGTCGTGATGTCATTACAGTTTGAAAGTCCTATGTAGAATAAGTAGACGAGGTGTTTCTGAGTGCAAGTCGGGAAATAACATGGTTCCAAAAGTATTTCCAAACTTGGCTATTGTTGTAGCTCACAGATGCAGACTATGAGAAAATCGTCCAGAATGTGCCTATCTTCGTCAGAATCTCGAAGTGGATTGGATTGTCTCAAGGGCTGCATATATCCATTCGCAGATGATTGTGCAAATGTTGCTTGGCTGGCCTGGGAACGCCTAGGAATTCCCCAGGAAGAGCTAGGGTCTGTCGCCAGGGAAAGGGAGGTCTGGACCGCCACTACTCAACACGCTGCTGTAGTGTAGTAGTGTATAGTCTAGTGTATTATGTAGTGGTATATAGTGTATAGTGTAGTGTATAGTGTAGTAGTGCTGGAGTCTGTCGTTTGGGAAAGGGAGGTCTGGACCGTCATTACTCAACATGCTGCTGTAGTGTAGTAGTGTATAGTCTAGTGTATTATGTAGTGGTGTATAGTGTAGTGTATAGTGTAGTAGTGCTGGAGTCTGTCGCCATGGAAAGGGAAGTCTGGACCGCCCTACTCACCACGCTGCCGGTGCAACCCTCACCAGGACAAGCGGGTTGAGAAACAAACGAACACATAAATGTGGCCACAGCGACAATTCACGCAGACCTTTAACACGTAGGTCTGGCTAGCCAGACCTTGTTGGTGTCCGTGCACTTCCATGAACAAAGAGCCTCCTGCCTTCGGCTACGTCAGGATGTGTGGTGCGCTTTGTCGTGTGTGCTCAACGCAAATGATGGACCACCAGATATTTCACCGCAGGTTCCTACGCTTTAAATGGATTTAAGGATTTTAGAGGAAAGAAAACTTGTGTTTTCACTGAAATAATTTTTTTTATCTGCCTAACTACCATGAACAATTTTGTAATTTTACTGCACCAAAATAATGTACTTACTTGGTTCATAGTAGTCACTAATAGCAACCACTCCTTCCTTCGCTTTTGCAACTGAAGACACTCGGTATTGTGTCATTTCTACACACGTTGCGCTGTCATTTAGCTGGAAAAAAAATGAGAAACACGTGACTTTACCGAAAAAAACAAAGAGTACGTGAACAAAAGTATATCTTGAAAATGTATCTCACATCCAAAAACCACGGGTTCCAAGATTACATGCAGTCAAGGTGGACACTTCACAAACGATAGGAACGTGCGAAGAAAACATCACGTACGTTCACAAAGTAGAGGTAGACCTTTCCCGGTGAGACCTCCACCAGTTTGAGGATTTCGTTGAGGGTGAACAGATTGTCAGCCACGTGAAAGCCACTGAGCAGGTTCACCTCCATGAGAACCATGCCGGAGGGGCCCTCGCCCATCCACCTGGAGCGACAAGAGATGGGCACGAAAGACGTTGGGCAGCGGTTGTGGCTATCCAGTGTTGGCAGGAGGCTGCGCCGTAATTACAGCGGGGACCACAGGCCGAAGGGGTCCAAGGTGCCATGCTAAGAAAGATGGGAGGAATTGGACAAGGCCTTCCATTTGTATCTTTTGCACCAAGGCCCATTCCAAAGCACGTTACGCCGCTGACGTTTTTGCCTGTTTAATGCGCACCGTGCGAGCTCGCGCAGCCGGCAATCCACACAATGATGGGCTTGGGCCCGATGCCTTGCATTATTGTCTTGTGTAGAAACATCACCCGCGTATTCTGTCACTGTATCATTATATGGCTGTCACTCATTCCCCATTCATTAATTTCATTCATCATTTACTGTCATCAATTTCGCTTTTACCGAATTCACACATCACAGACTTACCCCATTGCTTTCTCTCATCGATTTCATTCACCTCACTCTTTGGTTCTTTCGGTAAAGTCACGTAGGTAGAAAAATAATAGATCACGACGTTTCGATCGCAACACAAACAATCGCCATCAGGTGGGACAACCACAGCAAGAAAAAATCATCTTCCCCATTACATTCATACGTTATTATACCGTTATTAATTCTTTGTAAAGCACCTTGGTAAAGGTGCTATATAAATTCCGTTCAGATAAGAAGGCATAATGAACATTTTAGAACGACGCAAGCATTATTCAGTGTATGGAAAAGCTCCTCGGCCTCGTGGGCTGTGCCCGCAACGTACTTTGCACATGCCGTCAGATACACCTTCTCTCCAATGGTACCATTGGCACTGTTATCGTTGAAGTCCAAAGACAGCACATATTCGGGGGCCGCTGATCGGGCTCTGCGAAGTCCCGGGGCGTCGCGCACATTGTAGAAAACATTCAGCTGTGGAGGCACAGACAATCCAAGTAACGTGTGTGAGCGTTAAATACCGTGTTTATAAACGTGGACAAAAAACACATTCTGACATGAAAAATGTAATACAACAAGTTTTCACGTTTGTATCGTTGTTTCCAAAATATCTTGCAGCATGTTTGTTTTTGAAGTTTGTCTGCCACAATTGTGCTCGCTGTGTACGTCTCTTGTTTCTTGCCCATGTCACAATCAAACTCGAGCTTGCAATGTGTCTATCAGTCTTTGTCTTTCTGTTCACGGGTTTGTATCTGTGTTGGCATATTTTTCATCGTGGGCATCCATCTGTTTCTGTGTTTCCTGATATATGTGTGTTTCTGATCATCTCTGCTCTGCACGAGTACAGAATTCACATTGCCCTGAATATAAATTTGAAGGTGGTGCATCTCGCATTTACCAACTCTGAGACAAATCAATTGAATGGCTTCATCACTGAATCTAGTCGTTTCCTCATATCGGAAGAGCATTCCAGATGGCCGCAGAAGCGCATCTGAAAGCGCGCGATGCAGTGACCGTCTTTGTTCGATGGCTACCCAAAAGCCGCTGCGAGGAAGACCGGAGATTGCATGATGGTTTATGCTCCTTGATGAGATCAGCAAGGTGTTGTGGTTCATTTGTGGCAAACACTTTGTGTGTAATGAGTGCAACCTTAATGTATTCGTTCAGTAACTGGAAGCCAATGCAACTCAGCGAGCATTGGACAGACATGGTCGGACCTCACAGTACCCGTCATGACACGTGCCAAAAATGTTGTACACGCTGTAGCTTGCAAATGCTTTTGTCAGACGTCCCGTAGAGTAGTGAGTTGCAATAATCAAACCTTGTTGATACTATGCTACACGCCACCATGTTGGCTATGTCACGACTCAAAAGTGGCCGAAAGTGTCGTAGAGCCCTGATATATTTGATATTTCAAGGAACAGTAAACTGCTTTAAGCAGTAAATTATATAAAAACCGTACCTGGCCAATAATGGTCCCACTCCCAGTCGCAGACAACTTCACATTTATGTTTGAGGAAGTAGGAATCTGTTGGAATAAAAAAGGCACATATCTTAAAATTATATTTAAGATTCGTGGATATTCTAAAGAGTTATGCATAGTGTTACTAAACTAAAGTACAGTAGCAACGGAGTGGGATATGTAGTCAGGAATAAGGACATTTATCCCTGGCAATGTCTTTGCCGCATCAGGTACAGATAACCCACATAAACTTGCAATGTTAATTAATAAAATAAAAACCTCACATTCGTCAACAACAGAGAGGTAGAATCCATTATTAACTAAGTCAGTGTTCGTTCAATTAGCCTGGATTCAAGTCCCCAATTAGTTTGGCTTCAAAAGGTTTTACCGTAAATCATATGTCACAGAGGTATCCTCACTGCCTTGCTGATACTTCATCAAGATTTATGTCAATGTTGAGATTAATAAATCAGCTTTAAATGTTTCTTCAAGTCCTGGGAGCTCTATGGTTAACCAAAATAATGGTAGATCCCTTTGGTCTCATGGATAGCAGGATGTGAAGTAAGAGCTCATCTGAATTCTACTGAGTGAGCAGTTCAAAACGTAGATAAACTAACATCACCAGTGTGTTGCAGACTTGGAGCGGTGCCAAGTAAAATCATAAAAGTGGATAAAACACAGTGCGCATATCATTGCTGCCATGTAGATAAAAAATCGAGAATAGTCTATTGCACCTCACTGTGTGCAATATGCTTCGGGCCCAGATCTACTCGAACAGTAGATAGGACGTCTACCTCAAATAGCTTTCAAAATCGTCACTGTCCAGTGACAAATGCCATTTATAAATAAAACAATACATATTAGAGGGAAAGGGGGAAAAGATCACGTGTTTGGAGATAATCACGAGACTAGTCCTGAGAAAAAAGACGACAGGATTTGTAAAAATCTAGTGGGCAAGGGAGCGATTCGTAGAGCAGTGTTCATCACTGCAAGGCCTTGATGTGTGGCCCCCGACAATACACAAATGTGAAAACACCGCCCCATAATCGTGCTGTCAAACCCCAATGGTTTCAAATGTGTGGCGGCCCTCAGACTGATGAAGTCTTATCGGCGAAAGTGGCCCCCCCTCTAAAAATTTGTGAAGAACACCGGTGTAGATACACAGGGGGGCTAAGATAAACGAGGACCAATTCTCTTGAGATGTCGATGCCCTATCCTGAATCGTATAACTAAGATGTTCCAGGAATGCCAGGCCAAATTATTTATAGATTTGAAGCTATCGTGACTGCAAGGATTCATACTCTTAGGTTTTTTCGGTAAAGTCACGTAGGTAAAAATAAATAATAAAAATAATAGTATTAAGACATGTAAGAGCTCGTCTCTTGGAATTTTGCCACACTGGTTACAGTAAATCTAGCTGTGACGGTCCCACCTGATGACGGAGACTTGTGTTGCCTCCGAAACGTCGTGATTTATAATTTTTATTTTTTATTTCTATTATTATTTCTATTATTTTTGTTTTTTATTATTTTTTTTTACCTACGTGACTTTACCGAAAAAACCTAAGAGCCAAATTATTTTCCAGTAAAACAATGCACTGAGGATGCCGGGCTTTCCGGGCTTGCCGGAGTGCAGTACCTTTTCGACGTGTTTGTCCAAGGCATTCATGCCGGAGAGCTGAACTTCGACGCTATGTTCTGATGTTAAGATTTTCGCTTTCCCTTCTAAAGTTCCGAACGAATAGACAGAGTACTCGGACAGAGCCTGCAGCGCCACAATTGTGTCCTGAAACCCAAAATCGTCATCGCTGTCATGCACATCAATTCAAATGTGAACAAATTATCCTTGGCTACAACATTTAAATATATAAACAAAACATATGCTGCAATGTTTTAAAAGCATACAATTATTCAAGTAACCAGGATACAATAAGTGAATTGTTGATATATCAGCCAATGTGCAATACAAATCTTAAATTTTAGATAAATATAAAAGTGTCTCTTTTGACTCATATTAACTTTACAAGTAATTGAAAATAAATCTACAAAAACTGCGACTTTCAAATGTGAAACAGCTTGAGTAAGCTACTGAGAATTTTGTAAATGATTTGAAAATTCATGACTAAATATTACACTGATACGCGATACCTCCACCGGCTCCAAATCCAGTCCTGGACCAACTTTAAGATCACAATAACCTGATCTTAATGTATTATTAATTAATACATATATCACACTTCTTTGAATAAAATTTAAAACAAATACTTATTTCAACCCTGGAATCTATACCTCTGTAGTAGCCCATAGGTAAGTTATTTTAATTGTATTAATGCATATTACTTTAGGTACCTAAGACAAAAACACCTGGCCGATCTCATGAGATGTAGGAAGTTAAGCAGAGTTTTAGCCTGCAAGGTGTGACCACCATGCATGACAAGTTGAAAAGGGCCTCCCCACAGCTTTGCGAGACGAGATATATTTGACCATACTTCAGTTACAGATGGTGAAAGTGGCTGTAGTAGAGAACAACAATGTACATTGCTGCACTGCTCTCTGTTGCCCACAACTCCGAAAACATTTGTCTTTTATACATGATGGTCACCTATCCAAGCATTATGGCTGGCTCAACTCTGCTTAGCTTCTGATATCTGATGAGACCGTGTGCATTCTGGGTGATTGGTCATGGGCAGGGGTCTGCAACCAAAATAACAAGAAGAACCATTTTTTCGAATTTCGTTAAAAAAAACTCAATATTTTAGGAGCCACAATGTAATGTCAATAAGGTCACAAAGTAGTCCTTAAAGAGCCGCATGCTGACCCCTAGTCATGGGCAACCAGCATGGTGAAAATGGCCCTCATGCAGCAGTGCATTGACATGCTTACTTACATGTCCCTTTCAGTGAATGCGGTGAAGGGACATTTCTCACGACAGATCTGTTACCTGTGTGGATGCATATCCTCCCAGGTGGTTCCTTTGCTGACTCAACCAATTCATGATGGGAATTGCATCTGCGATCTTTCCCAGACGCAGATGAGCCAGGAGGGCATAGGCTGTGGTCTCGATGGTGATTGCTGTTGGTTGCCAGTAATAGGAAGCTTGACCTGATGCTGAATCTGACCAGTATATCAGTCCATCATCTGAAACAAACCAACAGGTATCTATCAGATTGTTGTGCAGACCACCCATCAACAGTTCATCTGAGAAGGCCAATAGCTTTTTTACTTTAATGACGTTAAGCAGATGTTGTAAAAGGCTAAACAAAACCTAGCCTCTAGCACAACACATTTGTGAATACATTAGTTTCATATCACCTTACTGCTACTGCAAACTCATTTTTAAATTACACTACGAAAGCATCCCTGGTGCCTCACCTGTAAATTTTTTATGAACATTGAGCAGATCCAGGGCAGCGCTAGCCTGACTGCTGTTGGCAAGGGCGAGGGCATAGGCAGTGAGCGCCAAAGGCAGGCTGGCCGCCACACCACCCCCACTCACGTTGGCCTCCAGGAAGTGCACAGCTGGTACGATTGTTGAAGAGTCAGTCTGTAAAGTCCACACACCAGAATGATCACAATGGGGTTTTTTTACATCAGGAAACTGAGTATGAGTTTGTCGATGGCGCGTCTGTCAGTCTCCGTATGTCACCATTTTGACTGATTATTACTCTTCACTTCATACCTGTACCTAGATATCAGTGTCCGTCTGAATGCAACTCTATATTTGTGTATACACAGTCATGCTCTTAATGCCAGAATTGTCTCACTCAGTTTGAGACACTCAATTTTTTAGACCCTCAATTTGAGACAATGCACCTCCGATTAACACGGTTGGCTACGTAAGGTGCGAAAGAAGTTCAACATCCATATGTACAATGTATTCGTATTTTTATTTGAACAGGTGATCACATTGTGTCAACGCATGTAAAACAAATCTACTAATCAATCCCATATTCAGCATTCTAAATTGAAAACCACTTTCCTTAGAAATGCCTTTTGTGTTTAGTTTGTTGTCCTTCCCTCGCACCTGTGATTAGCACGGTTTGACTACATACGATGCAAAAGAAGTTCAACATACATGTGTACATAATTCAACTTTGGGTGTTTGGCCAAAACTGTTCTGGGTTTCTAGTCTGCCTACCGTGTCGTCCTCGAGGAAGGCGAGCAGAGTGTAGGCTGTCAAGCTGATGTGGCTCGCTGAACCACCCTGCAGCTCCTTGTGAATAACGTAGCCACGCTCCTCGAACTGCCCTGTGGGCAATAAGTTGTTCAACAGGAAAGTGCGTGCTCCAGAGATCACGTGATCATCCACGGTGATGTAATGCTGTGCCTGCAGGAGCGTCCTCAACACGAAGGCTGTCAACCTGGGAACGCAGCAGCACACAAAAAACACAGGGCTCGACACATGCACGACGAACACGCCAGACAATGTGCACACACAGCACAGCATACCAAATGTAAAGAGATAACTCATTTCGTGGCCTCGACTTTTCCACTTGTTTACCCAGGAAATTCCTGAGTCTCAATTATTTTTCAGGAGGGTCCTACCACATTTTTGAAGCAGGGGACGATGTTGCTGTCATCTGGATTGAGTAATTTGCAGGTAACGTTTCAGCATCGGGATATTATTTGGCCAACACCGGTTGCGCTGTATATATTGTTTTATTTAGCTCAGTTTCAGTTTAATTTTTTAGATATAGCCCTGTGAGCCATTCGGCTCTTGAATCGGGTGCAACCGCAACAAACAAAAAACAAAAACATGAACAAGAAAACATCTTAAAGTGACTATGCGCAAACAGAAAAATCCAGGAAAAAACTGCAAAGTGTTGCAGAAAAAAAGGGGGAAAACATCCTAACTCCATACAGGAGCGTCTTAGAATCTTAGGAATACGGTATGTTGTGTCAAGCTCATTAGGCATTTCTGAACTTATCACTAAAGCAACGAACAATGACATATATTTAAGAACGGACAAGTAAAAAACTAATATATTATTAAGAAGAATTACAATAAAAAGAATTACAATAAAACATGTGAACTTTAAAATCTTGTCAATGCCTTAAGGGCAATTATGTTAGATGACACAACAAACGAATATTAACACAAAGCCTGTATACGTGTATTTGAAAATGACCACAACATCTAGGGATCATTTTACTTTCTCGAGCGGCTCATAATCTGCAAACACGGTATATATAAATAGCCTTCTGCTGCCCCAACACCTCCCTGCCCTCTCCCGCATACAGAGAGTAGTTTAGTGGTCTCGATCAAATAACATTTTAAAGGATTTAGGGATACGGATCCATAAATCTAGATCCAGTAGATCTTAAAAAAGCATCAGATCTGTGTCAGTTAATTTCCGATTGTCTTAATATCTGACATTTAGTAAGGTCAGGAGGTCATCACAGCCATGCCATTGAAGCCATCACCACCTGCCATCACTTCTTTGTATACGGATTTCTTCCCAGACCCCATGATGGCCACTGTTGATTTGTGTAGATCCAGATACTCTGATTTGACAACCCTTGCTGTTGACAGTACTGTAGTATATATGTAGTGCTGAACTTTACGCGGACAACTTCTTCCTTTTCTGTCGTCACTTTATTTTGTCCAACTCAGCACATTTCGCCACCATCCTTTAGCGCGTTCTCCGCTCGCTCGCCGCGCTCCGCCGGCCTCGCTCGCCCCGTTCCTCCCTCTCTCTCTCCGTCTCTCCCGACTCCCTTCTCTGCTTCCCCGTCCCACTCCAGCGGTCGCTCTCTCTCGGCTTCTCCGTCTCACTCCGACTATCTCTCTCGTTCGGCTTCTCCGTCTCTACTGCTGCCCTATACTTTTTCTTCCACTCCACTGCTACTCTACACTTCTTTTTCTACTCCACTGCTACCCTACGCTTCTTCTTCTACTCCACTGCTACCCTACACTTCTTCTCCACTGCTACTCTACGCTTCTTCTTTTTCCACTCCGACCGACTCCGTCCAGCTCCCAGCACAACTCCCCGTCTTGCTCTGACGCTCCCCTATTTATCCCCCTCTTCATTAATTCCCAATTAATTAGTTGGCGTCCCCCCAGACTTAGCGGTGCCACCCTGTCCCTGACAACAACAACCGGCCAATCACTGCCCTGCATCCCTAATTGCCTGACGGGCCGTCTCTGTCTCCTCCGTTGTCCCCCAGCAACACCAGCCTGTCCCGGTAGGACCCCACTGTTCCCAGCCCACACGTGTTTACACTTACCCCCCTTGGCGCACGTTAAACCACTACATATACAACTTTACTGGGACTCCACAATTTTGGTTTATTTTCCTCCCATTAGCAGTTGTGAAATTGACAGATAACTGAAAATGCATGGTCTTAAACCTTTCCATGCACTACTCAAAACAAGCCATGCACTGATTACCATACCATGCACTCATTATCAGTCACAGACGCATGATTGTGGCAAAGCTTTACCATGTACTGCCTTGTTGATCCGAATTTCCAAAAGCACTGAAGGAACCATCGTCTCTCATGTAGTTGAGCTCTTGCTGGTAGCCTGTGCACATAATGATACCATGAGTGATGTAGTCTGGTATTAATTACATACATTTATGTTAATACAATGCATCTTAAATTCAAGTGGAGAAAACCCATACTCTTTTAGTCGGTGTTGAAACATTTACAGCTCTCCATTCAGTGAAATAAGAATGTGCAATGCATTTTGGACTTTGGAATACAGGGCTGTTATAAAATATACATTGTATTCCAATACATTTATTTCATATGCCCCATTATCAATATCAGATACTGTTTTGATATGGACATTTCCACACACGAACTCACACGGTGCATTTATAAGTAATGTAACAAAAAATAAAGAAGGGTCATTCCATGCTACATCTATTATAAAAGCCTGGCATTCCGTTTGTCCGTCAATTAAATTGTAAGAGCCTTTAAGAAGGCATGAATCAAAATGTTATAGAAGGTGGAACCCCCCCCCCCCCCCCCACCAGATGTGGGGGTAAAAAGTTTATCCAACAGGGTTCCAAAAATTGTCGACCCTCGCCCCCCTCAAAAATGTTTTTCACTCTCTCCCCCCCAAGAAAAGAAATGTCTTTTGTAGGAAAATATGCCTACACACCCTACATACAATAGTCAGTAGTATCTGCACACATTGGGGGGGGGGGGGGGGGCGACGGGTGAGGCGCAAAGCGCCGAGAAGCCCTACACAGGAGACAGATCAAGGCGGTCATGGGCCGCCAAAATTCTAGTCAATCAAAATATGTTAAAATCAATTCATTGATTTTGATACTTGCTTGCTATATGCTAAGAAGGGCCATTGCCAAAAATGTCATCGATTAAATATTTTAGTCTTTTCAGGCCAGTGTCATTGGTAAATGTGTTGAGTTTTTGTTTGGTACGTGTGCTTCTGCACCACTTTCACTAAATAATTTGCTTAATCCCCAGATATATGTCATCGAAGTTTGACCCAACAAGACCACTTGGCAACCTTGCAGGTACTGTAACTTCCCTTGTAGTTGGCAAAGAGAGGCAAGTCTGGTGTATATATGACCTAGGCATGATTAACTTTTATGTAACCTCGGTTATTCGTAATGTAACCTATCATGCTACGCATACCTGGCAAAAATCCCTGACAATTTGGAAGTGTGCACTCCAATACTTTTGGAGTTACAACCATTTTCCTCACATATTCAGGTGGGAAGGGATGATTCGGACTGATTACAGAGATCTCACCACTCACTACAACAGCACTTACCAAGAGGTTTTGTCCTCGATTTCTCATTTTTATGCATAAGTTGAAACCATAGATATCTTCCAAGACATTTAAAATTACACCTGTCTCACCTTTTTACATCGGCTATGAGGCAAGTTACAACACCTGGGTGGTCACCAAGTGCTTTGTGTGTTTAGTTTGTTGTCCTTCCCCTGCACCTCCAATTAGCATGGTTGGTTATGTATGGTGCGAAAGAAGTTTAACATATACACACACCAAGTCAAGATGTCAGGTCAACTTCCATTACCTATATCTGAGTAATGGGAGGTTGGATTTACGTAAACAGTTTTGGTTGCCTTCTTTTCCAAATACAGATTTCTGCCCCAAATGTCATTGAAATTGGGTTTGGTAAAGTATATTCATTATTCATTTGGCATGGAATTACCGAAAATTATTTTTTGTCAGCTGCAAAAAAGCGTGTAAACTTACCTGATGTCATATAAGTCAAAGACCTTTCAATAATCTCTGAAGTAATCTGTTGGGTAACTTCCATATATCTCCGGATGTAGATGCCTGGTGCAAAGTTGATCATGTTCTGTTCCCCACAGCCATATGGCATCTGCAGGAGCTGATCGAGCCCAGTGAGAGAGGGCCCAATGATATCTCCTGCACATTTCACACATGCATATGTGAGGATACTGTCCAATTCCAAGAAGCTTTGAGGAATTAATTTTGCTTGCTGAGACTGGTGCTGTCTGCTTGGTGATTTATTATTCCTGAATTGTTTTGCTCAATCTACCTACACAGTATAATGCCCAAGTGTCGTCCGTCACAACATTTTGCCCTTGACATTTTGAAAAATGTCCGATACAAAGCAATAGGAGGCAAAATCTTCCCGAAGAGTGACTCGCCTTTTATTAGTAGAATCATCCGGAAGTTTGGTTTTCAATGGTTTATATTTAAACCCCTACCACGTGACATTGTCCCTTAAGACATGCATGTGGCTTCCACAGTGACGTCACCCCAGAGTTAAATGACGTGTGATGACGTCATTGCACTTAATGCCGAATCCTTAGGCAAGGGCACGGCACAATTAAGTCCCATACACATGCTCGGGCAATGCTAGTTGGAAATATATGCTTCTCTGCTTCTTCAATAGGAACCTATATCGTGTATGTATATATCTAGCAGCATTGTTTAGTTTAGCACATGTAGCTGTTAGTTTAGTGCACAGAGGTAAGTGTTTTAGTATTCTATACCTTTACGGTTATCATTGTAGGTGGTATTTTATTAGTTCCTGAAGCTACCAATTGTCTTAAGTGTAGTGGTCTATGACGGCTGTGTTTTCTTATTACTTTTTTTATTCATGTATTTGTACTTACTTGGCCGTGCTATAAATGGAGTTCAACCTTAAGCTGCATCAGTGATTAGATGCATCTATCTGTAACATAATAAACTTGTTCTAGCAATGGTTTTAAGGCAGCTAGGTCATATGCCCCACCAATGGGCTCCATTTCATTAACTTCAAATGCTGTGTGGGGGAAGGTGAGAATCAAAGCAGACATACCGTAGATGTAAAAGGAAGCCGAACTGCTTCCCTTGACGACGTTGGGTGGGAAGTTGAAAGTGAACGTTTTTGTGACCTCTGTTGATGACAATGTGAGCATGGCGCTTTCTGAGTAAGATTGCGGAAAACCTGAATGCTATATTGGGCAGAAGAGAGAATATCCACACACAAGTTAATTGCCATTATCATTCGCAAAACAAACACATTAACGGATCAAACCTTTATCTCCACAGCAGCACACGATATTATCTCTTTACGACATATGACATGACAAATGAAATTTCACAGCATGACAATTATCGTGATATCATCCATAATAGAGGTGTGTGGGTTAGATTGCGTATATATAAATGTGTCGTTAAACCCACCACCACCCGACACTGGCCAATGAGTAAGGTTTGTCACATAAACAAAACATGCCAATTCGTTACTAGTTCAGCACACCCATGTGTGTTGGAGAGTAAACCCAAAACATCTACAATTCGAGTACAAATTGTGATATCAGTGCAATATAACTTTGCAATAACTTATTCACATTTTTATTCTCTTCTTCTTGTACTTTAGTACAAATAAAAATATTGCTTAACAGTGATTCAAATGCATTTCATTCAACATGTAAGACTGTCGCAAGACTTCTAATCATTGTGCCTTCACAATCTATAACGTTTTTAACTCACATGCTCTCAGTTACACTCGAAATAATTTCAATTAAATACACTAAGAAATTATGACATAAAATCTCCGTGGCCCAAATTCACTAAACATTAAATTAATTAACTTCATAACACGTAGTATTTAGTTCGTTATTTCATGAATATTTGGTCAGGAAATAAATGATTACAAAAATTGCAGGGTAAGCATGATGTTATGATCTCAGAAAAACGATTATTGTGATCTTATATGGTAATATGTATCATTGTTTCTCGAAATCACAAAAAATAATTATTCCACTCAAAGATACACGCATCTAAACATTCTTGATTTGAAGCTTTCGTTACTGCAGGAATCTTATTTTATTTTTCTACCTACGTGACTTTACCGAAAAAACAAAAGAGTATGCATCTAAACATGTGTAAAATAATCAATTTATAAAGGCAATATGCACATTATATTCAAAAAAGGGGTATTAGGTTACGAGATTAAATGGGACAGATACAAATGTGAAACAATGAAATGAGATGATAAAGTTGAGCACAAAATAATTATATTGAAACGAATCATGGAAATTAATCTAATCATGGGTGGGGTGAATAATTTCATGATAAATATCTGCCCTTGTAATGAAGAAATGTGTATACAGGTCCACAACAATCAAATATTGCAAGAATTGCATTACTGCTTCCCTATACAAAGGACCATACAACCATTAATCTGGCTCCGCTTGGGACATTCCATATAGAGTAGCAGATGTATGTCCTCCTTTTTCATCCATCTAATCATCCAATTAAGCTCAGTTGAAGCTTGAATAAATGTGAATGCTCAGTGTGGATACAAAGTTAAACATTATTCCACCACATTTGTAGTGGTCAATGTAAGTAAATCATTACGCTATATCTTTAGATGGAGCCCTCATTTCAGCAGTCATCCCTAACGGCTGATTCTCAAAAAATGCAGGCACAATCTCAGCAACAACGCACGTGGTCACGCCTCAGAAGTGCGTGAGAAGGGGCAACAGACTTACCTTCCCCAAGGTGCATCCCACCACAGTGTAATTGATATTATTGTGTGTCACCACCACGGTGAAACAGAATTCACCAGCAACCAGGAGAGACACGGGGAAAGACACAGTGCCAGACTCCTTTTTGGGCACTTCAAGAAAACGTTTGTACGGAGACTTCCCATCGGTTTGATAAAGAACTTTGAAGTGAGTCTCACTGGCATGCAACGTTGCCAGGACCTAGAAAACAATTGACAAACAAATACACTTCAACAAAATCGAATAGAATTTTATTTTAGACTGAAATAAAAAAACCTTTTCTTCAGAATCAGTAGATTTCAGATTAAACTGCACACCAAGTTTAACTAAAATGGAAAGGGTTAAATTCCCCCAATGTTTGGAATATAGCAGGTGCCTCAATGTTACCTTGATAGTCTCCGGTTGCTTGTTGAAGACTTTCACCTCCACAATGAACTCTTCATCAAGAATGGCAACATTGGGCACATTTATGGCAACATGCAATGGAGAAGACACTTCCAACTGTGACAAGAAACATTGGTGGTGTTAACAAAAATAAATAAAAGTAACATGCACTATTTTAAAAATAAATAATCAATTATTGAAAATATATAAGGTAGTTGTTTTGTGTCTGGCTTTGTTCTGTTTTGATTCCTCTATCTCCTCAGATCGTCAACAACTCACCTCTACCCCCTCCTCCTCCTCTGTGAAATCTCCCCTTTCAGTGCTGATTACCTGAATTGGCTCAGAATCTCTCGTGGTCTGTAGTGGCAATTTCGTCATTCTAACCCAAATGTTTGTGGAAATTCCTTTCTGTCAACACGCAAGTTAGGTCCTCTATCCCTATCAACTCAATTTGCTCTCCATTCTGTATGAATGTCACATTATTGGTTCCATTTGGCATATTTTCTTTCAAATAATAAGAGTATAATTAGTCTATTATTTTCAATAACCATACGTTCCTTCTATATGATCTCATACTATAATGGAAGCCATCTCTTTTCATACTAAATGTTGTTGCCAGAAATCACACTTCACTTGTTCTTTCATCAAACCTAATTTATATTTCTCCAAGCAGCACTTTTTTTCTGCACCCTGAAATAATGTCTTCTCATCACATATCAAAACTATGCAAAACATACTCATATCCTCTATATAGACATTTCATCATCTTAAATCAGATGTTTGATCTTCAACTCATCGACATCTGAAACCCTCCCACGTTGCTTGAATTCACCCGATGACTGCTCTTTCCTATTTGTGGTCTTCCTAAATCTGTCACCTGAGAATGCTGTTGGTAGACTCCAATCTTATCTTACATGGCGCCTTAACCAAGGCGCTTTATAGGGAATTAACAGCGGTGCAACGTTATAATGTAATGGTGAAGATGAGGTGAATGAAATGGATGAGAGGAAGCAATGGGTGACGAATCTGTGATGCGTGAATTCGGTTAAAGCAACATTTATGACAGTAAATGATGATGAATGGATGGAATGAAGGGGAATGAGTGTTAGCCGTATCATGTGAATATGAATAGGGAAAAGTAACGGTGGTGGTTATGAGGGGGAGATTAAGGGGGTCGTGGGGTGAGCTAGGGAAAAGAAGTGAGTTTAGAGTGAGGAGTGGAAACTACTGAGCGTAAGTGACCGCTGGATGTGGAGGGGATGTTTGTTCCAGTGAAGGGGGCAAGAAGAGAGAGTGAAAGCGTGATTGGCCACAAGGAGAAGCAGGAACAGACAGAAAATCATACCTCAAAGGGAAAACACATGGCCCATATCCTCAAGATTCTACCAATGCCTCCAACATCTACTGCAGTAAGCTATAACACTGTTTTTGGTTAATTTAAAAAGCCTGAAATACTTCAGGTTGAGAAGAGTGGTTTTGTTATGAACATTCTGTAGAACAACCCAATATAATTAATTCTGTTTAGACTATTCATGTACCTGAGTTCTGGTGTAAGCGTACGTGACTCCACTTGTTTTAGACACGGAAAAGGCAATTCCCATCCAGCGAGAATTGACTTTTGGAACAACGGCTGTGAATGTCGTCTTCTTGTTTGGTCTTTAAAACAAAAGGATGCAATTACTTCAAGCTGTGAATCCCATTATTTCCTTTACATTTAAATTAGACTAAATCATCATTTTATTAATTTGTCTCCATGTAACACATATAGGTGCATTAGTTTGAAGGGACCTGATATGTCAGGAATGATTTAATTATGAGGTGATACAATGCTAAGCTTGTGTAAGCACAGTGAGCCAGAACTTCTGAGAACCTATATCAAATTCTGGGTTTCCATAAGATAGTGTGTATGGCGAGTTTTATGATCTTAGCCTGATCACAAATGAGTGCATTATACTAATCATGATTTATAAAACCGATTGAGACTTAGTTTTTGTAGAGATCATCTCTGAAGACCTATTTGGTAGACATACATTGTTATGCATCGAGCATTACAGACTCTATAAGGTTAACATGTGAAATTACTAAAATATATTTCTGTTGATAGATGTTTTAATTATTCGTAGATATGACTCAGTATATATGTAGTATTTGGAACAAATTAAAAATCTTTGATATACATGTAGATTTGAATAGCCCACTTGGGATACAATTGGTGGACCAATCGTAAAAAAACATATTTAATTGTTACAAAATATACCGTATATAAGGTATTAATATAAAATGCAAGTTACAGTAATATTTGTTGGCAGTTTTTTATGAAACTCACAGAATATGAAAATTATTGTACAAGGAATTAAGTCTAGTTTTTTGTTTGCATGTTCACCACAAGTATATGTGGTTAATGCAGACAGGATTCCTTGCAAAAGGTTTCAGTTTAGTGTGTTAACATCTTAACACAACTGTTTTATTGCCAGAAAGGGTAAAACCTCTTCTTATAATTTTGATACTGGCAAGGGAGGTCCTATGATGTGATAAGATAGGCCATAAAAATGTGTACGTACCCTTTTACACCAGGCTGCCAAACCCAGGCCTCTGGGAGTCCCTCTGTTGGATTTGCGCATACCATCCTTTTCTAATTTTCTTGAGTTATCTTGGTTCGCCTTTTTGCTGTCTGAAGGGGTTAAAATGAGTGTTATACAGAATAAAAAAAAATCACAAGCATATATACATTATTGTATGTTCAAACGTGCTCACTGTAATTTGCTAAATTTTAGGCGTTGAGCTCGTCACAAATTTAGGGTCATTAGCAGTCGAAAGTAGAAAAGAAATATGATAGTTTGGAAATGCACACCACAGCTATCAAGGTGTTTGTAAAAGGGAATGCTGCAGTCACCATCTAAGCGGTGGGGATGATGAATACATTCTCAGCTTCCCAACTGGGCCCTGAGTTTTGAGTACGTATCACCACAATGCAAAATACTTGCAATCTATCCTGCCTCTCAAATTAACTATGAGTGTAATTGTGGAGAAAAGAAACAACAAAATAGATATGCAATGTTTCCTTCATGTATCTGTCTCTCAGACAGATCTGTCTCTTAGACATATATATATATTTGTGTTACTGATGAGCCCTGCAAGATATACTTTTTTAATGTGGAGACAGATAAATTTAGGAGACATTGTTATTTATAGTCTCCACAAATACCACAATGGTTATTTTCAGTTATGTATGTTATTACTGTGTCGAATTAGGATCCAAAACAGAGGGTCCTTTCCTGTAACGACAAGCAGTTCACCAAAATAGATTCACACAAGCTTGACTCTCTCACGTTATCTGCCCATTGGTAAGTCCATGGCTCAGGCTCACTTCATACTCTATGGTGCCACTCCTATTCCTTGCCTCACAATGCAATACTCTATCCTCAGGTCCTCAAGCCATACCTAGGAAAGTAAGATTTGAGGTGGTATCCTCTTGCCTTTCTCACAGTGTTTTTTTAGGTGATGCACCAATGCATGCAGTTTGCGATCTTACCAGGATGAAATCTATCAATTGGACAATTGTATTGATTCCAATGTTTCAACTTATTAAAGTTCCATTTCAATTTTGAAAATCCAACAATAATTAACTGTGCAACAGGAAAAAGCACTGTGTACCAGTTCATGAGGTTTAATTTATGAAAGATGTATTAACTTGTCACTACGAGATGCTCCTCTTCAGTATTTTAACATAGCTAGCTGGTATAAAAGCATGGTTTTTTAAAGGTAACTTGGCAGCTGAGGCCAATACCCAAATCAGAGTACTAAACTTGAATCGTATAACACCTGGGTTCAAGCCACAAGCCTAAATTGGCATGACATCCTGGAAGATAATTGGATTCCATTTAAGGTGAATGTGATTATCTTAGCTCAGATGCAAATGAGTGAACACTCACACCCTAAAACTAATATTTTCACTCACCCCAGTATTTTATTTTTCCATTGGTAGCATAATACAGTCCAGCAGTCTGTGGAACACATTCATAACCTTGTATCAATTATTTGTAATTACAGTACTAATTATGGATTTTGCTAAATGCAGAAACTCATTAATGATAGTCTAGGCGATACAACTGTACAACTGTACTGTGTCAATACGTCATGAACACTCTAGAATATGAATGCATAATTTCAGAGAATACAGAAGCCAGCGGGAGTGTTGTATTACCGAAAACATGTTGTCATGCCACCATTTAGGATTCGAGTCCAAAGCAGATGCAGACTGTGGAAGAAATTCATTTAAAATTAAGTTAGCACCACCAACGACTGCTGTTTGGATTTCACAAACATCTTACATACCTAAATGTTCTGTTTCAAGAGTTAATAATAGTTTTAGTCAATTATCCTTCTCTAAATATAACTTCAGGATATCGTTTGAATAAAATTAACATACATCATAAATGATTGCTTCCCTAAAGTACAATATGATGCATGCATCATGAGCATACAAACATAACTTTAATTGATGAGTTTATCCATCATTACACACCTCTATTAATGAGCACTGCCTTTGGTGAATCCCATAAGTCTGCTCAGATTTATGACACGCAGGTTCATTTATTAAGGTTGATCAATCGTGTTGGGTCGAAATCTTACCAGGATATCAGAGATCATATTCATGCCTCGTCCAAAGTAATAAGCTTGGACGGCAACCACACCAACAAATGACTCAGGGTCTGTGGCCGTGACCTCCAGGTTCACGTTTTCACCAGGCACAGCTGACTGTGTACTCCATTTTACATCGACCTGTGAAAGGGTCACAGCATAATGTATCCACCACAAGGAAAATGCACAGTATGCACTCACTCACCTCCTGTGTGTGTCACAAGTAAGACAGCCTTTTCCAGTAGAGCTGGGCTATCTAACAATTTAACAGATAATACCATCCATTATCAATTCAATTACTCGACTAATCGGATAGCATGGAAATAGCTAGAAAAAAAAGCTAGAAAAAGAGATCGCCTCTTTAGTCACCTGTGCTACTGATTGGGAAGTAAAGGATAGGGCTTAGTGACATCATCGGCATCATTAGCCGCATCACGCGAGCTCTCACTTGCCAGGGGTTTTCCACCTTTTGGGAGCCATTTTTAATGCAGCCCTACTAATCGACCACATGAAAAATTAGTCGTTTCCAATTATTATTCAGCTCATCTCAGCTTTACTCTCCAGCAGTGCTTGTCCTCACCATATTCACGAACTCCTGTACCATCAGCTCCACACCGTCATGGATGATGTACCCATCGTCTGTTCCATAGTAGGCTATGACGTAGGTAGCAGGTCCCCAGGCGTCTGAGGGCGTTAGCGTGAATTGTGGCAAGCGAGCAACTCCAGCTTCCAACACATGGCCCATTGCCGCCACCTGTGGGAAAGATCCGTCATCATTCTTTTCATAATTCTTCACTTGATCACCCCTGAGATGCTCTTAAAACACGTGTTCATTGTTATAGATATGTTGGTATTCCCCCCCCCCCCCCACAATTACAATTGTGCTGTCAGATGAAAAATGCTTTCAGAAAAGCGGTCCTCAATCTTTTTGGCACCAGAAACCAGTTTCGTGGAAGACAATTTTTTCACGGACCGGGGGGTGTTCATCATTGGATCTTTCCCCCTTTTCAAAGAAGCTCACCAGCGATGTTTGTTTTTTACTCATTGTGGCTAGGGTTAGCTTGTGGGCTTACCAAAACTGTGACTGAGACAAGTGCGCAGTGCGGGAAATAGGCGCGGACGGAAGTGGTAAATAAAATAATGGGCAGGCCACGTGCGGACTCACCGCTCACCTAATGCTGCGCGGCCCGGTTCCTAATAGGCCACGGACCGGTATCGGTCGGGGACCCCTGCTTTATGCAGCTTTTTTAATTAAGCGCAAAAGCAAATGTATTCACGAGTTTGGTGCAGTTATTGGGGATTTTGTGTACTGTACTGAAGGTCCGAATCAGTACAGTACAAAAAATCCGTGATCTAATCCCATCTGTCAAGGATGTCATTCCTGACATGCAATATCCTGGAGTCTACAAACTAAATTGCACCTGTGGGGGGTGTTACATTGGGGAAACGAAACGACATATCTCGGACCGTGTTCGCGAGCACAAGTCAGATCTGAAACACGGCAGAACGAATAACTCTGCCGTGGCTGACCATTGCTATAACGCTGTGGGCTCTCTTGATATTGTTTTTTTTCGAAACCGTCGGGCTACTATCAAAGGTTTGTTCATGAAGCCATCCAGATATATAAACATAGACATAACTTCAACCGAGAAGATGGATACAAATTGAGCAATCATTGGAAGGATGTTATTAACCAGGTAAAACCTTAACTGCTTTATGGTGTTGCCTTCATTTCGGCATCTCTAGCTACTTTAGCTTCCCACTCCTAGCAACGCCCACTTCTCCCCCACCCCCCCCTCCGGCATTTTGTTCTTGCTCGTTTCCTAATCCTTCTAGCAAAGACTCCACTCCACCTACCCCACACCCCCCTCTCTATCTCTCCTCCCTGGCTCCTCCCCCCCTCTCTTACCTACAAAGCCTCTTGTCAAGGCAGCCCTGTTGCCCACTTCAGCAATTGTTTCTTGCTGTGGTTGTCCCACCTGATGATGGACGCTTGTGTTGCGCCCGAAACGTCGTGATTTAATTTATTTCATACCTATGTGACTTTACCGAAAGAACCAAAGAGTATGGATCCCTGCAGTCATGAAAACTTCAAATCTAGATTAATGACTCCTGTTTTTTTCAATCAGCTTACCATTTTCAACGTTGATATAAAGTGGTTAGGTATGATTAATTTGACGTGTTGGAATTCTGGAATATCTGAATATGTTACCCTGCTAAGCCCTAAGCAATTCTCCAGTTTAACGCATACGGAGCATATCCACAAGAGATCCACTAAGGTGACTCTTGCCATTTTAGGGAACATGGGCTAAACGGCATTGAACTTCATTGGAACCTCCTTTGCCAGTAGCAAAATATGACAATTGGTTTTTTACCCTTTTATCTGGCAACAAAACTGACACCTTTTTTTATGGCATTGAACTTGTCACGTCAAAAAGTCACGGTGGAAAAAGTCCATCATCAAAGTTAGGTATGAAGATCTGGTGATGTGGGGCATACATCTCACAAGGCATATTAATGCCTCTCCACCAGAGAAATATATGAAAAAAAGTGCAGCCCTTTGTCATTTTACTGTTGCATTAAAATGCCTCTCAATGCCTCGATGGCAATGGGTGTACGCACGCAAGCACATGGCAATTTTAGGCTTAATTCAGAGTTTTTTACTTCAATTACGCCAAACAGAAGCTTACATAGGTTTAAATAGACACGTGCATCATGCCTTTTATCTTTGGTTCATGTTTTAGGTATAATTGGCCTGTCATTTTAATGATGTCCATCATAAATAGGTGCTAGTTGCAAATGTCAAAAGCCAACAAGAATTCAACAAACTGGTACACTATATGTGTTTATAAGCTACAATTAAGTGTTTATGTACTGAAGCATCCAACAGCAGTAGGTCATCTAAACAACATTTTGTTGGCCCGAAGTGATCTATATTTTGTATCACAGTGCCAATGTTAATTTCTACGAGGTGATATTACAGCTGTCATGTAAAAATGTGAAAAATGTTACCTGGTAAGACACTTCAGAAATGCTGCTGTCTGTACTTTGTACTGTAAAGGTGACAGGGCTTCCAACCTGAGGATACACAGCAAACATTCCAACAGTTCCTCATGCAATACAAAATAAAATGATATTAAAATATATCATACAATAAAACTAAAGTACAGTACACGCATATTCGTTGGGTCTTTCGGTAAAGTCGCATAGATAGGTTCACTAAGACGAAGGTGCTTTGCAAACCCACTGGCTATCAACAAATATTCGTTCATGAAGCCATCCATATATACAGACACAGACACAATTTCAACCGAGAAGATGGGTACGAACTTAGCAATCATTGGAAGGACGTTATCAACCAGTTTAAGTCATAACTGGCTGTGATGTTCCCATCCTGCCACCTTCCGATGTTAGTTGTTATTTTCGGCTATCCGATTTTACATTAACAGGTTACATTTCTCACACCAACATAGCCACCTCCGCGCGCCGACCTCGACGTGGCGGCGGCTCACCGATCTTACATTAACATGCTAATCTCTAACGTTAACATGCTAATCTCTCACATTAACATGCTAATCTCTCACATTAACATAGCTACCTCAGTGTGCTCGCCGTGGAGGCCGCTCTCCGATCTTACATTAACATGCACATTTTTACCTGGCAGCCCTTTAATTGGTGAAAACCCACCACCTTCGCGGTCGTTGCCCATCATTTACATTAACATTTGATGCCCCGCCCATGCTGCTGACACTTGGGCTACGCCCATTTTAAACCTTTATAAACAGTTTGCCTTTAGAGGCTAACCCTATTTTCCTGATGACGACCGCTTGTGTTGCGATTGAAACGTCGTAATTTTTGTTCTTTTCTTTGAACCTATCTACGTGACTTTACCGAAAGACCCAAAGAATATGAATTATTGCAGTCACGAAAGCTTTAAGTCAAGATACAGTACACGCATTTGTCTCACAGGCAACCAATGTTTAATTGTGCTCTATTAAATATGAAAATCGGCCTTATAACTGACATGTATGCTTCAAAAAGACTCAACACATTCGTCAGCTGCTCATAGGTCCCGTCTACCCCTCTACTCACTGTCCACTACTTAGGAAGCCCCACCCACTACCCATGTAGCCCCGCCCACCATCCAGGTAGCCCAGTCCATTTCCCAGGTATTTCCACCCACTATCTAGATAGCCTAACCTACTATTCAGGTAGTTCCACCCACTACCCAGGTAGCTCCACCCACTACTCAGGTAGCCCCACCCACTACGATGCCCACTCAAGTAGCCCCAGCTTTTGTCTGTATCGTGAGTTGAGAATGATAGCAGAATATATTTAATCAGAACAAAATCCAGATATTGCAATTGCTTTGTGATAGCAGGGCAGTCTTTATGAAACAGATTGTCTTGGCCAAAAACTAAAATAGCTTTAAGGCTAGATTTTTGCCAAGACAGAATCACAAATTTGAGAAATAATGACAATTCGTTTTTAGTGTTTCTAAAAGCATCATCACAGCATTGTATTAATGGGGCCATGGCTGCTTGACTGAATGTGGGGAGGGTGTTGCGAATGATGCACTACTTACCTTGACACTTGTTTCATGAGCTCTGACCTGAATAATGGAATCATTTCGAAAATGTTCCTCTGCCCACACTGACATGGAAGTCATGACTGCACCAAAGTGCGCCTTTGCAGCAACAACAAAAACACAGACACAAGCTCTCTGCATTTAGACAGAAAATATAAGACTAGTACAAAAAAACAACACATCACAGAACATGAATATGAGAATATGATTCTGAGAAATACAACCGTGCTTGGTGAGTGTGCTTGTGAAGATTGCTGGCGAATACCTCAATAGTCAGGTGGTTTGCTTCGTGGGAGGTTGGTACATGTATGTGGACAATTCCGTTGGGTGGTACTGTGTAAGTTAATTCAGTCTGAATCAAGTATTCGGTTTTATCTTGGAAATCAGAGGGGCTCATCATTGCATCAGACAAGTTGTATTGTGTAACCAACACAATGAGCTTGGTCTCCAGATCCTCAACAGTCAATGGCAGCCCATCATATTTGTAAATGTGGATCTAAAAACAAATACAGTATGCATTTATATGTTTTTAACACATAGACTTTTACGATTCATAGTAGATGTTTTGGTCATATCGTGTTAGTACAATACCAATGTTGTGTCATACACCCTCCTCTTCCCGACAAAGCCGAATGAATAAAGTTCTCACGTGAACAAACACGCACATTTCTATTGCACTGCACACTTTTATGCTGGACGGCAAACCATATACACTTTAAAATAGTTAAACCGATGTGTTGGAAGCAATAAAAACTGGCAAGTTTGTTCACATAACTTTATTTATTCGGCTGTGCCGGGATGGCAAAGTACTATAAGTGTCAGAAGTCACACTTCCAATTTTCTAATTTCTTTACTGTCGTTATAGCAGTGAAGATTCTTTACCATCACTCCTAATCAGTGAGTAAAAGCATAGACAAAAAAGTTATGGAGCACGAATTTACATTTTGTTTATCCTAACTTTTTATTTATTGGTCAAGTTATATTTGAAACTTGATTTGAAGCTTTTGTGACTGCAGGAATCCATACTCTTTGGTTATTTCGGTAAAGTCATGTAGGTAGAAATATTTGAATTCTACAAATGATTGAATAGTGCCATACACTGTCAGTCTGACATTGGGCAGATTTTTTCAATATAAAATTTTTAACGAAGAAAGTTTCAGATACACATAATTGCAAAATAGTAAAATGTCAGTGACAAATACACATGTATTTGACATTGGTAGTTAAAAACTAAACACATAGTAATATAAAAAAAAAATTTGAAAACTTACATTGTCTGTAAAGTCCATACCAGGAATGAACCTCCAATTCCCCCAAAAATAAATATATGCTCTGTTTTTTATAAAGTGAATCCAGCGGAAGCTCTCAAATCTCCTGCCTAAAAAATCAAAAGACATTTGCAACATTTAACACACATGGTGCCAGGACAACTACTATATCAAAATCCCTTGAATGAACATATATTTTAAATAATTTGAATATAGGGAGGATACCACACAGCACTCTTTACTATACAGTACTGTCAAATACCAAATACATAATTAAGTATCCAGCCAAATCCAAACATAAAATTTAAATCACATAGAAGAATCGAAATAAAGTTATTTAGCAAAATGAGATCATGCAGATGCAGATAAAACAAATACGGTAGATGTCGTGAAATGAAAGAGGAATTCAAACAGGGTAGAAAAGTTGTGAGCATAGAGAAGCCATATGCAAAAAGTGGTGATATGAAAAAAAGATACAGACAAGATATAGAGAGCGATGCAAGAGATAGAGATGGGTTATAGTGATACAAAAATCTTGAGACAAGGTGAATACGTTCTCATGTGATGTAAGATATGACAGGAGAGATGCTTTGAGATGAGAAACAAGAGATGAAAAGTGATGCATTCAGATAAAAGAGATGATAGGATAGACATGCAATTAGACGTAACATAACATACATTAAGAGTTAAATTTCGATTTAAAGCTTTCGTGACTGCAGGGATTCATCTTCATGGTTCTTTCGGTAAAGTCACGTAGAAGGGAAATAATAAAATAATAAAATAAAACATAATACAATAATTCTCACGACGTTTCGGCCACAACGCAAGCAGCCGTCCTCAGGTGAAGAACAGGTCTGTCGGCCAAGCCTGGTGGTGTTCATTCAGACGCTGTCTTTCCGACAGACCTGTTCTTCACCTGAGGACGGATGCTTGCGTTGTGGCCGAAACGTCGTGAGAATTATTTTATTATGTTTTATTTTCATTATTTCATTATTTCCCTTCTACGTTACTTTACCGAAAGAACCAAGAAGATACATTAAGAGATTAATTCAGAGAAGATGTAAGGGTGATATTAGGATGTGCACTCCAATTATATGAGAGATTACAGGAGAGGGTTGCATTCTTAAAAGACAGGTTACAGCATAAAACAGATGAGATATTGGACATTTAAATGAGATCAAATATATGAGAAATATATTAAATGTACAGTATTGATATGGGCTATAGTGGATTGAGGAAAGATTGGTTCAGATAGAAACCATAGGAGAAAGATATATTCAGAAGAGCTAGGAGGGAGATAGCAATTTAATGTTTTATGATAAAGGTGCAATTGATCCAAATATATCATGTCTATATTTAGAACTATTTTTTATTGCAACTTTTTGCATTAATAACATGGTTTTCAAGTGAGTTATAATTATTTGCAAATTATAGAATTAAACTGCGGATGCCCACTAAAAAAGGCTGTCACACAAAATGAAAAAGAATGAAAAAACTGAAGAACTTCACAAATCAAAACATGGAGCAACCATCAACAATATCTTGCACGTGTAGGGCTGTTACAGAGGGGCTGTTTGTGTAGGGCTGTTTTGCATAGGGGCTAACGGATAACAAACACAGTGGGCGGGGACTCCGTGAGCACACGGGGTGGTGCCCGCAACGACGTCCGTACTGGACGGCGTGAGGGGGGTTTCGATCCTCTAGGGGAGTATAAAAAGGGTTGAGCCAGAGAGCTCGGGGCTCAGTCTTAGTGTAGTTAAGGGAAGAGAGAAGACCGGCCAGATAGGCCCTGGACTCCCCCTGGGACGCCGCCCTTGTAAGGGCAGTGCAGGCTGGAGCCAGTGGCGTGGTCCCGGAACCAGAGTCAGACCTCTGGGATTCCGGGTACCGTAGCCCGACTAACCAGTGTCGGGCCAGACAGCCTCCCCTAGCCCGTTAGCGGAGGACTCAGCTAGGAAGGCTAGCTAGGGGTGAATTCCCAGTTGTACGGGTGAGGGGGCCGATACATCCCTCCAGTATTGTAAAGACATTGTGCAAATAAATACGTGTGCCTTACCCCGTTGTCCACGCGTCTTCAAGAACACTTCATCTGGCGTCAGAAGAACCAAGAACATGGACACGCGCCAAACAGCTCGAGCCAGGGAACAGCAAACGGAAGACGCCGCCGAAATTGTCGAGCCCGAGATGGCTCAACAAGACGACGTGCAGCCGGGGCCGGACGCGTTCTTGCCGGAGCATCGCCATGGAGAGGAGCAGCGGACAGACCACCTGAGGCTGGCTCACGAGAGGCTGGCGGAACTGCTCTACGCCGCTGCCGCTACGCTGGAGAACATCACACGGCTGGGGGCTGGTGGTCCACCGCGGGGCGAGGGGAACCGGCGTCCGGAGCGCCTTCCCGCCATTTCTGAAGATTCAAATTTTGAATTTCCCGCCATCGACGCGGCGACCGCTAGGGGCGTGGCCAACCTCAACCTGGGGTCCGACATCGGCCGCGCTGGGGCTGCCGCATCAACGACGGAGGAGGGCGCGTCATCAAAGCTGCGACAGGCGATGCCATCTGCCGTTCGCGCCGAGACGCAGCCGGGTCGGGGAGACAGCAGCCCAGAGGACTCCACGGCAACTGCTGCGCTGCATCAAAGGCTGCCCCCGCTTAAAGAATTCGTGGGCGCAGAGGGCGACTGGAGCGGCTTCCGAAGACGCTTCCTCGCCCACCAAGAAATGGCTAAATGGACAGACGCAGAAGCTCTCAACGCCCTGCCGGCGCTCCTGGACGGCGACGCGCTTGCCGCTCTAACATCGGCACCGAAGGAAAGGCGCTCTACGTTACCAATGGCGCTGCAGCTGCTGGGAGGGGTCTACGGACCATCGGCGGAATGTAGACAGGAGTTCTACGACCGCAAGCGGGGAGAAAAGGAGTCGCCCCTGGCGTACCGAACGAGCCTCCTGGCGTTGGCCAAGTCGGCCTTCCCCCGTATGGATGACGACGGCATCGACGCTATGGTGACGGAGAAAATACTCCTCCTGGCTGACGATCTTGACATCGCTGTCGTCGCACAGGAGGACGCGGAAATGACATCGCTCCAGGCGGCGCGGCTCCTCCACGCAAACCTCCTGTCGCTCCGGCGAAAAGCCAGCAGGGCATCGGCGGGGCGTGCGGTGGCTGCAGCCACCCTTCCGACGGAGGAACTCTACGCCGTCGACCACCGACGGCAACAGGCGACGAGTGCACGGCCGGGCCAGGACGGGTCGGGCCGTTCCGACCATTCGTCACCTCCGACGTCGCTCCCGCGGTGCTTTAACTGCGGCGTCCGGGGCCACGTCGCCTCGGGGTGCCGCTCTCCTCGTCAGCGCGGGACGACACCTCACCGGGACGACGGGCCTCATCCCAAGCTCCACCATCAAAAACCGGCGAGTCGCGGCACCCCACACGTTTGGCCCACACACACACCCGTCACGCACTCAAACACCGCGACGAGAGGGGGGCCGGTATCACGCACCATCGCACCATCACGCACCACTCCGGGTACCCATATCGAACCCGGCCAGTGGTCCGTGCTGGCCGATCGTGTGGTTGCCGCATCGTCGGGGTCGTCGGCCGTTGTGGGGTACATCGACGGGGTTGAAGTGCGCATCCTGGTCGATACGGGAGCATCGGCGACTATTATTTCGGAATTAATTTATAATATTCTCCCCGTCCGGAGTCGTCCCTTGATGCCAGTTAACATACCATTCTATGCGGCTAACGGGGGCTCACTTGGCATCATCGGACAAATTCGTGCCCAAATTTGCATCGGGGAAATAAAATTGTCTGGGCCGATTTTTGTTTCTTCCTCGCTGGCGGTTCCGTGCCTGCTGGGGACGGACTTCCTGGCCAAAATGCCGATTGTAATTTTGATCGACCAGGGGTGCATAGAGCTTCCATCGGGCAGACGCATGGCGTTTCTGCCATCGCCGGTTGCGACTCGGACGGCGTTCGCAACGGTGCCGGCGCTCGTGGAAAGAACGGTACGCGTTCCTCCGGGGACGCAAATGCTGGTACCCTTGAAACTTCGGCGGCCCCTCGTTAAGGGTGCTGGGGCACAAGGGGTACTGTTGGGACCGTCTAGGGCCGGGGTTAGTGGACCTGACTTACTACCGGCCCAGACCATAGTGAGAGGGGATGGTGAACCCTTCATCGCGGTCCTTAATGTGGGCTCGCGGACGGTGGTGATCCCACAGGGGACCGTGCTTGCTCACGCAACACCGGTGCCGTGTGAGGAACCCGCCGTAAATTGCGTCAACACTGTCCCTGCGTCGCGACCGCATTCGGACAGCGATGAAGGGTGGCTCGAGGCGCTTTGTGCGGGATCGACGGACCTGTCCGATTCAGAGCGTCAACAACTTAAAACATTACTGCGAGAATTTTCCGACGTTTTTAGTCGAAATAAATATGATTTGGGTTGCACTCACTTGCTGCGTCACCATATTGACACGGGTGACAGCGCGCCAATTCGCCAAAATCCGTTTCGGTTGAGTCCCGCCGAAAAGGACCATGTCAAATCGGCTGTTGATGACATGTTAGCCGCGGACATCATTTCTCCTTCCACCAGCCCTTGGGGAGCGCCGATCGTCCTGGTTAAAAAGCAGGACGGTTCGTTGCGGTTTTGCGTTGACTTCCGGCGTCTTAATAAAATTTCGGTTGCCGACGCATACCCGCTCCCTCGGATGGATGAATCGCTTGACGCCTTGGCGGGAGCGCGATTCTTTTCCACACTCGATTTACTTTCGGGATTCTGGCAGCTTCCTCTGGATGATGAGTCAAAGCCTAAAACTGCTTTTCGTACACCGCACGGCTTGTTTCAATTCAACCGGTTGCCGATGGGCTTACACTCAGCGCCGGCAACTTTCCAGCGCTTAATGGAATTGGTTTTGGCTGGACTGCAATGGGAGTCGTGCCTCATTTATTTGGATGACGTTATCGTCTTTGGAAAAACCTTTGATGAACATCTCCAGAGGTTGCGGGCGGTTTTCCTAAAGATGCGGGCTGCTAATTTGAAAGTCAAGCCCCAAAAATGCCATTTGTTGCGTGATTCGGTGCGTTATTTGGGGCACATCGTGGGACGCTCAGGTATTGCTACCGATCCCGCCAAAACGCAGTGTGTCAGCTCCTGGCCGACTCCCACCTCGGTGGGAGAGGTCAGGAGTTTCATTGGGTTCGCGTCGTATTATCGACGGTTTGTTGCTGATTTTGCGACAATTGCTAAACCCCTGCACGCTTTAACATCTAAAGGGGTTCGGTTCCACTGGGGTCAAGAGGAGGAGGCTGCGTTCCGCTCCCTTCGGGACGCCCTGGTGAAAGCCCCTCCCTTGATCTACCCTGATTTTTCGAAGCCCTTTTTGCTCGACACCGATGCGAGCAACACGGGTATTGGGGGTGTGCTTTCCCAGGTGGTTGATGGCGTTGAACGGGTGGTCGCATACGGTAGTCGGGTGTTGTCTCCTGCGGAGCAGAGATATTGTGTCACCCGTAGAGAACTGTTGGCAATTGTTTTTTTCATCCAACAGTATCGCCCATATCTGTACGGTCGGCATTTCACCGTCCGCACAGATCATGCGGCACTACAGTATGCCCTGCGGGTTCAACAACCATCGGGACAGTTGTCTCGATGGTTGGAGGTCCTCCAGGATTTTGATTTTGAGACCACTTACCGTAAGGGCGTTCGCCATACCAACGCGGACGCTCTGTCACGCATGCCAACCACCTCGGAATGTGCATGCCTCCTGGGGTCGGGACGTTGCAGACCTTCAGGGGACGCATCGGTTCCGATCCTGGCAGCCACCGACGACGACGAACCACTGCCTGATAATTCGATCGAACAACAGGGAAGGGATTCCCTGTTGGGGTTGCCCGTCACTGAGTGGGGGCGCCTCCAAATGGAGGATACCTCCCTCCTCGGGTGGCGTCGTCGCGTCGGGGGTGCTGGCCGGGTGAAAGGTGATTCGGGTGCATGGGAAATGGTACAGGGTCTGCTCATGCATTGGGACGCGAAATCGCAGCGACATCGGCTGGTCGTCCCTTCGGAGTTGCGAGGCAAAGTGGTGTGGGCCGCGCATGAGCGCCTGTTACATCTGGGGACTCTAAAGACCCTTGCACTGATACAACTAGATTTTTTTTGGCCTGGTATGACGAAGGATGTTGGGGATCTTTTGAATTCATGCCCGCGGTGTGCGCAACGGAAACCGCCGGCACGGGAGTCTAACCCGCCTTTACAATCAATCAAGGTGTCCAGAATAAATGAGCTTGTCGCGCTGGACATCTTGGGCCCATTTCCCGCCACCCCCAGGGGCAATAGGTATTTGCTGACAGGAGTCGAGTATTTTACGCGCTGGCCCATGGCCTGGCCCCTTGCCAACCAGTCGGCAGCAGCCATCGTGGACGCCTTTGTTCAGGGATACGTCCTGGACAAAGGTGCTCCGGAACGGCTGCTGACCGACCAGGGTAGAAATTTTTCAAGCAAATTGCTTAAACAAGTCTGTGACCTCTTAGGCACAAAGAAAATTCGGACCTCCCCGTATCACCCACAGACAGACGGAATGGTCGAGCGCCTGCATCGCACCATTTCGTCTATGATGGCACAGCAGGTCTCAGATTCTCAGACTGATTGGGACCTGCATATTCAGGGGGTCTTGGCGGCATACCGGATGGCACCCCATGCAGCTACGGGATTTTCCCCCTTTTTCCTTATGTACGGTCGCGAACCCGACCCGCCTGTTCGCGCCCAGCTGCAGATCCCCGACCCGCAAGGAAAAACTAAATTGGCTGACCACGTCAAATTTAATCTGGCTAAATTAACAGAGGCGCGGGATGCTGCGAGGTTGAACTCGGACCTCCGTCAAAAGGCGAACGAGCGCCTCAGGCTGGGTCGGGCGCATGTAATACAGTGGAAACCGGGGGACAGGGCATGGTTGCACTGTCCCCAAGTACCCCTGGCCACCTCCCCTAAGCTGGCGCGGCCGTGGCGGGGCCCTGTGGAAGTGGTCGAGGTCTTGCGACCACAGTGCGTGCGCATTCGTTGGGGGAAGCGGCGATGGTTCGTGCACCCCTCTCGGTTGAAACCTTTCGTCGCGGTACACAAACCCACTTCACACATGCGTGGCCAGACGTGTGGGGGGTCGACCGACTCACTAGCTCCGTCTCCACCGCGCTCACCTAATGCCTTGCCGGCCGTGCCACCTCCAGGTGCATCGGGACTGACGAGCCCGCACCCACCTGCTGCTGCAAGGGACGCCGCGGTTCCCGCGACGTCAGACGCGGACTCTATACAAAACGAACAACCGCCACCGGCGGGTTCGCCACCCGGGATTGCCCCGTGTGACGGGCCTGCAGCAAGGACACGCGCAAAAATGCGCAGACTCTTATAGCGCATTGGACGAACATTTTTTTCTTCTTCTCTCTTACGTACGGTTGCGTGGTGCTGCGTCGGTGGGGAGCTCCTAGCACATTTTTTTTGTGTTGTGTTGCATGTGTGTTGCGAGTTCCCTGCTTAACCTGTATATATGCGTCACTCTTACGGTATTCGTATTTATTCAGGGGGGGTGCGTCGGATTGTTCCCTTCGGGGTTGTGGGTTTTGTTGTTGTCATTGTTGTTGTTGTTGTCGTTGTTGCTGTTGGTTCCTTCATGTTAGCGTTAAAAACGTTTTTTAAGGCACACGCGGGTATCCAGGGGTTAAACAGCCTTTATTAAAGTTGTTGCAGCCGGGACGGCTGCGAGCTGTACAGGGGGGGGTGATGTAGGGCTGTTACAGAGGGGCTGTTTGTGTAGGGCTGTTTTGCATAGGGGCTAACGGATAACAAACACAGTGGGCGGGGACTCCGTGAGCACACGGGGTGGTGCCCGCAACGACGTCCGTACTGGACGGCGTGAGGGGGGTTTCGATCCTCTAGGGGGGTATAAAAAGGGTTGAGCCAGAGAGCTCGGGGCTCAGTCTTAGTGTAGTTAAGGGAAGAGAGAAGACCGGCCAGATAGGCCCTGGACTCCCCCTGGGACGCCGCCCTTGTAAGGGCAGTGCAGGCTGGAGCCAGTGGCGTGGTCCCGGAACCAGAGTCAGACCTCTGGGATTCCGGGTACCGTAGCCCGACTAACCAGTGTCGGGCCAGACAGCCTCCCCTAGCCCGTTAGCGGAGGACTCAGCTAGGAAGGCTAGCTAGGGGTGAATTCCCAGTTGTACGGGTGAGGGGGCCGATACATCCCTCCAGTATTGTAAAGACATTGTGCAAATAAATACGTGTGCCTTACCCCGTTGTCCACGCGTCTTCAAGAACACCTCACACGTATAAGGTCGACCATGGTCGCGCTCATTACACACAAAGTGCTCGCCACAAATGAACCATAATACCTTGCTGATCTCGTCAAGTAGCATAAACCATCACACGAACTTCGGTCATCCTCGAAGTGGCTTTTGGCTAACCATCAAACAAAGATGGTCACTGCATCTCGCGCTTTCAGATGTGCTTCTGCGGCCGTTTGGAACGCTCTTCCTTCCGATATTAGGAAGCCACTGGAGCTATAGACTTAAATCTAGATCAAAAATTAATTTCTTTATAACTGCGTTTTGTGTTTAGTTTGTATTCCTTCCCCTGCACATACATGTGTAGGAGTGTTAAAGTGAGGGCCCGTTATGTATGGCAGTCTATGGGAAACAAACACAGTGGGCGGGGCTACGTGTGTGCACGGGGAGATGCCCTCTGCGACGTCCGAGCCAGACACCCTGGGGGGGGCTGGTTTGGCGTTATGATCCCCCGGGGCCCCACCCCTCAAGAAGGGGTTGGGTATAAAAGGGGACGTTATAGGGGCTCGGGGGAGTTATGTTAAAAGCTAACCCAGAAGACTGAAGACGTCTTAGATAGAGCCCTGGACTCCCCTCGTTCGATGTCCTTGTCAGGGCCGAACAGGACTGAGCCAGCGGCGTGGTCCCGAGAGCCAGAGCCGGTGCTCTTCTAAGAGCTGGTCTGGGACTCCGGGTACCGGGCCCGACTTACCAGTGTCGGGCCAAGTAGCCTCCCCTAGCCCAATAGTGGAGGACTGTGAGGCAGGCTAGGACTAGCTAGGAAGTGTATCCTTAGCTAGTCGGGTGAGGGGGCCGCTACCCCCTCCAGTGCTGTATGTCACAAACGAGTTGTGCTAAATAAATATACGTGTGCCTCCACCTCGGCGTCAAGTGTCTTCACCGGTACTTCACATGCATACACGGTATTGGGCCTTTACTTTTACAGGGACTGCTGATACATTTTGCCTCCAGTTGCACCTTGAAATCAGTGAATGCTGACGTTTTGGTAATTCCTACAAGCAGATTAGGAGGACCAACGGCCTTTAGTTGTTTTGTTACCTGGCTCTGGATCTCTATTCCAAGTAATACCAGGAATGTAAAAAAAACCATCAAATTTAAGAACATGTGTGTTTGAGGTAGCTTATTTTTGAGCTCGATTGGTTGGTCAATTTATTTTTGAGTGAATTATAATATAAGGGGCTCGGGATGCTCTGCAAGAAGAATGCTACATAAATGCAAGTTATATTATTGTACCATCTGTCAGTGGAAATCCACAATACTTCATATTTAACTTAGCAAACTTTTCATTACAGTATATATGTATATTTTTGTAGATGAATAATTTTGTTCCAAAATAAACTTTGGTCACCTGGCATTGCGAGTCACTATTTAACACAGAAACAATACACATTTTCAAATATAAGAGAATGCTCTAAATTTACAAACTTAAAGAAACTTAAACCATATGTCATCATTTGAAAACCAAGGAGGCAGAAATACCTGATGCGTTGTCAGTGATCTCAACAGAGATCAAAAAATAAAAGTATTCTGTACCCTCAGGAATCATCTTCATAAGTTCACTGCGACGAAACATAAAGTATCCATCTCCAACAAGCTGTAAGAGAGTAAATTTACATCTCAATAGGATGGCTTATCACCAGTAATTATATTGGTTAACAGTTAAATGTTCATATTCTTGGTTCTTTCGTTAAAGTCACGTAGAAGGGAAATAATAAAATAATATAAATATAAAACAATAAAAATTATCACGTTTCGACTGCAACACAAGCAATCATCAGTGTGAATATTTTCTTGCTGTGGATTTCACACCTGATGATGATTGCTTGTGTTGCAGTCGAAACGTCGACCGAAGGCGGAAGAGAATAAAGTATCAGAGCAGTGAATTTGAACAAATTGAAGGTCCGTTATATACAGTGCTCTAGTGACGTGAAGTGAGGTGTTTTATGACGTGGTTTTGTGCAAGAATCACTGCCATTAATACAGTGCTACAGTGAAATGCAGTGAAGTGTTTGATGACGTACTTTTGTGCAATATTCACTGCCATTAAATTGACACAAGATACAATTATACTCTGCTCAATTTATTTGTAAATATTACAGCTTCCGTCCTAGGACTGGCAAACAAGCTAGTTGTGGAGAATATAATAAACAGCTTAAACAAGTAGACTGTCCCTCCACAAACAGTGCAAGTACTTATTACACGTAAAATTGGCCACACAGCCTTCTCGAACTGATTTTTTTCAGAAACATTGATTTAACATCTGCATATCTCTGGACCAGATTCGACAGTGTGGAGAGAGATATATAAAGGAGACGTATTATCTGCGTATTTCATTGTTATTTATATTCCCCACAACGATGCTAATTATTACATTGTGTTATGTGTTTATGTAGTTTTGCGTCGAACTATAAACATCTGGAAGTTCGCCAGCCTTGGTTTAAGCAAACCCGACTCTGCTGATGGGACACTGAATATCGAAACTGGTCCAGAGGTTTCTTGAATTAAACCAATGCTATTGAGAGAAAAAAATCACTCCCAATGTGTGTTAAAATAAGTCACTGAAACATAAATTTAACTCATCTGAATTCTGTTGCAGCTGAAGATTACTGTACAATACTTGTTTTAAAATATGAAGGGTATTTCAAACTATATTTCTGGGCATGCTTCCTCAAATACTTCTAAATAATTTATTCATGATGATCCGGGCCACTATAACTCATTCTTTTTGTAGAACTTCCTTGACGAACTTTGCGTGAAAAGCAACTACATTTGGGTGAAAAAACCAGTACAGATAAGGAAACTTGGACTTTTTATTTATAGGGAAATGAAGTGAACACAACCCCTCATAATTAAATTGATTGACTTGGGTTAGGGCCTGGGAGAGATTGAGCACTGGAGGGGAGTCGCTGATACCTCAGCCATCACTGTTGGGACACTCTAGGACGTATCCATAGTCAATCTTTGCGACAAGCAGTCCAGGTAGATTTTTTGAGCATGCTAAGAATATCTGTGGCATGATCAGCAGTTGCCAACTATGCCAGGGATTATGGGAAATTTTACCTCTCTCTTGTGTGTTCCAGCACTTGCAATGTGCCTGGATGCCTCTTGTGCTATACCTTGTATAATGCTATATCTAAATTATGCATATTTACTTATGCATGTTTTATTTAGGAGAGCTGGGATGTGGTTATTATATTGTAACAGTTATTGAGTATCATTTGAACTTTAGTTTGAGTGTGAACTCACCTATATCAGAGTTATTGTGGCAATGACATTGCGAGATTGTGTCGCCGGAGGTGTGATTGAACTGACCTGCCAAGGGTTGGAAGATTCGACCAGTGGGTGTAATATAGCCAAATGGAACTGGCCATACCTCCTTTTGCACACGAAGGATTCTGATAGGAATTAAATCTGGGGTATATGAAACAAACTCGGCAGACAGCTCTAGCTTGTCAATGGTATTTCCCATATGGGCTGAGGCCTGTATGTGTAGTTTGAAGAAAGATGTTTAAGAAAGTGTTAAGTAAGGCTTATGTAATGGTATAGTGCTGGCTGCTGGCGGAAAAGGGTAACTGTGGTGTACGGCAGTACCCACGTCAGCAGGCCACGACAGAGAGGGGGACATCTCGGGGAAAGGTCACAGAAGGGGCCCATGGGCGTTACCCGCTAGTAGGTTCCAGAAGGGGGGCGTGGCCAGGGCGGAGCAAGGCCACGCTGGGAGTATAAGAGGGGGCCCCAAGCGGGAGCTCGGGGCTGTTGCTGGAAGTGGAATCCCCGTCGTGGCTGTTCAAGATCATTGTTGTCACCATGTCGTCATCATCACCATCTCGTCGCCGTCTCCGTCTTCACCATCCCGGGGTTCTGTTAGTCAGACAGCCTATCAACTGTTCTAAGTAGTGCCGTCGACAATAGACGGTCTTAATAATAATAGTGTGCACCCACGTAGGGTGTGTATATATCCCGATGGTGCTTGTTTAATAAAGAAGTGCCTCCAAGTATTACTGTCTCCAATCTGCGTCACTACACTTAAGTGAGCCAGGATGTATTAATGCTAAGAAAGATTGAGTAGCAGCATAATTGGTTGTTGGAAATAAATAGTTATGTTCTGAAGCTGTGGAAATGAATTGTATATATTTTAAAACCTGTCATTTTATAAATTGATCATCAGTGGTAGAAAGGAACATTAGAAAATTTGTGGTACGTGGTGCAAATTGGGATGCAGTTCATTTTCCTTAGAAATGCAAATTGTGTCAAGTCCACTTTAAAGCAAAGTTTTGTGGCTCAAAGCATGTATTTAATGCATGTTATTTATTGTATGTTGAAAAATATCTTCGAATCTTAACCATGATATGCAAATTGGATATGGATCTAGTTAAACCAGAAGTAATTTGATTTTTGCCTTATAAGATCACAATCACCCCATATCCACACTTTTAAAAAATTCACTGAAGACAGCAACTCAACATAAAATAATGAGGAGAGATGTAGAGAATAATCTGAATACAGTATGCTGAAAAGGTCTACATGAATGTATCAGTTATAAATCACTTACATTAATGTGTTGCGTTAAGATGTCTGTGGGGTTATATTCTGGATGTATGGTGACTGTTGCTGTGCCTTCAACAGCCTTGCCCTGGTACCTGCATGCCATCACACACTTTATGTTACTGAGAAACATTAACATACTTCAAGCTGTGGAAAGCCTATCCAAACTCACGCAATTACTTTGCAAGGTATAACATTGTGGATACAAATAGTACATGTTATCTGAACCAGATCTGCCTTCCCTCCCACCGGCCACCCAGCATGGTGAAGTATGGAAAACATCTTCAATGACCGACACAGCAAGGAGAGCCTTTCATCCAGCGATGGATTTGCTGTGTATCATAATATATATATTTTTTTTTAATCTTGCAATATCCATCAAATGGAATAAGATACCTTCAAACATCTTGATAAACAGGGCTGCATTTTCAATTCAAAAATAAAAAAAACTCAGAAAGTTGTGTCTTTATAACTCACATACCATGCCGATATAAATCCAGAGACATCTTCATTTCCATCAAGATAGAAGTAGGATGCAACGTCAATGAACATATGATCTGGGGATTCAAATGACAGTACATCCGTGAGCATGAACCCTTTAGCCTTACTTTTATAAAGATTCCTGATGTCACTTGATTAAAAACAACACCGCAAATGAAATGTATTACAAAAAAAATGTTCACACTCATTCTTGACTTAAAGCTTTCGTGACTGCAGGAATTCAAATTCTCTTTTTTCTTCCTGATGACGAACGCTTGTGTTGCGATCGAAACATCGTAGTTTTTTGTTATTTTCTTTGAACCTATCTACGCGACTTTACCAAAAGACCCAAATAATATTAATTCACACGAATTATTTGTAATTATGTAAGAAAGGGGTATGACACATGCATTTGCCTAAAGAGTGTTTATCAGATATGTTAGAGCTATTATGCAGCATGGAGCATACTCCAATACTTCCAAGGTTTAGGCTTGTCAATCATCGGGGTTTGGCCATACTTGGCCACGTTGGTCAGTGGGTTGGAGATAGCAGCGTATTTTATCTCACCTCTTGCCAAGTACCTGACTGGTATGGTGCCCCCATCAAGTGAAGCTCATGTCTTCAAAGCTTTCAAGATTATTTACCATGTCAAGGTGGTGGCTCGTTCAGTATGTTAGTCATTTGTATATCTATACATCAATGTGATGGAGGCTATGAGCCATCTTTATGAAATGGCTTTAAGGTCCATTTAAAGTCCATTTTCAGTCCAGTAACATCCAGCTTATGGGCATTAAGTTTCGTCCCAAGGCTCAATATTAAGATCTATAAAATACTTTGTGAATATTTTTTAATTTTTACTTTTGGAAATTAAACACATGAATAATTTGTCAGATCAGTAATGGAAACTTCATATTTATACTGTGTATATTCATAAGAATGATGAGATGAGCAATAAATAATTTTGTCGGTGTAATATAAATCGGTGTTAATGACGCTGTATAAATATTTTCATCCTGTGGTGACAAAAGCATCAGAACTGAGTGCAAAACTGCTCACATTGCTCATGGATTACCTGCTGCCGTGAAAAGGGGGCTTTTCTGAATCACAAATTATGCAGTTAAGACACCCTCCTTAGACATAATTTGGAATGACATTTTACTACCGTACAGAATTACGGTATACCATGTATTAAGCATGCTACTGCTTTAAGATAACTATAACAGCATAGTAAATACTCACCATAGTTTTCAACATAGAAATAGTCACCATGAATGTCCTTAAAAAGACAAAAAAAAACGTGAGAATAGGTTTTTCCCTTTTTTATAGCAACAAAACAGCTGTGTTAAGATGTTAAAACACCAAACTGAAACCTTTTACAAGGAATCATGTCTGCATTAACCACAATACTTGTGGTCAGAATGCAAACATTCAGTTAATCAAGAAGTTTGTATTATTTCTGTTAGTCAGAAATAAATGTATTATTCTAGTACTTGTAAAACACGTTAAGGTGGCACACACAATTTAGTTTCATGAAAATATACTTATTTTATCAATCCGAGATCGCTGAATTGAATTTGCAAGCTTCTAGCTATGAATCAAGCACTCTTCCAAAACACTAACATTTATATTGATTTACACTATACAAGCAGTCTCCGATTTTTGACGATCTACATTTAAGGTGTTTAGAAAACGACACCGTGAATCGATTTACAATGCAGAAACTTGATTTACGACGCATCATCCGACATGACTCTGAACACATTTTAACAATCAGTCTGGGTTCCGACGTGACTTGGTGTGGAGCTTTTGTTATTCTCAAGTGTTCTTTATGGATTTTTACCTAAAAACACTGTTAAATATGGCTTATAAACAGCAAATGCTATTTCTACTGTTTCTGTCTATGAGAAAATAGGGTCCAATTACAATTGGGTTTCCAGGAACACGGGGACCGCCCGTATACTGATGAAATAAAATGTCAAAAAGAGCCGGATGAAGTTAACTTAGAAGGCTGAATTGGATAACTAAAAGCCATATGCCTAAAGATGAAATTTTGATTCAGTGTATATTGCTAGTTATGACATGTGTCAGAAACACATGAACTGGAAAACTGGAAAAGCTCAAAATTATGCCAAGCCTGGGGAGATGGATGCTTCTAATGACATGTTTGGGAAAGTAAGTGGGCTTGGAAAGGACGGGCCAATGGATGAGAATGGTGACAGAATGGCAGCCAAAGGACGGAATACACCTGAGAATACTACCGAGGAGATGGAGTAATAAGATCACTTAATGTGCAGGAATGAGATGGAGTGTGGCTTTGTTGGGGTTATGGGGAATGACAAAACCATGGCAAGGCCTTCATTTAGCAGTGGCTAAACCATGATGGATGATGATAGTATATACCAGAGATGGTCAAGCATCCTGACCAACATACCAAAATCGGCATATGGCTGTGAACCAAAAGACACACATCACTGACATGGTCGCGTAGGCCTCGGCAAGGTAAGGTAAAAGTTAAAAGGTAAAAACAACGAGCCTACCTTTTACCCTTACCCCATACAAATTACCCGATTACAGGGTAATTACTAGGGAACTACACATGAACAAGGTTTATAACGGTAAATGCTAGGTAGAGCGCTTCATTCATATAGAATACTCTCGATGATTCCAATTTTACACGCTTTCTTTGAACTCACTCTGTCGTTGTCGTCGTTGTTGTATCCTCAAATCTTGTAACTCAATTTTAACCCACTCCCCAATGTCGTATCGACTGAAAACTTGGTATGCTTACGTCATACTGATGACAATACTATATTCTATCATAACACATTTAAACATTCTTTTTTATATGTTATGTTTCGGCTTGGGTCTAATTGTCCACGCTCAAATGACGTTGGCTGTAAATCACCATGGTACCTTACGTTGTGGCAAGCTTCGGGGCCACTTCCTGGAGTCGTGGAGTTCTGCCATTAATAGTACATTTAATAAAAGCATGTTTTTTTTAAAGTTTGTTTAAATATTACTTGTTAAATGGAGGCCACGGACTGCGCCACGGAGCTTTTAGTGGTAAACTAGGTATCGTATTTACCGGGTAAAACTTCGCGCTTCCTTTATCCTACCGGGTAATTCTTCCGAGCTACCTTTACCCTGTTACCCTTTTACCCGGTAAAACGGGTAAATTACCTTACCTTGCCGAGGCCTATGGTTACGTGAGGTGGTCATGCAGCCTGTTCCCTTGGGCTGGTTGGCCATGAATAAAAAAATACGCGGGAGGTTTCTGGGAGTACTCAACTCTGTCTCTGCTGCCAGAAACTTTGAGCTATATAGCCTTTTTTTCATAAGTGACATAGCCACATTATCATGTGTAAATGTATAGTAGCCAAATACTCTAATCATATGTTTCGAAATGTGGAGGGAAAAACCGGAGGACTCAAAAAAATCCACACAACCACAGGCACAGAGAGCAACACAGACTCCAAATATACAAGTGTCAGGGTCGGGATCGAACCCACGACCTCCTGTATACCAGGCAAGGGAGCTAACATCTCGCCACCGCGGAACAAGTGCCTCAAGTTATTCCCACTTTCGCATCTTTAACAAGCTGCACTTAATCTGCCTGGAACCCACATGCAGGTTGAAAGCAATTGTTTAGCCACCCCTGGTATATGATTTATCTTAAAATTTGGTATTTGGACTATGGCATAAGTATACAATAGTTTGCCCTTACACATGATGTCCATGGGTGTTTAACAGTTATTATCATGTATAAGCAGAGAAAAAATCTCCACATTATGGTCAATAGCACTGCCATACAGGAAAAATACATTTAACATATATAACGTTATGACTATTATATGTTCATTTTAAGGCAGTGTTCTTGATTAATGTCTTGAGTTGTTTGTGTTTGAGCACCAATTTCAATTAATTATCAGCGTTAACTCTAATGTGATCAATGCTGACCATGCTGTGTTATGAAATGCTCACCGTTTTACTGCATTTGACAAGCCCACAGTTTATTACTCATCACAGCAACATTTTTAATTGAAGCAGAAGTTTATGTACTTACCGATCCTGTCTCCACACGTATATACCAGCTTCCCAGTGTTGCCTGGGCAGAGAGTGGGTAACTCAGTGACACTACTCCGTTCTCTTCTCGTACATTCTGCCAGGTCTCCATCAGGACTCCATTTGGATTCTACAGACCAGCAAAAACATTAGAAATAACCAAGTGAAACCATACACAGTATTGGACCATTCTGTTATTTTAAGTTAATGCGAATGTTTTGATATTCAGATATTAATCATGACCCTTCAGTATATAATCAACATCAGGATCTTTATAAATGTATATTTGTACATGTACAGCCCTTAAAAGTAAATAAATACATTTGGTATTCATGCTATTTCTATTGTGAAAAATATATCACGAAAGTGCTACGGGTATGTCAGCGTGACTGTCTCCATCTTCAGTCGACTACTGCAGAACTGGTTCACAGTAAGAGACAAATAACGAACAATGACTGGAAGCGAGATCCACGTAGATGGGCCAGACACAGCAAGACTGTGGGAGCTACATCTTGTGTGTGCACTGTGTGGCACTTCAGCGTGTGAACATTGTGCTAATTATACTGCTTGATTTTCAAGTTGTTTATGTTTTACAGCCCTTTATAAGTCAATTGCGAGATGACGGCCTTTCACGTTGTGAAAGTTATGGGGGTTATTTCTCTATACTTCATGTTGGTCAGTGTGGGTTGAAGTCTGCGGAGCATAGACATGGGACCATAGTACAGTACAACATTTTGTTTAACTGTCCTCTGTGGTCCACCACGTAGCCCTGCATCCTATAACACATTGTATGCTTAGCTTTCAACATCTTACAAGATCAGGTACATTTGATATATGGAATACAGTATCTCTTTATTCATAGTAAATTCAAGTGAGATGATGCATGCTCTATAGATGCCTGTGAAGTTAGTCACGAGGCTCTGAATGAACATACCATGAGAGAGATGTTGAAGGGTCCCAGGTAAGGCAACTTGTTTCTGTAGACACCGAAGACACTGAATCGCACTGTCTTACCAGGCCAATGGTAGTAGTAATTGTCAACCATCATAAAGAGGTCCACGTCTCTATTATGGAAATATCCCACATTAGTGGAAAAGATCTCTTGATCTCCTGATTTTCCCATCAGGCTCATCCATGTCCAATAGTTGTACTGCACCGTACCGAGGTCCTCCTACATAGACAGACAATCACTATGAAGTCAGGAAGGCAGATCGTGGTGAGTAGCAAAGAAATGCATTCCAAACGTACATTGGATTAAATGTGTTTCTTTGGTTGCATACAAGCACAATCGGAAAGGTGATGCATATGTGGGAATCAGCACATTTTCAAATGTTTGAGGATTAAAGTTAATTCATTATTTGAAAACAATATGATATATTTATTAGAGGCTTGGTCAATGCAGTTCACTGCTGGGTGAAGGCCTCCACATGCTATGTCATTCACGGAGGTTGTTTGACCAAACTGTATCACAATGTTCAGTGTGCACTAGTGAAGGTGGGAACCCAAGACCAATTCAGATACAGTATCACTCGCTGTTGATGTTAGCTATGGCTAGAAATCAAACTAAGGTCACGGGGTTCAGAGCAGTGTGCTAACCACTAAAATATATATAACTTCAAACAGTGAGACTGAGCATTGAAAGTGATATTAAAGATGAAAACAAATTCTGTTAACACATTACAGATGGACAAAAACCATGGAGTAGGTTTCATTCTTCCAAGTAAAACAAATATGAACGGAAATGTAACTAAGATTGGGTATCACACATTAATGTACACCAAGTTCAATTTTTTTTAATGAAAATAGCAAAGTAGGAAAATGCAATGACATAAGAAATCACACAATATTAAAAGATTAAATAAGAGTAATTGTTTACATTAATTATGGACTGGATAAATGTTATGCCAATCATCATCAGCTATAGTTGCCCTAGTATCTCCTTTTGTAAGAATTAATTGCCGAATATCTGAACTGATCGCAGTTGCCCCTCATGGGAAACTCGGTCGGCAACTTCCATTTATATCAGAGGTCACGTTACTGCCTCAAATCAAGCTCTCTTCAATAGAGAAATTGTGGAGTCAAGTCCGTGCCTGAGTAGGACCTGGGCGTGTTGGTGTCGTGTGAAAATATGGTTTGACGGTGTGGTGTGACCGCGTGTTGAGATAGTGTGGTTATGACATTGTGTGATGTGACCGGTGATGGTGTGGTTATGACATTGTGTGGTATGACCGTGTGATGTGATGGTGTGCTGAGTTGCCAGTCACTTGCGGTTACTACGTTACTGGTGATGATTTCTGGCAATGACTACCCTATTTTGCAGAAGTGGGTGAGAGGCAACTCTTTGAGGGACATTAAATTAATTGTATGACCAATTATTTCTTAATTGGACGATGCATTATTTTAGCATGTAAAAATACACTTAGATAAAATGTGATTATTCCGCTCACAATACATATACAAAACTACCATGTAACATGTAATAATGTGTAATGTATGCAATTGATATGCCAATGATAGAAGTGGTGGTTCAGTGATTAACATACTGCACTATAAGTAACATATATCAATACATATTTATCAATCTATCCAGGAGAGCCACGCTTGGACTCTTTTTCAGGAGGGTCATGCACTGGGTTTTTATTTAAAGATGTTTTCAGCCAATGTATGAGTGTGTTTTAAACGTGGGAGGAGACTGAAGCACCCTGAGATAACGCACGTGCGCGAGGGGGCAATACTCTTTCTCCATACAGATGTAAACAGATTGTGATTATTCCACTTGCTGTACTGCCTTCTCCTGGCGAGCCAGGTTATGGCACCTCGATGCTCGCGGGAAGGCAGCTTCACAACATTTGTGTTATCCACTAACCCTTGCCTCCAGTACTGGATTTTACAGGCATGCACCACCACCGCCCACCATATAAACCTGGTGATCAGAGTGTGATTCCCATCTATGACTGATATTAGTGCCGAGTGATATCTGAATTTATCCTGAGCCTTCTGCTTCACCAACCCATTGAACAATGTGGTGATGCATGGTTACATAACTCCACGATTGATATGGTGTTTCGAGGCCCTCATTCAGCAGTGGAGTGACAATCAGTTGTAAATATGTGAATGTACACTGTATGCTATTGTGGCAAAGACTACAAATGAGACAAAATATGAATTATATTAACTGCATCTCATCTCTGCAACATGACAATCCATCAACTCCCTTTGAGAAAGGTAGGGAAATAACTTCCCCTGTGATCCAGCATATGTGTAGGGGTGTTACGGAGGGGCTGTATGCATAGGATCACACGGGAAACAAACACAGTGGGCGGGGCTCCGTGAGTGCACAGGGGAGGTGCTCGCAACGACGTCCGCACCGGGCAGCCTGGGGGGTTGGCCCGGAGTTGTGATCCCCCGGGGGGCCCCACCCCTCAGCGGGGGGTTGTGGTATAAAAGGGGATGAGCCGGAGAGCTCGGGGTACAATGTTAAAGCTAAACCAGTGAAGACCGAAGACCGTCTAGCTAGAGCCCTGGACTCCCCTGGGACGCCGCCCTTGTCAGGGCCGCGCAGGACCGAGCCAGCGGTGTGGTCCCGAGAACCAGAGCTGGTGCTCTGGGACTCCGGGTACCGTAGCCCGACTTACCAGTGTCGGGCCAGACAGCCTCCCCTAGCCCGTTAGTGGAGGACTAGGAGGTAGGTCAGAGATAGCTAGCAGTGTATTCCCAGCTAGCTGGGTGAGGGGGCCGATACCCCCTCCAGTATTGTATGTCCGCGGTTGTGACAACTGTTGCGGAATAAATACGTGTGCCTCAACCCCGGGTGTCCAAGAGTCCTCAACGGTACTACATATGCATGAATGAGGCACTCCACACTCCACGAGTGAACAATAACAGTACTGCATTGCTGATGTTGACTTCGGGGTTGTGAAAATAGCATCAATAAAACAAACTTACACGTGTAAACGTCATCATTGTAGTTGTACCTGTAAAATATAAAGGTCTCATGATGTCACATATTGAATATATGTATGACTAACATTTTTTAGGTAAATATTAACGAAAGTAATATTTCAGTGGACTGGGAGAAATTGTATTAAAACATTTGTGAAAAAAATTCATTTACTACATTAATATACAATATTCCATTCTATAATATGTGCCTATAATTTCCAGATATATATTTAAATAATGCCTAGACTTGGCAGCCTCGCAAACTATACTGTCATTATTTGCAAATAATTATGAAAATTTGAATACAAATCCCTGAAAAACTCCAAATATGCCTCTTTTAAAATATCCACAATTCCAGAAGTTTTGCAAATTAATGTACAGAAACGTGTTTGTCCATTAAGGCTAGGGCAGGGCCACAGAATTATGAGATAATGCGTCGTATGGTGTGGTCACTCAAGTTATTGTAAAGGGGGCATAGATTCCTCCTACTACCATTCCTACTTGGCCAACGGATGCTTCCTGGCTTTATATAGATTATAGAGTATGTAAAAAAATTGCAACTGCAGAAATTCCATGGCTCAGAGGAAGAGTGTCTAGAATACAGACAATAAGAAATTAAGCAATAAGACATTGACTGGGACAAGAGGTAACAGAAAATATCTGAGATTACTCTGATGGTTTGGACACGTTTCTAGAATGGATCCAGAGAGAATCCCATGAATGGTATTACAAACCAGAGTACACGATACAAGAAAGAGGAAGAGTAAAGATGTGCTGGATTGAGTCGGTGAAGAATGACCTTGAACAAAAAGGGTGCCAAGTTTTGGAAGCCCTGAGGCCGGTGCAAGACAGAAACATGGGAAGAGTCCTCATTTGGCCCCATCTCTGCTACATGAAGATTAAGGGGAAAAAAGCAGAAGATGTCTATTTATGGCCTCTTAGTTTGAACATTTTCTTAAGTTAATGTTTCAACTGTTTTAAATCCCATATTTAGTGTTATTGGTGCTGAATTTGATCATTTTAAAAAGGTTATTTTTAAAGAGCTGCAGACCTCCAATGATATCTAAAAATGCTGTCACGATAAAAATGTTAAACCTCCATATGTCAAAGTGTCCTTTTTTGACATACAGTATGGACGTCCTCTATTTTTAGTAAAATCATTATTGTCCCGGTTTAATTTAAAATCCATGATAAAGCCTATGTGTTAAACTTAATTTAAATGTCCATCTTATAACGTTTATAATATCATATGGAGGTTTTTTTTCTTTGCACGTTCACAAAATTACCCCCGCTTACCAGCGCTCACGTCGTTGAGCTCCTTGGAGATTCCATGGGGCTCACTTTTGAATGTGACATTGACGAGCGTCTCATTGCCAGGCCCAGGTAGGAGTGAGAAGCCCATGTTGAGGTCCGATTCCATCCATTGGGAAGGGTAAGTGAGAAGGTAGGTGGTGCTGGTGTGTGAGAACATCAAAAATTGTTACTCTGTGGTACAGCACAATTCATAAAAAAAAAACTTTGTTGTATGTTACTGTTTGCTTTTGATGGAAATTCATGACGAAGTTGCTATGAAAATTGTAACATAATTTGCAATTGCTTATCCAATACAATAAGCGACCACAGATGAGTGTGATGGAACGTAGTCAAAGACAGGGAAAAACTGATTACAGGTGAAACCAAGATCATTTACATTAAAATATATGGCAGAATGTGGCTTTATGTTGACTCTAAGTAATGCACTCAAGTGCCTAGAGAATCAGTGACAAAATGGATATCACCACTTAAATCATGAATGAGCTAATATAGTGATGGATAGTCCAATGAAAGTGAAGGGAGGGTTAGAAAGTACACGGAGCAAGTTTTATGAAACCATAAAATACATGTTGAAGAGAATGAGAAATAAAAAAATTATGAAAATGCAAAACTGCTGATTGGATACAAAGAACTCTGTAAAACGTTTAGGAAACAAGGGAAAACACGTGATTTAAAATGCCATTGCGAGTAATGGGAGGCATGAAGTGCACCACAAATTACGTTGACATTTCAAAAATGATTGACCTTTCTGAGTGGAAGATTGAATCACAGCTGACGACAGACACACCATCTTAAAATAAGTGGAGGAATGTTGTGCTGATCTCTGGCACAAAACAATGCATCATTATAGCCCATCAGATGAAGAACTTTGATTTAAAGCTTTCGTGACTGCATGGATTCATATGCTTGGTTCTTTCGGTAAAGTCACGTAGAAGGGAAATAATACAATAATAGTTTTATATTTATATTTCCCTTCTAGTAAATATTGTTTTATATTTATATTATTTTATTTCCCTTCTACATGACTTTACCTCAAGAACCAGGAATACAAAATAGACAGTTTTTTATTTATGATACCAGGTAAAGCCCACTGAGGTAACTTATTTTTCAGAAGCGACCTGGCCACCAAATGACAGCTCAACAAAGTGGTTTATAGTGTGGACATTTATAGCAGCCCGAATAATGTGAATGCTGGGGGGGGGGGGGGCGAGGTAGATGCAAGGTTAGTTGGTGTTAGTAGTTGGTGTTAGTATTAGTTGGTAGATTGTTGAGAACGGGTCGTATAGATATGTTTAGCTTGGCGGGAACTAGGTGGAGCTATTTGAGGTTAGTTGAGTGACTGGATTAGTTGGATAGGGTCGAGTTAGTCTGGGTTCACTCTATTTGATGATTCGTGTGTGTGTGTGTGTGATTACAGTACTTCAATAGAGTGTTTGTGTCTGACCCCGTATCGTCCCTGCGTGTTAAGAGGCGAGATCTCGGCCCGGCCCGATCGCGAAACGTCGCGACCTCGCCACAGCAGGCGCGGGTGAGCGAATGCCCGCGAAATCGGAATCGAAATTCGGAACAGTTTCGAATCGATCCGGAATCTACAGCTTAACGAGCGGATATCAACATAGATTCGATCCGCTCAGTTTTAAAAGACACGGAATTGAACCGAATCGATCCAAAGCCACAGCAGCCTGGAGGGCCCAGAGGTTATGGCAGTTGTTTCTCGATAATGTTCAGAAGGGGGCCCAACTTTCGTCGACACGACATCAACTCACATAATCTGTCAACCCACACGGTTTACCCCGTATTATTGTGCAGGGACATTGAGTTTGCAGGTCCATACGGCGTTACAGCCGTTTCAATACGGGCAAAACTTTTTTGTGTCTATTTGTGTTTCTCCCTCTTGATCGGACTTTGTAGGATGAACGTTGACATTTATAAGGGCACCACGGGGTGACCAATAAAGTCTGAATTGGTAACAAGTTGGGGCACTGATCAGGGGTTGACAGCTGCCATCAGTGTGAGCGGGCCGCCACACGTTTGACACAATTGGGGTTTGACAGCACGATGATGATGACAATGATGATGGGGGTTGTGTTTGTGGTGAAAATACAACATCTTCCACCATCGAAAATATTTACAACACCAGCCATAGTCTATGGCCACTCAAATTCTGCGGGGGCAAAAATAAACACATTCCTGCGGAGGGAGCTGGTAGGAACGTTGGGTTTCTCAGGCAATGGCCAGGGTCAACGGTGTAATATTTAATAATTCAATATTTACAACACATTTGTCAATTCACTTCGAAATGAAGGCCTCAAATCGCATGCTATTCAAGGGGGTTGACTATACTTCACCACCCTGGTCTATCAGGTTGATTAAAGTGGGCCCAAGACCAGTTCAGATATGACTCATCACATGTTAACTGACTACGAATTTAACTCAGGTGAGCGTGTTAATTGTGCAGTAAGATAACCACTGCACCACTGCTTCCCCACCAATCATGTACTGTGTTGCGCAGTTAATAAATCTAAAAACTTTGCTTATTTAAAAAAAATTAAGTTACGAGTGTTTTATTTAAGCTCATATTTTGGTATTTCATGTTTTTAATTGGATTCGTTGTTAGGGTTACACTGAACACAAACTTTTAAAAAGTGTTTCCTTTTTTATAACGTGTCAATGAATCTGCTCATTGTACATGCATTCACAAGACTTCTTACCTTTGAGCAACCGTGGCCGTTATGAGGAGGATGAACAGTCGCATCTTGAGTGAGATGCTGAAAATAGTAACAACAAACGTAACTAGACCACCATTTGCTCGATGTAAATCATGTGCAAGGTAATACATATCTCAAAAACAAATAATTCAAAACTTCTTAGTTCATTGCAGCAGGGTCCAGATTGGGATTATGTAGTTTTATTTTTACGTACAGCGCTTTGAGATACTTCAATATGAAAGGCGCTTTATAAAATACAGGTTATAATTCTAGGCTGCAGATTCCACCGCTGAATACATCTCTTGTGTTTAATGATAGACAGCTTCAGCGGCAAATGAACGTGGACACTAAAAAGGAAAATGAAACAAAAGCTAAAAAGGGGGCGAAACAGTTTGGAGAGGTGCATGTCTAAAATGACACTTGACATGTGAATAGAAACACATGGATTAGCGAACATCACATTGAGACATCATATTGTCCGTGAAGAAACGTGGGTTTGGAAAGAACAGGTCACTTAGAGGGGACGATGCCCATTGGTTGATACTAACGATGAATTGGAAGTCAAAGGAGGGAATGCATCGGGCAGAGCGTCCACCGTAGAGATGTGGAGTCGCTGGATAGATGAATATATCTCAAGGTTGTGAGAGACTCCGATGGCTTGAGGAGGCCTTCATCAAGCAGTATTTACATTATGGCTACTGATGAGCTTAAAGCGGCAATACCTTCATATACGACTGCTATGTCCGGAACTGTTGCCCATTTGTAACAATAGATGCATGGTATGGCTTTTTTGTGTATATTGCTCCTGGTGTACTACTTTTGTTCTCAGTTGCAAGCAGAATGGCAACGTAGTTATAGAATACTGTACTTTCAGTGATAATAGCACTGTTAATGAGAAGGGTGGACAAATATTTCCATTGCGTCGTAACAAAAGCATCAGAATTTAGCATTGTCCTCGTAGCACGTACGATAAGCTGCATTTCAATGGTAAATTTTAAAATCTTTCGAACGTTAGAATTAGAACACAGCTGGCCATTCCAAATGGTAACTTTGGGCACCGACACCTCAGATTCCACTCACCTGAGCACCGCCGCTTTGCTTCGTGGACCCACTTCACTGCTGACGAGGAAGATTCAATATCTCACTGCCTGTAGTGTTGCTAGGTGTCTGTGTGGCAATATATAGTGGATGTGAAAACAAGTAGCACACGGGTTAACCATCCCCCAGAGTGTTTGTTAAAATTTATAAGTGCTCATATATTTTACAACTAGGCCTCGTAAAGTACTTTTCACAGAACATATGACCAAATACATTCAATGTAACATGTTGTCACGTCTCAAAGCTAAGCAGAATGAGCTTGGATAATGCTTGATTGGGCAACCATCATGCTTAAAACGGCATCTTAGGCTGCTATCGCAAATAAACTCCAGCTTGGATCGTTACCAACAAGACGATCACTCAAAAATGCTCTAGAGGAGTCGTACAACCATAGCTGCCACTGCTATCCTCTGGCCTGAAATAAAAACTATAGCTATAGATGACCGACGTATGAACTTATTATGTATTTTGATTATAGTGCGCTGCTACTTCTATTGTTAATCCGGCTGTTATAGATTGACTTATGCAGCTCGCGAAGGACGCTAGGTTTAGTGATGTGTGTTGTGTGTGTCGCTATTGTAAACTTTTAATCACATTTGTTGGGAAAACTGTTACGTTGTTTATAATAGCATTGTTTTAGTAAGTTTTAGAGGGGCTTGGTTTGGCCCGATTTGTTGATTTAGTATAGATTTATACTTAATTTTTTTAAATCTGTATTGTATTATGATTGTTATTGCGATCAACCATCGAAATTTATTTTTTTGCACTATCTGTACGCAGCATGGACGGGTTGTGCTTTTTCTGTAGGATTTTATTGTTTACGTATGTGATGTTCAGATTTGTGTACAATTAATTTAGGTGTATCTTGAAATTGTATTGTTTGTTGCGGTTGAACCCCAATCAAGAGCCGAATGGCTCACAGGTTAATTCCTAATAAATAAAACTCAAACTGAAACAGTGAGTAGTGCAGCAGGTAAATCGTGGGCGACTGCCCCGGGCCCCGTGCTTTCGGGGGCCCCACGCTTCGACATTAAGGTGTCAGATGTAATACTTTCGGTTTAGTTCAAAGGCTTCGTGGGGCCCAAATTTGGATTTTCCCTCGGCCTCGCACCCCTCTGTGGAGAGCTCTGGCCATGCGGTCACATTTATACCCTTAAAAAAACATGTGTTCTATGTACATGCAAGCAACCCCTAACGATTGGCAGCTAGTCGTGATATTTTAAACATTCAGATTACATTTTAAAATTAACCACACTTAAGATTTACAGCATCGGTGATAAACTAGAACACAACCGTTTACTGTCATTCGCATCCTAGCAACTGCCCCTTTGGCTGTTTGTTATACAATGATCATATAATATAGCACATCGTAAATGTATTTTTAGCCCTATATATGTTTATCATTGTACGTACCAAAGTAACATTTTACGTTTACTGTCATTGGCATTCTCACAACCGGCTGTTTGGCTGTTTAATTTACAACAATTATACCATACGTCACATTGTAAATGTATTTTTTCCCCTAAAATAGTTAATTATCATACGTAACAAAGTATGATTTTACGTTTCTATGCAAATTCAGAGTCTGACCGTCAGAACTTCTTTCCGCTATATCTGTAAGCTATTTCCAGAGTCGCATGCGGCTCTTTGAGGACTGCTGCTTCGTGACATTATTTATTAACGACCACTGTCTCTACTCTTTGGTTTTTTCGGTAAAGTCACGTAGGTGAAAACAAAACAAAATAAAACGACTAAATACAAATTTGATTTAAAGCTTTCGTGACTGCAGGGATTCATATTCTTGGTTCTTTCGGTAAAGTCACGTAGAAGGGAAATAATAAAATTAAATATATATAAAACAATACAAATTCTCACGACGTTTCGACTGCAACACAAGCAATCATCATCAGGTGTGAAAACCACAGCAACGCGAGCATCCGTCATTAGACGGATGCTTGTGTCATCAGACGGATGCTTGTTTTGCTTCTGAAACGTCGTGATTTAATTTAGTTGTTTTATTTTTTTTTCACCTACGTGACTTTGATTTAAAAAAAAGGCTTTTCTGTTATATTGGTTGCCATGGTTTAGCCATACAGTATCCCACTCTGCTGGCTTGAAGTCTTCCCTTTGGGCTGTGACCTCTGGGTGCCACTCCGATGTCCACCTCAGCAGCCTGCCCTCCTGCTGATCCCATATTTGTGGAGGCGATTATCGCTGGTGCCACTGGAAGAATGTCCTCATTCCTCCAACAGTTGCTGGTATCTGCTTACGGTGGGATGCAAACGTTGAAATCCCACCAGGTGGTGCCTCACAGGTGGTACCCATTTCATCAACCATGGAACGACCGAGTTCTATTGACTGCGGCCAAGATTGACCTCATAGGGGCCTAATCTATTGTTGTAGAAACATTAATTTGAAGGAAAAAAAAAACATTGAATTTTCATTCAAAACACTAAAACATAATGCCCTGGACTGCACAATAAAAGGTTTGTGGTATTTTAACTTGGTACTTTCTTCAAATCTCCAAATGGCAGATTGGATTTTTTAAATTTCTACCTAGAATAGCATTCTGAGTTTTTATCTGGGTGTATAGCATACGCTATACATTAACAATCTGGACAAGGATGAAGAGACAGTACTGGTCACAAATAGCAGATTACAGTGGAGGCATCAGTTATTTTTGACATTAAATTAATATACTTCCAACTTGCAGTTGTCACTGGCACTGGTTTAAAATGAAAAATATATAATAGGGTACATTTCTGACAATGGCCCTTCACCATAGCAGATGTAATAGATAAATAAACTAAGATCTTTGGGGGGAAATGGTTTTCATTTGTTTATAAGACTTGTACTTTTTAACGCAAATTGTATTGTTCTAGACGTGACTGTTTTTTTGACATATTTGTAATTTTACCCAATTTCATAATTCGTCATCTGACTATGTTATCTCCTCGTTTGTTAGCCTAAAAATGGAAATATATTCGTGGCATAATACCATATATATGTAAAAATGATGATTACAATCATGCTTCGCAGGTATTTTCAAAACAATTATGAGGTTTCTATCATACCTGATATCAATGGGTACTATTCAACAACAAGTGTTGAAGGAACGGATGAGATGAGAAGGATGAAAATGTGGTCTGAATAAGAAATCTACAGGCACGGTAATACGCGTTTATATAGCGTCATTCATGCAAACTGCATCTCACGACGCTACACAACTTGCAACATATTGAGGTGCACATGTATTATGGTGTTTTCAACCAATTAATGATGTGCGTGTATACATGTTGGAGGAAATCGGAGCATGTGAAGTTCTCAATAAGTCTGCTAAAAGGCTATTTTAGGGATATTTTTCTTTGTATATGTGTGGGGAGAGTTTAAGTGAGTGTGCATGTGTGCATTTATCTTTTGATGTGTTTGTCAGGCCTTACCATCAGCACAACCAAAAACTAAGCACCTGCCTGGGTATTTTGTGTTATCAAAACTCCACTCCCCAACTACCCATGAGTGACGGGGCAGTTGTTGAGTGGAGAAATTTCCATCCCTGGGTAGTGTGCTTATGACCAGCTTTGATTTTGCAGCAGAAGTCTCACCCTGAATCAGTCGAGCAGAATTATCTTTTCATCAGCTGCATAATGCTCTTTGGAAGCTACCTGGTCTGGCGCTCCACACAAATCTGCAGGTCTTCTCGGCCAGTTATGCCCTCCCTTCTCTATGCTTGCTAAACGTGGACCCCTCTAAAGGAAGCTCTTCGGCAGTTTGAAACATTCAGGCTGGCCTGCCTACAATCCATACTGGGTTTAACCAGGCTGGATCGTGTAAGAAGCTCACAAATTCTTGAAAGATCTGGACACATTCCCATTGGAGAACTCCTGCAACAAGGCTGTGTTGTACAAGCAACTTCTGTTTGGCCAGTTGGAGGGGGCTAAATAGGCGCGGCATGGGTTAGATAAGAGATGGGCTAATGCGGTATAGAAGGGTGTGGAGCTGAGTAGACTTGCCAAAGACTGGTACCAGCAGTGTCAAGATCGGCCTCGCTAGAGAAGGCTTGTGAAGGACACTACTGGGCAGATGGTGTATTTCTCTTTGTATGTGATCGTGTGTCTGAGTGTGTGTTTGTGATAGTGTGTTTCTGCGTGTTTATTTGTGATAATGTATATTTCTGCTTCCTTGACACTAGGACCTACTGTGGAGCTCATCTGTCCACTGATCATTGGCTTGTCATCTGTGAGATAAGCCTGCCATTCTTTCACTGCGGTGGTGGGCATCCATATAGGACCTCATTCCAACCCACAGCAGCCTGGCCTCGGCTAGCTGTTGAAAGTTGCAAGCGAGAATGTCATCATCGCTTGCAACTGGTGTTGGCATCGTCCTCCTGATCCCGAGGGGAAATGGTTGATGTTCAGGACTGTGACTCATGCGCTACAATAGCTGCATTGGATACGCAGTCCAGACCTTCCCAGCGATCCTCGCTGACGGAGGTGTTGCGGTCAACGGAGAGAAAGCGACAGGCTCATTGCCACCGTCCACAACATCCCACGTTGTAGAATTAGAGCGGCTGCGCCTCAAATATTGGAAGTAGCCTCCCCCTGAGAGTGGCTGGCTAATGTGCCATCTGTTGAGGAAGTACAAGGATTGATACAGAGTCTGAGACGAGGAATAATGCCGGGCAGAGGTGATCTCCCTAGCGAACTACTGAGGGAGGGTGGCGTTTGTGTGCAGACTGCCCTCCTCTAAGCAAGGCTGTTTGTGGGGTCATGTAAATTCCGTAAGGACTCGGAAATAGTGTATATTTTGGCCTGCGCAATTTGCATACTCGGGCTCAAGGTCCTGCCCATCAATCATTATGAAACATAAACTTTATTCTTTTAAAAGTTTGCTAATTATTGTGGGGACTGGAGAGGGCCTAAATGTTGCCACGTATGTATGTGTTGAACTTCTTTCGCACCGTACTAGCCAACCGTGCTTATCGGAGGTGCGGGGGAAGGACACAAAAAGCAGCTATAAATAAATTAGTTTTCACTCTAGATGATAATTTATAAGTGCATAGCCCC